CTTTCATCAAACCATCCCAATGAAAAGACTGTTGTAATCTCTTAACAGTTTTTAACACACCTCAATGGCCTCCTAACAACCCGGTATGATATTCCTCCAATATCATTGGAATGAACTTTGAAGTTTTTGGTAAGACTAATCTGTTCTTGAACCATAATCTTCCATTTCTCACTTCATACCCATTGTCCTTGTTTTGATTTGCTATACAAGACTGAATATTATTCTGGATACCTTCATCCTTCTCAATCTCTTCATAAATGTCATGAAGCTGCAACACAGTTGGTACTGTCAATGCCATCAAAACAGAGGCTTGTATTACTCCCAGGGGTTGTATCTTCCGAGATAGACCATCAGCTGCAGTATTTTCCACTCCAGGCTTATATATGATTTCAAAATCATAATTCAACAGCTTGATTAACCACTTTTGATAGTCCATTGTCACCTCTCGCTGATCTAAAAGGAATTTTAAACTTTTTTGATCTGTATGAACCACAAAATGCCTTCCAAACAAATAATGTTTCCACTTTTGTATAGAAAGCACTATAGCCATCAATTCCCTTTCATATACTGGTTTTAGCTGCTCCTTAGCAGTCAAACCATGGCTAAAAAATGCAATAGGTCTTCTATTCTGCATTAAAACTGCGCCTAACCCATATCCTGAGGCGTCTGCTTCCACTGTAAAAACTTCAGCAAAATCTGGTAAAGACAAAACCGGGGCAGTAGACATTGCCTTCTTCAAGTTATCGAATGCTACTTGTGCTGTATTATTCCATTCAAAGCTGTCCTTTCTCAGTAGCTCTGTTAATGGTCTTGCTAAAACTCCATATCCTTTAATGAACCTTCTATAGTACCCAGTCAGACCCAAGAATCCTCTCAATTCCTTCACTGACTTAGGGGTCAACCATTCAGTCATTGCCTTTGTTTTTGCTGGATCAGTAGATACCCCATCACTAGAAATGATATGTCCCAGATAATCCACTTGTTTTTGACCAAACATGCATTTCTTTTTGTTGGCAAATAGCTGATTCTCTTCCAATATTTTCATCACTATTTCCAAATGTTCAATATGTTGTTCCATAGACGAGCTATAGATCAAAATATCGTCAAAAAATACCAAGATGAATCTCCTTAAAAATGGCCTAAACAACTCATTCATGAGTGCTTGAAACGTCGCTGGAGCGTTTGTTAACCCAAACGGCATGACGAGAAACTCGTAGTGTCCATCATGAGTCCTAAAGGCTGTTTTGGCCACATCTTCTTCTCGCATCCTTATCTGATGATAACCTGCTCTAAGGTCCAATTTTGAAAACCAAACTGAGCCATTCAACTCATCCAAGAGTTGGTCAATCATTGGTATCGAAAACTTATCTGGTACTGTCACTCTATTCAATGCTCTGTAGTCAACACAAAAACGCCAACTATTGTCTTTCTTTTTAACTAAAAGCACTGGACTTGAGAATGGACTGTGACTTGGTCTTATAATTCCGGAATCCAACATCTCCTTGACCATCTTCTCCATGATCTCTTTCTGGGCGTGAGGGTATCTATACGGCCTAACACTGATAGAATTATTCCCAGGTAAGAGGTGAATCGAGTGCTCTCTTCCTCTAATAGGAGGTAATTCTGTAGGTATTGAAAATACCTTATCAAACTTGGCCAATACTGTTTGAATATCCGCCTCTAATGGTTGAATCATTGATGTTGTTATCTGTTGACTGCACAAAGCCACTTCCACACCTTTCTTTTGGAAAGTAAATCCACTGGAGAGTGATTTTAAGGACATTTTTGCAATGTCTAAATCTGATTCACCCTTCAATGATACTATCTTTTTCTTGTATAAAAATGACATCTCATTTTTCTGCCAGTTCACCTTACAGTCTCCCAATGTGCTCAGCCAGTAAACTCCCAAAATAATGTCAATCTGACCTAACTCCAACACCACAAAGTCTGTAGTGAATTCCAAATCTTGAACTGAAAATTTTACTTTCTCACAAACTCCCATTCCTTGGACTGTAATCCCTGTACCCAGCCTCACATTAAGGTTAGGATCGTCTCTACATTTCAATTTCAGTTTTGTAACCGCTGCTGGAGATATAAAATTGTAGGTTGCCCCACTGTCCAACATTATAATCACACTAGCAGTCCCAACCATACCTCTCACTTTAGTGGTTGATGGAGAAGAAATCCCTCTAAATGATGAGAATGATAGTGCCATGCACTCACCAGCAACTTCTTCTACTAACTCCTCGTCACTATTCCCATTCAATACTTCAACCTCATAGCCATTAAAGACAGTCAACACCCTTAATTCTTTGTTTGGACATTTATGATCTTTGTTCCAAGGACCATCACACTTAAAGCATATTCTTCTTCTTCGCTTTTCATCTAATTCAGCATTAGAGTTGTGTCTTCTTGGTCTTTGATCTACTCGCGCCCCTTGTTTGTTAGCCCCTTGTATAGCATCAGTAGCAATTGTTTTCATTTTCCAATTGTTGGTGTTGTAAGTATTATGAACTTTGTAATCAGAACTGTATCCCTCTGCATTCTCTTTATTAGCTAATAACAGCTCTTTCTTAACCACTCTTCTTATAATGCTAGATTCCATTGCTCTAGCCTCTGCTACCATTTCTGGCAAATTCCTTGGTTTCTGCATATGAACTAACTCTTGCATCTCCTGAGTTAACCCATTCAAAAAAATGCCCTCTAATTTCTGATCATCCAACCCAGTTACTTGGGAAGATAAGTCTTCAAACCTCTGCACATAATCAGCTATAGATCCCGTTTGCTTAATGCAAAACAAACTTTGGCTTGGACCTCTAATCTTCAAGTTCCCAAAGCGTAACAGCAAACTTGTCTTAAACTGACTCCAAGTCTCAAAATCTTTTCTGTTTACTTCCCAATTGTACCAGCTCAAAGCTTCTCCTTGTAAACTCACTGATACCAAAGCTAATTTCTCAGCATCATTATAACCTCCATTTCTGAAAAATCTCTCCACTGTTGCAATCCAACCATAGGTTCCCAAACCCTCAAAGACAGCCATATCCACATTCTTTAAAAGGTTTTCTCTAATTCCAGGCCTAATCTCACTAAGGCATGGTTCCTGAGAAGAAATTGGTACCTGATTGCGTTGGTCTTGCGAATCATTCGCGATAGCTTTACTCGAACCGCCAGTCTCGTGCATCGTCGCTTTCCCAGGTAACGCTTGAATCAACAAATCAAGTTTGCGCCCCAGCTCCAAGAATCGTCGATCATGGAGTGCGTTCGTTGCATCCAAATCCACCCTCAAGGACTCAAGCTTTGAATCCGTTCGATTTTCCGATGTGCGTATCTGATTCTTCATCTCCGTTAACTGGCTGTAGAACTCTATCGCTGAAGCTTCGGCTTGCTCCTCCGCCGTCGACTCTCGAATCGGCGACAACTCCTGCGCCGGTGCTCCCCATCGTCGTTTCTATTCTTTCAATTGAGAAAAATTCTCCCAAATCTTGAAACCCAAACTCGTCGGTTGCGTTAGATTCGAGCCGAGATCACAATCGCACCATTTGTTAAGAAAAGAACTCTCCTTCCCTTTATTAACCCAAAACAGAATCGATTACAGCCACAGATATGTGAAGAAGAGTCTCTAGACGCAGCTAGACATTACTCTCTCTCCTCAGAAGACTCATACGTCTCTGTTTACACATACAACAACATAAGAATGATAAAATGTCAAATGCTATAGTTTTATACAAGTATCTTTCTCCCACGTGCCATCTTCTTCTTCTACACGTGTTATGTTTGTTCTATTTCTTCTCCTTGTATACACTTGCATAGGCTTATCATGGTCACGTTTGAGCCAACTTGATTACTTGTGTTCCCGGGGATGTTGAGGCCTGAGAAGAGAAAATCCTCTGCATCGACTTGTTTTGGATCTTTACAGAACCGACCATTCACGAAAACTGCATGCACGTAGAAACATAGTATTCAAACATAATTATTACAACGTCGTTAAAGTTAATCGTAAGAAGAGAAGTATAGAGAAAGAACAATTCTTGGAGGTTTCTTTACGTACGGCTAGTTTCATCATTAATGGCTGTGGCGACACAGAAGTCTTGTAGTGGACTTGGATCATAAGCATTGGCAAAGGAGATGACTAAAACAATTATGGCAATATGGATGACAAATTGAGAAACTTTCATTTTTTTTTTAATGTTAATGCTTCTCTCTAACTTTGTTATGCATGTGTCGATGGTGAATCGTCATTGGTTTAAAATTTATAAGACAAGAGCATAAGTCTTAGTTGACATGGAATGCACTAATTATAATACTAAATGTGTAATGGCATTACACAGAGTTTGGTGGACTTTTAGTTACACAAGAGAGCATGTAACTAAGAAGACTAGTAGTTGGGATTCCATTAGGAAGATTGATGAGTAGATGACAAACAACGTAAAGCCATAACGTTAGGAGAGAGTCACACGATTACTTTGAGTGACATATTAGATGAATTTGGATTTTGTATTATTATGTAACACACGACCAAGGGTTTCATAGGAGAATTTAGGTTGCAGATAGTATTAAATATAGTATTTTTTTGTATTTTGAAAGTCCAATAAAATTCTAAATTATATAGTTGTATAAGTATTAAACATTTGAAATTTAGACCGACTAAAACAAGTGCATGTTATAATATACATCTATAAATTAATATATATTTTTTTTCTAGATTAATATTCGGGTCAATTGGTATATCGATATATTAATAAAAATAATAGTTCAGACAGTTATAATATATACAAGTTTTACATTTTAACTGTATTTGGGTAAAAGGCTAGGGAATTTATAAAGAATCTATATTAACATTTTTGAAGTACCTTTTGTGTTCTACCCTTTTATTTTGTATTATTTGCATAATTAACCCCTTGCCATTTGAATAAATAACAAAACTTTAAGTTAAATTTGGTAATTAAATCATAATAAAATTGCAAAATTGGAAATTAGTATTTATTAAATTTAACAAACTTTCCCAAAATCTCTCCCTAATAAATTAAATAACAATATCTTTATATGATCTTATTTGTTTTCAAAATTATATTATTACATAAAACATATGTATAGGAAAAATATATATATTTTTTACATATTTTGTTATTTTAATTTTTGAAAACGGACGTATATAACTCAATCGATACAAAAATATATGTACTAAAGTATTATTGATAATTGTGTAGCACGGGTCATGTGATGTAACGAGTTATAAATTACATATATGTTTTTACGGGTTGTCTATTATAGACAAGCTCACAAAATATTTTAATTTAAAATTAGACTATTTAAACGATATTTAAACGAAAGATGTTATGCCAACATCATTTTATTATTTTGAATATTATACTTATTTAGTTAAGTTAAACAAATTATCATGCCATATTTCACGGGTTAAATTATAGAGTTAACAATCAAAATACAGTAGTACAATCTTATATACCAGATAAATTTTAAAAATAATTCATTTTAAAATATCGTTCTGCGGTGTACCGCGGGTTAAATTATAGTATTTACATAATACCATCTCTTTATTTTTCCTTGCATCGACACATGAAGATTGTGTAGTATCTGAACTTTTGTTACATAGGATTAGGATACACAATTAGTAATTATATTGTCTAATGTTACACGTCTCTTGTAATTACATAGGATTCGTTCAGTAGAATACAGCCAGTAATTACCTTGGACAGCTTACGACCTAAACAATTTGACTTTACAAATAGGATCATATAATCTCAATTTTTCACAGGGAAACAGAAAAAACAAGAAAGCCAACCACCACCACTAGGTTTCGAATTATCATGCTTCGAGCCCGGTCTTGACGATACTTCTGTTTTACCACTTTCACTCTTCATGTGCAGTGATTTCTTACGGTCTTGTTTGTACTCTGGTAATCTACAGAAACACACAAAGAAAGAAAAAAGTTTAAAACCTAAAACACAAACATAGCTCTTTATAATTAGCACACACTCCATAAAGTTCCCAAAATAGCATCATATTTAATGGTTAAACTTTCAAAATTGAATCTAAAAATTTTAACCATTAAACCATACTCCCTAAAACTATACGCTAAATGTAAAATAGTCGACCCAAACATTGAAATAATAATTCTAAACATTATTTATAATATTGTAATTATGTTAATTAATTAGTGCTATTTTTGGAATTTGATGGAGTATGTGCTATAATCGTCCACGATACTTGGTACCTATTTGAGGGTATTTCTGTTATAACTAAGCAAATACAATATCTTGGTTCTAACTGAGTAAACTGGTTTTGATATATATTGGACAACAATACTTACGTGGGAAATGCGAAAGAAGCTGCACTGTTATTACTAGTGTCGGACCGATAAGATTTGGCTGGAGAAGATGGGATTTGTTGTTGTGGATCAGGTTTAGGTTTGGTCTTTGGTACGGTTTCTGATCTTGATCCAGCATCTGTCGAAGTGATTTTGTTATCGATGTTGTTGTTGTTGTTGTTGGTATAGTTGTTGATATATGAAGCAGTATATTCGAAATTGGTGAGTTCTCCAGATTTATACATTGTGGAGAAACTATGGTCTCCCATGTGAATACTAAACAAAGATTCATTCGACTGGATACTCCAATCTTGTTTAGGAGTTATCGAAGATGCGAAAACCGAAGCCGGAATCCGGTTCGGTTCATATCCTGGTTTTGTTTCCTTGTCCATTTTTGTATCTGTCACCAAAGCAAAACATTAGATATCAATGATGTGTGTGATTAGATTGCTTCAACAAAAGAAAGAACTCTCATCACCTTTGATCAAGTTTTCAAGCTGAGAAGTTCTTCAAGAACCAAAAGGCTGATAATTAGAACAATTTCTTTAATTCTTTGTAGAAAAGTTATGTGTGGAAAAAATAAAATCAAAGCTGTGTCCTCATTAATAGTGTCTACGTTGGACTTGGATGATAACAAATGTAACTAAACTAACTAACTAATCTCCATTACAAAGTTAATTATAAATTAAGAAAAACAATTTGGACTTCAGTTATAAGTTACAACCAATAACAAATTTGTTAAGAGATTTTGGACCAACTAAAAACAATTTCAAAGGCTGAGAGCCTAACTCGGAGAAATTTGTTTTTCTTTTTATTTATTACAGGGTTATTTTTTTTTTCTTCTTTTATAATTAGGTACTCTTTCAAACATTTTTATAATGTATGTATATGCATTATTTTATATGAAATTAATTATTTATAGTTTTATAATATATTATATACAGACGAATAAAGATGATAGAGCAAGATTTTTAATTGAGAAGACACCAAAATTTTTATCTTTTAAAAGTTATGAATTAATTTAAACCTAATTAATATCTTGTGATAATTATTCAACCTACAATATAAATCTGGTATATAATACGTAGGGATAAGTTGGAAATGATACTAATCATGTCTACAAAATAATACAACTTTGTCTTTGTGTCTTAAGTGTTTAGTCCACACATATCAAACTAATAACAACAAAACTGAGTAGTAAAGGTCTAAAGGACTTTGTAAGAGTTTTCATGTCGGTATTGAGGAAAATAATAGAGACACAGAAGAAAAAAACAAGTGTGATACTGATGAAACAATCAGATCAGTCTCGTGGAACACTGAAAATAAAATATTTGTAATTAATTTGTGGTACCACAAAATGTGTGGTACAATTATTGGGCTCACGAACAGCAGATTCAAAGTTTGTACAAGCCCGTGTTAGACTTGCAGGCCAATTCGCAAAATTTAAATATATTATAACAAAATAAAATAAAAATTTAAGGCTGCCAAATAACTTATATTTCTTTTTATTATATAATTATTGCAACTATACAAACTTATAACTGTATTTTTCTATTTAAAAATTGTAGTACAAGACCAATCAATCAATTCGTAAATTTACAACAAGATATTTGTACTTCAGTTAATAATTAAGGGATAAAATGTTACATTTCAGCTTTAAGAATTGTTTTATTGATGTAATTGGAGTCAAAACAATGTTCATTTCTTTATGCTTAAACCCGATTCTGCCATATTCAAAATCAATATGAAAAATATAACAAAAATACACGTTTAGTTATAAATATGATGGACTAACATTTTTCTTTTAAATTTAAAATATTGCAAACCAACACTAAATCAACAACTGAAAATAAAATTATTTTCCGAATTATTAATTAAATTTTTCGAATCAAGAATATAAATTGATAAAAGCTGAATTTACTTTAAACATATACACTGTACAAAGCTTATTAGAATTAGTAATCATACTTTTTTAACTTAAAGCTAAATGGACTACATTATCCGGGCCAACTACATTCTTAGTTTGTCAATGGCCCATTAAAGTAAATTCAGAGAGAAAAAAATAGTTGGTGTGTGCTCCTCGTGATATCATCTTATCTCAAACTAGAAGAAGCTTAATATTGTTTGTTCCTACTAAATTACAAAAGAAGATTGAAGTAGTTTTTTCAAGATATCAAAAATGGAGTGTTCGCTGCAGAAGCAGCTTCTCAACAACGGAGATATGCTCTTTACATGTAAGCTCTAAACCTCTATTTGTGCAAATCAAGAATTGCTTAACCTGTCTTAATTCCTCAAAATTTTATTTGCTTTCAGCTCGAAAAAACAGACGAGTTTGGATTGAACAGTATCAAGTAATAGATTCTCTTCTCGCAAACTCAATAAACATGTTTCATAATCCTATAAGTTGTCCAATATTGTCTACAAGAAAGAGCAAAAACCATTCGAGGGTAAGTGTTAATTAATGATTACCGTCATCTTAAATACATTAAAATAAAACGAGTGTGTTGTGTTGATATCATTTAGGTTTTTGCAACAAGGAGAAGAAGGGTGCATTCGAACTCGGACACGTACGTACTATTAGAGGCAGGACAAGATGAGCAGTTTGTGTCGGAAGACGAACTCAAGGCTAAGCTCAGAGGGTGGCTAGAGAACTGGCCGGTGGAGCATTTGCCACCTGACCTGGCTAGGTTCGATGACCTTGATGAAGCCGTCGATTTCTTGGTTAAAGCTGTATGTGAACTTGAAATTCATGGAGAAGTAGGTTCTGTTCAATGGTACCAAGTTCGTCTTGAGTAAATACATAAACGTATAATGTCTTTTAATTTTTATTTTAATGTAATAAGAACATTTTTCTTGAACTAGTAGATTGTTTTGATCTTTAATACATTTCCTTGAACATGCTAAATAATACTAAAGTTGTCTTTCTGATGTTGTAACTACCTTCCCCTTTTATAGTCTTCACCCTTCATAGTGGTTCGAATCAAAATATAGATAGTTAGTTTCACCAGTGATTTTATATATTTTGTTGTGAATTAAAAATTTTCAACATGAATGGTTACATATTTACTAAAACTCCTCAACTCTTTGGACGAGTTTGTCGTTTCAAACAACCAATCATTACTTGGCACAATTACATTGTGTCAAAGATTTGATATCAACAATCCTAATGTGTACGCAATAAACCATTTAAATTTAAATCAAAAATTGAAAAAAACGAAGAAACGTTCCTACAATTACGACGACCCCTGTTCTCTTTTTTTCACTATTCGCGGGTTCCACTGACACGTGCCGGTCCGCGATTGGTTACTTTTTTTTTTGAAAAAACTAAAAATAAGAAAATATAAATAAAAAATTCATGGGACAAAAAAGAAGTCCCACCGAAAAATGGTCTTATACGAAACTGTTGGAATTTCTTAGAGCAAACGCAGCCGTTGGACGTCCTACCAACATTTTTTTCTTTTTTTTTTCTTTTTTTCAGATTTTTTTTTTTTTTTTAAAAGATAACCATTCGCGGGCCGCCACGTGTCAGTGGGGCCCGCGAATAGTAATATACGATGGCAAGGGACGTCCAAAATGGACGTACGTCCCGTTAATGTTTTATGTTTCTTTTTTTTTTTCTTCTCGTTTAACGTGAGGGACAGGGGGATAACCCATTGATGCTCATGCCCTTAGAGAATTTCAAGAACTCTATTCGTCGTTCTCACATTCACTAAGATAATAAATAAGCTGTTCTTTTTATCGGTATGGTAGTTAAGCCGTTAAGGTAAATGGAATAAGGTTGAATTTTTTGTTATTTGTTGTGTTGGTATATGTTTTATGTAAAAGAAACATCTTAAGAAGATTAGTTGGCTAAATTATAAGTTCTTTTTAAAAAATTTTGTTGGCTTTTCAAAAAACTTACTTTATACTAGCTAATGATTAAATATATTTAAACTTCAAATCTCATTCATATAATCACCTATATTACATTATGACTTTTATAACAATTGAAAAAGTAAATAATTTTATGACTTCCAAATTATTTTAAACCAGCATATTTTTAATTTTATATAATTACATATTCATAAATATTTAAAGTCACTGATTGGTATAAAATTAAAATTGGTTGGGTTTAACTAAAATTAATTCTTTTTTTGTTAGTAATTTATTAGTTTTAAAATATATATATATATATATATATATTAGAGAGATTAATGTCGGCTAATTCTATATTTAAAATTGAATTTTCAGTGTCAAATTTTAAGTACTATTGATAAAGTAACATTGAAATTAAAATAAAAAGAAAAATCAGTCTCCACCAATAGGGTGAGAACAAAACTCATGATATACTAAGATTTGATCAATGAATTTTAAAACTTATAAAATATGCAACTTAAATTATTATGTAAGGAATCATATAAAGAATTAAATTAAATGATTTGAATACATTTGTATCTAAATATTAACTGTAATATATAAAACTATTTTTCAATGTGTAAACAAGTGGCAAAAGTACACTTTGGCAAATGGGGAAATATATCCTAGCTCATTTAGAATAAAATTATATAGGATTATCTACCAATGATGTGCCATTTATGTCTTAATATTATAAATTGTTATAGACTATAGCTTATAGTGATTTAGATTTAATTTCCACTACTTTCCATTACACAAGCTGAGGTAATGTTGATAGGTTTGTTTGTGATTTACTTTAAACTACTTTTGTTGAAAGTTAAGCCATTCTTACATATTTGTGGAAGTTGACTAGAGAATATTTTTGTTGAAGGTCAACGTCTAAAGCTTCTTTTTACATAAAATAAAAAATAAATCTCAATTAATAGTTTAACAAACATTAATTACCAATTGGTAGATATTTATGTTGTGGTTCTACTTTTTTTTGTCTTTAAGCCATCAAAACTAGAAAGCGTGTAAATTGTCAGAGAAACTTGTGTGGTCATTTCAAAGGAAAACAACAAAAGAAAAATAAATTTCAACAATAACCAAGGTTGTACTTAAATGTATAAACATGGAAAAAGATGTAACGAAGTTTGGGTAGTTGCATTACATTTTGGTTATAGTCACAAACATAACACTCTTTTCTATATATAGCTAGAGCCTAGAGGTACTCTCGTCTCTCCTTCAATGCCACAAATCGAATAAGTACACAACTTTCTTGGAGAAAGAAAAGATCCACACTAAAGCAAGCTCTCAAGAATGATGAGTTTCTTGAAGATGGTATCTCCACCACCTCCGGCGACAAGATTCCGGCAACGTGTAACGGCGAACGGAGATGGGTTTCCGGCGTTTCTTCCCAAGGAGGTACAAAACATAAGAGACCCGTTTGCTAGAGCTTTAGCTCAAAGGATTGTTCGAGTTCCTGTTCCTCTTCAGGTTCTTCTTCTTCTCTTTTATCTTTAAAGCCTTCAAGATTTGCTCTTAATTTCTCGAAATTTTGAAGTTTTTTTTCTTGTGTGAATGTTACAGATGGGGAACTTTAGAGGCAATGTAATGAGTAGTTGCATCAAACCACTTGTTCAATTACATGACCAGAGTCCTGTTGTTCTTCTCCATTGTTTCGACAGGTTTTGTACTTTTTTACCGACAATGTAAGTTTTCATGAGCTCACTGTGTCTGAATTTTACTGAGATTTTAATCTTTCTTTGGGGTGGTACTTAGTTCGTGTTTAGAATGGAGAAGGACTTATCCTCTGCTTGAACAAGCTTGTCTTGAGACTTGGGCTGTTGATGTTCTTGGTTGGGGCTTCTCAGATCTTGGTAAGATTTACAATTTTACACTAATTACTTGAGATTGTGTGATTGATTCTTTTTAGAATTCAAGAACTTACTAGTTCAATGAAATTGTAGAGAACCTTCCACCATGTGATGCAGCAAGTAAGCGACATCATTTATTTGAGGTCAGTACTACTTACTGATTACTACAAGAAAACAAATATATACTCTGTTACTAAATGAATGAGGTCAATAGCTAAATCATTGAATCTTTGGGACAACTAAACTATTCACTATATTGACTTCTATGGACGAATACAAATTTGTGTCGTCACTAAGTGACAACAGATATAAAGTTGTGGCTGGGATTTTGAGATTGTCTAGTCTTTCTTGAAATTTCTAGATGATTTTGGTAACTGATCTAATGATAAATTAGCCACTATACACTTGTTGTTGTATTGTAATGTGGTATGGATTTTTCTAGTGCTTGACTCTGTTCTTTGGTTTGGATTTTCAGCTTTGGAAAACATATATCAAACGACCAATGATTTTAGTTGGACCAAGCTTAGGAGCAACAGTAGCTGTTGATTTCACTCTTACTTACCCTGAAGCTGTGAGTTTCGAGTTTATCACAATCAAAACTCTTTTGTGGATTAAACTTATCTCAAAAGCTCACTCACTAGATCTGGTTATTTTTCGCGCTTTTCAGGTTGATAAGTTGGTCCTCATTAACGCCAATGCGTATTCAGAAGGAACCGGTCGGCTTAAAGAGTTACCAATAGCCGTTGCTTATGCCGGGGTATGTCCAAGAACTCTCATTATACTAAGTAGTTATTGTGTGTATTAATATGGTTGTTGTTCATTCAGGTTAAGTTGTTGAAGTCATTCCCTCTTCGCCTTTTGGCCAACGTGTTAGCCTTTGTTTCCTCACCCTTATCCGAGAACATAGATTGGACTAATGTAAGTTCAAATCTCCCTTAATTTTCTTTAATGTTAGTTGTTCAAATGATAAATTGTTTTAGAAAATGAATCTGCTTTTGTGTAGATTGGCCGGTTACATTGTCAAATGCCATGGTGGGAAGATGCTATGGTCGATTTTATGATTAGCGGAGGCTATAACGTTGCGTCACACATCAAACTCGTAATAAACAACACTTCATGTCATTATTCAATTTAACAAAAAGCCTAATCAGCTTATATATGTACTGACTTTTATCTACGTTTTGGATGTACCACGAGCACAGATCGACCATAAGACGCTCGTTGTATGCAGCGAGAACGATCAGATTGTCAGCAACCAGCTCTCAGTTGTAAGTTTCCCTTTAGCTGAAACATCTAAAAATCAGTTAAACGTTTCTTAAATGTTATCAACAAATATGCAGAAACTGTTGTGTGAGCTGGCTAACGCGGTTTTCCGGGAAGTACCAGATTCCGGCCATCTTCCACATGTTGAGAATCCTAAACACATTGTGAAGCTGATATCAGATTTCGCCAGTGGAAAGCTCTATTGATTTCATATATACAGTAACTATGGACCATTGGAGTTTTTAACTAGATTATGAATAATATATAAATAGATTAGTTTAGCCTTATGGCCCTGGGATGGCCAAAAAGGGAAGCTATAGAAAACATATAATGTCATCATTTTCGTAAGCTAAGTTATAAGAGTATTGGTTTAATGAAAAAAAATTGGGGTAGGAATCTTTGTATCAAACCAAACTCAAAGAAAGAGATGATTTTAAATATTGTATCTAAATTGTAATGAACTTAAAGACAATTGTTTGATTGATCTCTCGACTTTTTAATGTTATTTTTAGACCGTTTAAAATCTTTAGAGAAATATTTAATTATCGATGATGATTGGTCGTGAATAGTTTCGATATGTTCTCTCTTGTCGGAAGTGCGAAGTTTTATAATACCGGTAAGAGAGAACTCTCAATTTCAGTTGAACGTAATTGAGAATTATTTGGTAAAGGATCTTCAAATAGTAGTGAACTAAAGTATTGGACCGTGATTGAGGTTAAGATTGCCTTGGTGTGTGTCCTTTTTTTCTTTCTTGTTTAAGTTGTGGTTGCGAGTTCAAGAGTAACGTTAGAATTAAACTGCTTCATATTTATTGAAACCTTTTGGGTGGGTAGATATTACAAAAGTACAATGTACTTATGTTGATGTTAATACCAGTTCGTGGATCTTATTAAAGACAAAGTATTGTCCTTATCCCACTTGATTTTGGAGATACAATACTATAACTGGAAACTTTTAGGCTCATTAATCGTCAAATCTTTAAAAATTGAAAGATTTTTAATCATTAAAACTAAGTAAATAGAGAAACCAAAGCAAACCAATTCCTATCCCAACACATAATTTGCAAAATTAGACTTAAAACAGAACTTAGCTTTAGTATTTATCAAACTAAAACCATTAAAAAGAAAAAAGAGAAGATAAAACCAAATCCTATTAATTAGGAATAGAAAAAAAAATTAATTTCGGTGTAAATATATATAATAAACCCCTAAAACCCCATCATATCTCACCACCATAGGGTAATTTGTAAGAAGTCACAATGGAGGTAATCACTTGCTTGGACTGCAAGAAACGAACCGATACGGTGATCGACTATCAATCTGGGGATACAATCTGCACAGAATGTGGTCTCATCCTCGACTCGCACTACATCGTCGACTCTTTTGACCGAGGTATCTCTCACATGAACCCTCCCATTAGGACCAAACTCAAGATCGAGACAAACGTTCTCAAGAACCCTAACCCTAATAATCCACTTATTGACAAAACGTCCTCCACAAGCTACAGGCTCTCATCATCGTCTTGCTCCAGTCAGAAAGCTCTGCTAGAAGTCCATCAAACCAGGTTGATCGAAGAGATAAGTTTCAAAAGAAGAAGGCTAAATTGATATATATACATACTCGTTTCTTAATTATTGTTTGTATATATATTTACTTTAGATATTGTTTAGTCAAGTGCTCGTGAGATTTGATTGCCTTGCAGTTTACTTGAGGATGATGTCTGATTAAAAGAGAAGCATCTCCCAAAGAAACTAATTGGGGTTTCCAATGATTTACTCTGTCTTTGAAGGTGGGTGACTCAGAAATTTCAATCATCTTATAATTAAATGGTTTGTGAGATGTGTTTGATTATTTTCTTAAACTGCAAAATATTGGGTCTTATAAATCGTAAACTTCAATATATTGTGCTGCAGACATCTCAGTGGCATGAGGATCAGCAAAACCGGGTAAGTAAAAACTTACCTTGCATCTTCAAGTTTAGAACCAATTTCCTAATTTCATGTAGTTAGTGATTTCTTTTCTTACCTCATATATAGTAATTTTGGAAAAATACTTTGTTTATATTTACAATATTGAAAAATACTCTCTTATTTTTCTTCTTTAAAACTATTTTGAATAATCAAAATGATTAAAATAGACTCTCAGAAATAATAATTAATAAGATTTTTTTTTTTGTTAACTATAGTTTTTAAGAGTTATAATTTGAAAATACACCTTTCATGTTAAAACTACACTGGTTGAAAAGAAAGAAGAATGTAAACTATGTGATATGACATCTGTTCTAGATTATTAAAAGTTATTTTTTTATAAAAGTCACATAAACTGGAAATAATAATAATAATTATTGTTAATTTTTTTTTGTAAGATAAGGATAGTTTACTGATTTTTTTAAGATAAAGATTAATTATTATTGTTAATCACATAACTAGTTTTCTGACAACATAATGGGGAAGTTCATAAAAGCTTATTTTCAATAAAAGAAATCTCTTCGTGTGAATATGAAAGGGTTTTAATAAAAAAGTGGAGGCGCATTCTGCTTTAGCAAACGGCGACGATGGTGAACTATCCAGTTGACATTAGCTGGTTTAACAAATTTGTAATTAATTATTTGCATTGTATAATGCATAGCTCGATATTATGCAATATCAGTTGAGTTTTCTCTTCAATAAATTAGTATAGGAAATTATAATCGAAAACATAATAAATGTTGACCTTACAACTATTTTCTAAGAAATCAATGAATGAAATCTGATTCTAATGATATGTAATTGTGCTTGGCGCGTACATGAATTTATTTTTATATAACAAATATTTTTATTATTTTGTAAAATAAATGTAGCATCTTTATCTTAAGAAAAATTATACTGATAACTAATATTATTTCGAATTTAATTTTAGTTATTAAAGTATACTTTTAATTCAAATCGGAAAAATGCCACATAACATATGAAAAATGTAGTTTCATTAAATTTTTAAAAAGCTGTATTTTTTCAAACTATTACTCATAGATACGATAGTTGTTAAAAAGACCTTAAAATGGAAAACAAACTAAATGATGTTTTTTATCGTCTTATGATTTCAAAAACAACAGAGTTAAAGAGAATTAAAGAACAAGAACAACACGAAATCCATTAAAAACAATATTATGAAGCCAAACCGGTCCACTAAACGCTAAGTAAGTGTTGAACTGACCATCACGAGTCACACTGTCGGCGATTTCTCGAGGTATCTCTTTGGCTTCCTAAAGAATACTATCTAGGAGGAAATGGTACTTTGGCCATGTATAAGAGGTCTGGACAGCTGAAAAGACCGCATTAGGATCTAAATGATGTTTAAGAAATCATTTTACTATATAAATTAATAAAAATATCTAGCAGTAAATAAAATTACGACATGTATCGATTTATTTATATAAGTAGTTTAAGAAACCTTTTAACGAGAGAAAAAGTCAAAATAAGAATTAAACCTTAAAAATACTTTTTCTTTGCAAAATCTATGAACAAAATTTGTAGTGACTAGAAGATAATCAGTGACAAGTTCAAGTGACCCAAGTGAACCATAATCCCAAGTGATCCAAACTTGGGATGGTAAATTTGCAACTAATTTACATGTTCCACCATATATAAACTCGTCATGCATGCTTTAATTTCATTGTGTTGTTTCTTACTTTCATTTCTTTCTAAGAAAATAAAAATAAAGACAAGACACATAAAAGAGGAAAAAGAACCATGCGCATTCTAGTATAATATAATGTGGGAATGACCTATGGATTTCAAAATCAAAATTAAATTTTCAAAAAATAATTCAAATTAAAATAAAAAGTTTTTTAAAAAGAGATCACATGGTAGAGTTAAGCAAAGGCACTAACAAGTCACAATCATTGTGACCATGTAATACATACATTGATATACCTATATATGTTTATATGCATATATGTTATCTATATTCGTATGTATGTGTGAGTCTGTGACATGGTAAAGTTACACATGACACATATAGTGATGTACCGTGTACGTATATATCTCTTCCTTCTTTACTTTTCTGTTCACTTTCAATCTTTAGTTTTGTAGTTTTATTACTTCTATATAATAGAGAATATATATACCTTCTGATATTTTTCAATTTTAAGGTTCTTTATTTTCTCTGTGTGCTTTTTTTTCTTCTTCTGGTTACTAGAATTTTTAAATGAATTAAAGACTTAAAATTCAATTTTTAAAAAGGACATATAATGGAATGATGTTATACACTAGCTACATGATTGAAAATTTCAAACTTGAAAAGGAAATAAAAAAAGAATCCTCAATTTTATGTGGAACACCATATAACACATCATCCCTATCAATCGACATTTTCTAATCTGAATTTTTGTTGACATTCCAATATATTAATTAGTTTAGTACTAAGATTTTTGTTACTTGACAATTTTAATCATGTTCGTTTTTTAATCGTAAACCGTTAAATCATATTTGTTTATAATTAGCGGTTCAACGATAAATATTAATTAGATCACTAACGATTGAAACCTTTATTTTTGGTTTATTAAAGCCTATTTTATTTTTAACATTAAACTTTTTTAAAAACTATTTTTAGTTAGAAATATATATTAGGTGTAATTCAGTAATCTCTACTTGTCTTGTTTGCAAACAAACAACCATGAAACTTATCAATCAAAATAGCGATTGGAAAAAGCGATTGAAAAATGTGGTTAGAAAAGATCATCGGAAAGAGTGGTTGGAAGGGAAAAGGGTAGGCAATTGCCAACCACTGAAAAAAAAAAAACAAGACGGTTTTGATAATGCCTTGTGGATGGAAACTTTTTTTATCAAATTTTTAAAAATTTAATATTCATATTATTTTCTAAAGATATAATTCTAAATTAACTTTTACTTTTAGAGTGTTATTTATACTTGAAATTATTTTATTTTATTTTTTATTATTCCAACCGCTAGCTTATTATATAATATGACCACTGTTTAACCGTTTTTTTTTTGTAAAAGAAAAAAAAACCGCTATTTTTATCCGCTATTCCCCTGTTTTTTCAAGTTATTTTTATCCGTCCTTTACAAAAAACCGCTAAAATTTGTTTTTATCTACCTCATTTAAACTAAATCAACAAAATTAATGTTATCTTGAATATGTATTTAGATCAAGAACGATAAAACGAACATAATTTGGTCGTGGTTGGTCGATCATAACCAACGACAATAAAACGAACAATAAAATGTGTCGGTACGAAGTAATAATAATATAACGTTAGTGAGTAGTGACAACGAAATAAACAGTGTTTTCACATGTCGTAGAGAACAAAAGAAACAAAAAAATATACGCATTATGGTGACTTAATTTCATTTCTTCTTTCGTCAAATATCAAACATTATACATCATCGACTACCTAAAACCATATAAGTTCAAAACACGTAATAACCAAAAAGAAAATAAAAATAAAAAACTGGATCATAGCTAGAAATGAAAAAAGAAACAAAATCATAATTGGAAAATATGAACATTATAAAACAAAACCATCTTCGGTTAGATGATCAGATGATGATGACGATCCATAGATCTCGATAAGCTTTTGCAACACTACGACTTGTGTCCTAAGCTTGACAATGTAATCAGCAGTTTCTTGAAACAGCTGTTCTGTCTCTACTACACTGCCTGAATCTTTCTTCACGTCAGCATCTTGAAAGCTCTTCTCAGTCGTGGTCTTTGACGGTGGAGGATGAGGAAGGAGACTCTTGAGCGCCTGAAGCTTCTCCGTGAACATTTCTCCGCTACGTGATGTAACGTTAGGTCTTCTGTTTACGTGTTTCTTGCTTCTTCCTCCCCCTCCTCTGGATCTTTGACTCTTCAAGATTCTCATCGTGACTAAGAAGTATAAGTAGAAGAAGAAGAAGAGAGGATTAGATTGTATATGTGTGTTTGAAGAGGAAACTATAGAATGAGAGAGTCAGGGTTTATGTACGATTGGTCTTTCGTTTATGACCTTGAAGTGAGTGTTTTATTACGATAGCACCACTAGTGGTGGTGGTTTCATTCTTTTGTTTGTCGTTTCATACTTTTTTTCTTGGACCCTTGTGGTTTTACAAGTAGAATGAAATATCTCAGATAATATCTTACTCTCACGTGCTCCTTGTCCCTCAGGGGAATAATCGTTAAATTAGTTTCTTGCTAATTTGATTGAGAATGAACTTATTTAAACAACCATATCCAAATTATATGAATTTTCAGAATTTCGGTTCGATTTAGTTCCTCGATATTTAGTTCGATTTTGGTTTGGTATTTTCGGTTCGGATACTTTGTCCACGATTACATTGTAAGTTATAAGGTTCATAAGCTTGAATTTTGTTTAAGGGTACGTAAAGTGTTATTAGTGAGTCAAATGTACTTCAACAACTCTTTATACACGAGACTAGTTATAAGATCTTCCGGTAATGCAAACATAAAGTATAAAGACAACATTATAGAAGGTATTTTAGGAAAATCTTATATAAAATCTTTTCTTTGAAAATCTGGGGATATCTTAGCTTCTAAGATATTTCTATAATGTTGGTCTAATGACTAAGGTATGTCACTAATCGCGGTCAATACTAGAAAATATTACGAGGTTTAACATAAGATGAGAAAATTGTATATTCGTAAACTTGTGAAGATGTGAGCATATTTGGTTAAGTAGCAAAAAGAGAAGTGGGAGAGGAGTGCGCATTTGCCATATGACAGTAAAAGCCTGAAGCCTTCTGTGACGGCACATGATCATATATATATTGTTCTTTAGTTTTCAATTTTGCTTCTCCACCGTTTTGTTATCCATAATCTATTTCCTTAATTAAATATGTTTTACTTTGATATGATACGTACGAAAGTGGTTTAGAAATTTTCTAATCAAATGTAATTAGGAAAACATTTGACCAAATAAATGTTTTTGTTTGATTTCTTTATTGGACCACCCTTTGTCACGGTTGGACCATTGATTCCTTTAAGACTTTGTTGTTTTTTTTCAGAAAATTATTTAACATAGGTGATAACTCTTGTCTGTTTCGTGATATTAAATGACATAATATCTTAAGACAAAAAAATATCTTAATTTCTTAGTACAATGCTCCAAAATAAATGTTTGAATTTGATATTTTTATTTTATTTTTAACAAGCATGCATGTACAAAGATTATTTTTTCGTACTACTTATTATACGTAAGTATAGTTCAAATGAAAACTAAACCAAACCAAAACACTAGTTTATCGTCAATGCACATGATTAATTAAGTGATATTTGGTTTTGCAATTTACTTCCCTAAGACTACAAAAACCTTACCTTAGATCGTTTAATTTGTTAGTGGTACGTAGTCGTGGTGATCAGAAAAATCTTGTTGGATAATATTTGATAAGTCGTTACGTTCTTCGTTCTAAGTCATTCTCTTTTTCTTTTTTTTATATATTAGATATGCGAGTCTAAGTGAATTTTGACTATAGGAGATTTAGAATTTCAAAGTGTAAATGCATATAAGATAGTTCGATACAAGAAACCAAGAGAGTCTTTTTGACCAAACAATTTATGAGTACTATGGAACATGTGATCATAAATTTGATCGAAAATTTTGGTGGATAGTCACATAACGCTTGGTAGAAATTTTATTTTATTTTTATAAGTAGTATTTTATTTTTAATACAAATAATTATGTCGTTATATTACTATTATTATTATACATACAAACGCTATACTATTGAAACCGCAAAATAATTACTTAGTAATACACGGGTTGGTTAAATTTAAACAAAATTTGTTGAATATAATTGCAAAAGAACTTGAAATTAATGTAAAATAACTTTAAATTTTCAACAAAATTCAGAATTTTCTAGGAAATAATTTTTCGTTCATCATCAGATTAAATAAATTAAGGAAAACAAATTTGAAAGATTGCATGTGAGCCAGCAAACCTCTCATTGGACAAACAAGTTGAATAAGATAGACAAAAAAAACAACTAAAAATTCATTTTATTTTCTTCTGTTTAAAGTTTTTGATATATGAGCAACCAAGATATTGAATATCGAAGCTGGTGTGTGATAAAATGAAGAAGAAGAAGAGAAAAGGGCATGTGAAGGCACATGGGAGAAGGAGACAGAGTAAGAAGGCATGGAAGTGAACAGAGAGCATGTTCTGTATATTCCCTGCATGCACATAACTTTCCTATTTTGATATATAATCCTATAAAAGAATTATATGCAAGTAACATGATTTTTTTTAGATTTTTGATTAATTTAGTAACCCATAAGTGGAGAGAGGACTCTGATCTCTTTTTATAATTTCGATTTGGTGCACATGGTTTACTATCTAGATTTCAGGTTAATAGCATGTGTTTAGCTGTTTCTCCACGTGAATGATTTGTGTACACTGTCACTGATTAACAAGTTCAACTTTTTAGAATTATTATCATAAAGAGTAATGTCATGTTTCTAATAGTTTAAGTCTTATTGTCACATAATATGGGTTTAACCAAAAATGTTCTTTCTCAACGTGCTCGGTACATGTTTTACATCTGTCTTTAAATTGAGATGTCGAACCATTCGGTAATGAACTGACTAAAGAAAAGTTGAAACCAATTCTTATGTATATCAAAGGATTATTACGGATTTCGCCATTATCTTATTCAAATATTATGAATGTGTGATTTCCATACAAATTTTCGGATTATCATTTTAAAATATTTGAAAATGTTTCTATTTATAATTTCTATTAATGATAAATTTATAACATATAATAAATCTTAACAAATGAAATCGACTAAACTCAAATTTAACATGATGGATAAAATACATGCTAAATTGTATGTTTATAATGAAAAACGGTAAATCTATAAGATTTAAATAAAAATGGTAACTTTTAAAAAATAACATGAAGAAAAATGCATGGCATATTCTCATCATTGATTCTTAATATATTATTTACATACACAAAAATATAACAAAGCTATTTGTAATTTTCTTTTAAAGTCTATGTGTGTTTCAACAAAATATAAATGTATATATAAGTGTGGGAGAACAAAAAGGTTTTGAGGTTTTGTTTTCTTCGTTTGATGAAAGTGGAAGTGAGGGACAATATGATAATGTAGGTAAGGGACAATTTTATTTTCTTTGATATTAGCAAAAAAAAAAAAAAAAAATTTAGATGTTGACGAGACATCTTTTCATCCCCTTTGTGTTTCCTTAATCACTCTAACCATTTTGTAAATTGGTAATTCAAATCTTAATTAGCAGCATTCGACTTTATGGGGGACTAGGAAGTGCCTATAAGTTTTTGTGTGTCTTCAAATACTAACACGTCGTCGGTTCACTTTTAACCAATAAGAATATTTGACCCACGTGAAAAAACATAAATACATAAACATCCAAATCAAGAGAGCTTCTCACACTAGTCGACCAAAATATATATGTTCTTATGTATGAGGTTTTACATGAATTGTTGTTTTTAGTAGTAATATGTTATCTTGAGTTAAAAAAATAATATCATGTGTAATGCAATCTGTAAATATCTATAGAGTAAAACCTCTATAAATTAATACTCGATAAATTAATAATCTCTATAAATTAATAAATTTCTCTGGTCCCAAGTTGGAACCAATGTAATTTTAGACACATTTCGATAAAATAATAAGATAATAAATTTTTTAAAAGTCTTTTGTAAATATATGGTCCCATCAATATTATAAATTAATAATTAGGTAAAATTTTCAAAATATATGTATATGTAAACACATTAGTTTTTGTTAGATTTTATTTCTAATATTTTAATATATAAAAAATAGTTAGCATTCTCTTTTAATACATAATAATTATTATTTTATTTGTAATTGATTATATAAAATACTAATTATCATGATTAAATCTTATTTTTAAATATTGTTTTGAAAATATTTTCCAAATTAGGAATATCTCTCTATAAATTAATACGTCTATAAATTAATAGATTTTTATGGTCCTAACATTATTAATTTACAGAGGTTTTTCTGTAATTAGTAAAAGTTTTATGTTAACATCAACCAATAACAACAAATTAGTAGCAATGGTTAGTTATTTCCATTAATAAATCAATAAGAAAAGACCAAACTATTCATTTGATCATTATTATTTTGTTAAACTAATGGGGATCACGTTTTCAAAGAGAAATAAGAGTAGTTAATTACAATTCAAATATTTTTTTCATATATATATATATGTCAAGTATGATTCTTTTTTCTTTTCTTGCACATCTTTTTGTGGTTGATGAGCCACAATCGGTTTTTTCTGTTATAAAAAAAAAAGTAACACTCTTGTAAATAAATTATTGCAACTTTTACTATGTAAAAATAACCCTTAAAACTCGCATATTTAAAATTTTGGCGAAAATCTCTTTTCTACATTCTTTTGTCTATTTGTAAATTTTAAAAACTAATACAAAAATTAGTTTTGATTGTGGACAAGTACTAGTTTTAATAAATGCTTTAATCACATTATAATTTTGTAGTGAACAAAAAATATCTCATTTTTAGATATTTTAAAAACTTTTTAGACTTTTAGTATGCATGCATAAAAGATCAGGTCTTATCTAAACTACAACTAGACAATAACACTAATCCAAATGACTTTCAAAATTTTGTCTAAAATTTTAAAACTCACCTAAATGGTTCATCTAGATGAGTTTGAATAATACTCATTTTTAAGTTAAAACGAACAACATTCAGATGATTCATCCAGATGGTTCATATGGATGAAGAAACGAACATGACCAAAAACACAAACCCACATATAGTTTAAACTACATGTAAGCACTGTCTAGCTATAAAAACCATTCTCTACTTTATTAACAACTTGGGCTAAACTCAAGTTACATATGAAGAAGAAACATACTCAAAAATTTCACGTCAAATCATCTACTTTTTTATTTTCATGAAAATATCTACTTTTCCATGTGATTGTAAATTTTCTTGTTCGAGTCTATCAACTTTATTCTCTAAATTATATATACAAAGAAAAGAAAGAATATTAAGAGGTGATGGTGGGGAAATAAGGTATCCTGAGACTAAAACACAAGTCAGTGAAGAGTGTGACTACTGATCCCACAGTTCTGACTCTTTCTTTTGCTCTTGTCTCCCATGCTCTTCACTTATTTGTCCTCTTTTTCACGTTTATCTATTCAAATCAATCTATGTCTTCATAAATTGTCATATTACTCCAAAAGAAACAAAACAATACGGCAATGTCAAATTATATTTTGAGTTTTAGAGTTCAAGCTAAACTTTGAGAAATTGATAACGTCATCATCCTTGGATAAATAAAGAGTTTGAAATGTTAAAAATGAGTTTTGTGGAAGGTTTAGGTTTCATTGTGAAATCTTTAGAAGTGCCACTACTCATAATTTATTAGATATTATACAACAAACAATTCGAAGCAAATTAGCTTCTCTAGATCATTTACTCTACTTAAGTTTGACCATCATCTTCAACTACAACAATAAGCTAGCTCAGCCACTTTCCACTTCTCCATTTGCTTTGGCTTCATTCGATTCTTCACTTATCACTACTAGACCATCCTCGTTGCAAAGGTTTTTGCACAAATTTCAAAGTAAGATTTATGAAAAAAATCCTTATATAAAGATTTGTGCAAGAATTTTTTCACAAATCTTACCTTAAGATTTGTGCAAGAACCCTTGCAATGAGAATGGCCTTAGAGTCCACAAGAAAGAGAAACCCAAACCCAATGTGATGTTATGTAAGTAGAGTTTTCTAACAAGTAGATTACTATATAAAGTGTGTAATAAACATCATTGTCTTCAACCTTGAGAGTTGTCAAAGAGGCAACTCTCCTTCTTCACCATTTTAATGATTGAATCAAAGTATTACTAATCTTGGTGACAATCTAAAGCTCTTTCCTTTCTTTATATTTACTTGCACACAATAAAGCTCAATGAGCTATCTAATTTCAGTTTTCTATTTCTAGTTTAATAAGCTCTTTAAGAGCATTCTTTGAGTTTGCTATCAATCACAACTGATAAATTCGGAGTTTCGAGCATGTCCATTGCGGGTTTCTCAGTGACATACTCATCAATATAAAAAAAAAAAAAGAAAAAAGAAAGAGATGAAGAAGATTTTCTCATTTGAGCAACATTAAGAAATCAATTTTGATACACATTAGACACTTGTCTTTTTGCATTGGTTTAATTTTGTTTTTGTAATTAAAATTAAATTATATAATGAAATTCGAAATATCAATACTGTTTTTTGTTTGAGAGACTCTTAGTGTTTGTCATTGATGGAAATGCTCTAAGATGAGATTCCAAATCAAAATTAGTTTTTCTCTATCCTTTAATAAATTTGGAGTTAGATAATATAAAATAAATTAATTATTCATAAAATAAAAAATACATATATATATATATATATATATATAGTTAGAAAAATTAAAATAATTATTTCATCAAAGTATTTCAATGATTTAATTTTAATTTATATTTAAAAAACAAATTATAAACGAAAATTTGAAAAATTGTACATGCCCTAGTCCCTAGGTAAAGTAATGACGTAAATTTGGTTATTGAAATCTTTATATTCCAACTCATTGAAATATGCAATATAAGAGGGAAAAAAAAAAGAAAAAACAGAGGAAAAAATAAATATACAATATACTAATCTAAATATAAAGAATCATGTTCTAGACCATGTCATATTAAAGTTTGGGCTACTCTATGAGCTAATTTTGTTTATTGGGCTTGAGGCCTGTTCATTAATTATTATGATTTGTTTTAGTCTCTTATTCCAAAATCATCATCATTTTCTCCTAAAGATCCTACTTCCAAGTATCATCATCATCATCTTACCAAACACGATGATGCCTTCTTCTTCCCCTAATTTCCCAGAAAATTGAAAAAATTCTCCAATTTACTTGTGAAATCCCACTTATTTGATCCAATCTTCGTCTCCAGATCATGTGAAACAAAAAAAGGTTAGTTCACTTTCTATATCGTCGATTTTGAAATCTTCGTCGTTCTGATTCGTTTTGACGATGATCATGTTCTGTTTATCAAATTGTGAAATTTTCCTTACTTGTAATGTCTATAATCCAGATTAAATCGATTCCTACTCCTCTGTTGTGTTCCGAAGTTTCTGTTTTTGTAGTGGATCTTACTCGCCCTTGTCAAAAGTTCGAAGCTTTAGATGATGAAATTGATTGTTTCTTCTCAAATCTTTGAACAATTTGTGATCTTTTAGCATTTGGGTTTCTATAAAAGAAGTTAAAAATGAGATCTTTAGTTAGTTCCAATTCATAAGGCCATAAGCTCTGTTCTGATTCTATTGTGTTACTTTGTAGTGACAGTTTTGTTGAAGATGTTATGTGAAGAAGTATTAAAGAATGTGTTTCCATTACTAGAAGGCGAAGATCTCGCTGCTTGTATGGGTGTATGCAAACAATGGAGAGATATAGCAAGTGATGATTTTTATTGGAAATGCCAATGTGCAAAGAGATGGCCTTCGGTTTGTAGACGGCGTAAGCCTCCTACTGAAACATACTACAAGATGTATCAAATGTTTAGTAAGCGGCGAGTGAGCCGTGTGCTTCCTCCTCCGAGGCTGGCCTTTGAGAACTTGGAGTTCTTTATCGATATTTGGTCGGAAGATAAGCTTGTTTTCTCAGGGTTAATACCCGGTGTGACGTTGGATAGTGGAATGAAAACTTTGCCATTAGGGATCAGTAATGTTCTTAGAACTCACCTTGGGAGACCTGACTACAAGATGGTTGTTTCCGCTGAGCCTAGATTCACTATACCGTTAAACCAGTCTGTTAGTGTTTCTTTGCTTGTGGCAAGGAATGATTCGGATAAGGTTGCTCGGATAATCAACCGATCTGTCTTTGATTATATAGACCGTTCATCGTACCGAGCTCTTGCCTTTGAGTATCTCGACTTATCTCCTTATTACCCTTTTATATCCGGTATTCGAGCATGGATCTCTTTGCTTTTCTTGGATGTCGAGGATATAAACGAGGGGCTACTCGACGTTTTCGGGATTCAGTTGGATTTTAATGATGTTGCTGACACTAAAGAAGAGGTTTTGTGGCTTCTAGACATGCTTGATTGGAAGTGAAAACAAGTTTTAACACTCAGATTAAAGCTCTCTCTCTCTCTCAGGTTTGCAACCTCTGTACACACAACATCGTCTGCGCCAGTACTAATCTTTCTACAACAAATGTTCATTTTCTTTTATAGTAGTTTGTGTTTTTTCTTCCCTCTTTAATTGTTTAGTTTTCGTTTGATCATTTGCTGTAATTCGAAAACTTAATCTTACACAACACTGGAAAGTGAATAATTCTCAACCAAACTATAGAAAGTGAAATGCCAATGTCAAAAAGACTCAAAATTGTATATTCCTTTGCAATCCGGTTCTCTTGATGGTTTTGACTATTGTTTATATCGGTTTAGTATTACATGTTACCATACTATTTTGTAATTCAGTTTGGTTTCAAATCGGTTTAATGCAATCATGGTTTATTTCGGTTTTCGATATTTGATGATAAAAAAAGTTAACTTAAAAAAAGAATCAAACAGTGATTATTTATTAGTTAATACGTTCATATCTATTGTTAAAACATATAATTTGAAAAATAATATCTAATGATTTGTCTTTTTTTTTGGTCTATTTGGATTTAAAATAATGAAACAAAACAGTTTATAAACCGATTTTAGTTTGTTTCGGTTTAATTATTTTGGTTTGGTTCATATCGGTTCTGGATAAATATTTAGTATGAAATCAGATGGAGGTAATAAATTATGTAAAATTACTAATATCTCATTTATATTTAATTATTGCAACCAATACATCTCTTAGTTGTATAAGCCACAACTTGAAAAAAATTTCATATCATTATTCTTAAAAGTTAGTCTTCCCATCAAAAGTTTGTCCAAATCCCCAATTTGATGGCATCACATTAATAAAGTCCTTTGTAACACCATCACTCGTCGTAACTCTCAATGATAAGCTCTGACCAGTCGGAACAACACTAGTGCTCCAGTTTTGTCCCCAGTTTCTTGCCATTGTTATCCACCCGGTTTTGCTTCCCTTAACTTGGGCGTACTTAATATCACCGGCTCCTCCTACATTATACGCCAAGATCATTAAGAAATTAGGGTTTCCTTTGGTTTCAAACTTGACACCACCAGCTCTCGAACAAGGAACACGCCTGTATCTAATCGGGACAATCCCGGCTTTGTACTGAGCGATCTTGAGGAACATTGGTTGGGAAAGATCAAAGTGTTTGTTTGGCGCGTTGCACCAAGCAGAATCTGGTGGACAGAAATTTGTCGCTGTGATCTTGATGGATCCGGGCAAACACCATTGTGGCGAACGTGTACACATGATCTCGTAACAAGCTCCGCAAGTGTACCCGTTGTTGAAAAGCACCGTGCTCAATGCTGCTGTGGCTAGACCATACGTTGGTTTGTTACCGTATCCACAAGCTCCTTCTATTACATGTATAAAGAAACAAGAGTGAATAGCTAATATAATGGTCTTCCAAATGAATTATAGCTTTTATGTATTTTAAAACTATTTTTGTGCTATTTGTGAGAATTGCCCAATGCAAACGTAAATACAAAAATTAGCATTTTAAACAATCGAAATCTATACAATATTATTCAACAATTAGTTCAAGAATATATTAGTGTTTTTTTTTAACTTACCTAGAGTGCCTCCACCATGGATATCACCGTAAAATGTGGCTCGAGCGTCATACCAAGAAGTGTCGAGCCCGTTGGTTGGGTTGCCTAGTGGTGCTTCGGCTACTTTACCATTCTCACCATGACTCATGGACACAAACCATGTCACCATAATTAACATAAAACATTCTACATAAGTAATTTTTTCTAAGAGTTTCATGATTAATTATCCTTCTCTAATTATATAACCTTTTTTTATTTTTACTTTATTTGATGATGAATATTGATGGGAACAATATAGGTGCGGTATATATAAGTAGAGAAGTAGAATTGATTTTTTTTTTTTTTGCTAAATATGTGAATATCATTTAAAAATGAAAGTTTGATAATACAAATAGTACTACCTAAGCAAAGTAGCCTTGGCAAAAAATAGTACTACCTAAGCAAAGTAGCCACAGCAGCAATCTCGAAGACTTATCTCTCTCTCGAAAGAGTGAAAAGATTCCTCCTTTCTCCGTCGTTTCCCGACGTCTCTCCTGTCGACGGAGACCTTCTCCGGCGGTGGTTCTAGGTTTACCCCTCCTCATGGGGAACAGAAAGCCTCCTAAGAAAACTCCTCCCAAAAAGCCAAAACCAAAACCAAAGAGAAAATCTCCTCCTTCTTCCTCCCCCCTCTCTTCTTCTGTTACGATTCCTTCCCCACCGTCTGCGCCGGCTGAGCCCCCCGCTCAAATTGATGGACTCTCGAGCCCTGTCGCGGCTGTTCCTTGCCCAGTCATGTCCGCTCCTAACCCGCCGTGTTCTCCTAATGCCCAATTGACTACTCCACGGGTAGACTTGGCCATTAACCTAGTTTCTAAATCAATCCCCTCTGATAAGGAAACAGAGCCTATTGTGGTTGAACCTGTGAAAGTTGTTAATTCAACCGAGCCAGTCTCGACCGTTATTGCACAAGAGCCTTTGCCTAGCAAGGCTTCTCCCCCTCCGACTGTGAACGCCGTTATACCGGTGGAGCCAGTTGTCTCTCAGCCTGCTACTACAGGTTCTGATTCTTGGGTTAACAGGGTGAAAGGCTCATCCAAACAACTCAAGAAAAAAGGAACAGCCTTTACTCTGGAAACGGGTGAAGCTTGTGTCAAAATTCCAGACTCGGTGATTGAAAAGAATAGGAAGTCATGGGAATGCTTCATCATAGGGCAGTTCTATTTTGAGCCCCCATCTCAAGGTACGATACACAGCATCGTCAATGGCATCTGGAGCAAGCAGTACAGAGACATTGCTGTCTCTAAACTGGAGGGAAACGCGTTTCTTCTTCGCATTCCCAACGCGTTCACCCGCAATAGGGTCCTCTCTCAGCGTCTTTGGAAGATTGACGGACAAACCATGTTCGTAGCAAAATGGGATCCGGGAGTGGTACCTGCCAAGCCTGAAATTTCCTCTGCTCCAATATGGCTAGAGTTGAGAAATGTCCCACTTCAGTTCTTCAATGAAGAAGGTCTGGAGCACATTGCTGGCCTGGTTGGTCATCCAAGATTGTTACATCCCTCCACGGAAAACAAAACAAACATTGAGGTTGCTAAAGTGCTAACGTTGATCGATCCCAGAAAACCCCTTCCTGAGGCTGTAAATGCTCAATTTGCTTCAGGTGAGATTCACAAGATTCTGGTTTCAAGTCCTTGGATGCCTCCAATTTGTGCTCACTGCAAGGAGATTGGTCATAGCTTGAAGTTTTGCAGTAAAGCTCCCATCACCTGCAAGCCATGCTCCTCCACGTCACACTCCGCTGACCAATGTCCAAGAGTGGCTAAGCCTGGTCTCAAGAAGAGAAGGAATCAGAGAAAATCAAGGTCGCCTCCTCCAACTTCTCCCACAGACACTTCGACGGATAAGTCAAAAATCAATGTTGTTGGAGGTAAAGAATGGGTTCCAAAGAAGACTCATGCTGCAGCAGTGGGTGAGGTGCCCTCAAGTACCCATGAAACGCTTGTTGTGCATCATGCTTGCCCTTCTCTTGGTACGGGAACGCCTCTACAGCAGGGTGAATCGAGTGCTTTTGGAGCTCCCGCAGTGATCCCTGTGGTAAACACTACACCACCCCCCCTGGTCAAGGATTTTTCCTCAGGTTCAGAGGTTGAGAGTGACTCGTCTGATACTGTTTCTAGCTATTCAGAGGAGGAGGATTATAAAGAAGTGCTGACTAGGAGACAGCGTAGGAATTTGCGAGGCAAGAGCCTCAAACCCTTTATATAATTAATGTGTACAAACCTTTTTTGTTGGAATGTCCGGGGGTTCAATATATCTACTCACCGAAGCGGATTTAAAAAATGGCATAAGGCCAATAAACCACTTTTTGGCGGCATTATAGAGACGCACGTGAAGCAACCGAAGATCTCGAAGTTTGTTTCTGATCTTCTTCCAGGCTGGTTGTTTGACGATAACTACGGTTTTTCTGTTTTGGGAAAGATTTGGGTGATTTGGCATCCCAGTGTAAAGGTGGTTGTAGTTGCTAAATCACTGCAAATGATAACTTGTGAGGTTCTGTTTCCAGATTCTGTGGACTGGCTGTTAGTATCAATTGTGTATGCTTCAAATGAGGACACTATAAGGAAGCACCTTTGGGATGAATTGACTACGCTTTCCTCTAATTTGGCAGGGAGCAAGCCATGGTCTGTTTTAGGGGATTTTAATCAAGTTCTTACGCCAGGAGAGCACTCTAATCCTCCTTCCCTGAATGTGGATAGGCGTATGCGCGATTTTAGAGATTGTCTTGTGGAGGCTGATCTTTCAGACCTGGTTTACAAAGGGAATTCTTTTACTTGGTGGAACAAGAGTGAGTCTCTCCCTATAGCAAAAAAAATTGGACAGAATTTTGGTTAATGAAGCATGGTTCACCGCATTCCCTACCTCCTTTGCTCTCTTTGGAGAACCCGATTTCTCTGACCATGCATCTTGTGGTGTTGTACTCAAATCCGAGGTTTGCAGGGTTAAAAAACCTTTCAGATTTTACAATTTTCTGATCCAAAATCCAGATTTCCTCAATTTGGTTAGGGAGCATTGGTATTCTGCAAATGTGGTGGGATCTGCGATGTTCCGTGTCTCCAAGAAATTAAAAGTGCTAAAGCGACCCATTCGTTGCTTCAGTAGAGAGAACTATTCAGACCTTGAGAAGAGAGTTGTGGAAGCGCATAACCAGGTGCTGGCCTGTCAAAATAACACATTGGCAAATCCTACTCATTCTAATGCGGCTGCTGAGTTGGAGGCTCAAAGGAAATGGTACCTGTTGGTCAATGCTGAAGAGGGCTTTTTCTGGCAAAGATCGAGGGTCACTTGGATTAGAGAGGGTGACAGCAACACGGCCTATTTTCACCGGATGGCTGATTCCCGGAAAGCCTTAAACAGTATTCACTTCCTCCTAGATGACAATGGGACTAGAATTGACACTACTCAAGGAATCAGTGACCATTGCGTGGATTACTTCTCTTCCTTGTTGGGTGGAGAGGTTGAGCCCTTTATGATGGAGCAGACTGACATGAATATGATCCTTTCTTACAGATGCTCCACCACTCAAAGTGACGAATTAGTAATGACCTTTTCTCGTCAAGAAATACAAGAAGCATTCTTCTCGCTCCCTCGGAATAAAACGTCTGGCCCGGACGGGTATTCAGCAGAATTCTTCAAAGCATCGTGGAGTATTATTGGCCCCGAAGTGACTGATGGTATCCTTGAGTTCTTCAAGTCGGGGAAGATGCTCTCTCAGTGGAACTCTACTACGCTTGTGCTCATCCCTAAGATCCCTAATGCGTGTAAGATCTCTGATTTCAGGCCTATTTCCTGCTTGAACTCCCTCTACAAAGTTATTGCGAAGCTTCTTACTTCCAGACTTCAGCAATTCCTCTCACCGATAATCTCTTCTTCTCAATCTGCTTTTTTGCCGGGGAGGTTACTTGGAGAAAATGTGCTTCTAGCCACAGAACTTGTTCAGGGTTATAATAGAAAGAATATCCAGCCACGAGGCATGTTGAAAGTGGATCTTAAGAAGGCGTTTGACTCGGTTAGATGGGATTTTATCATTTCGGCTCTAACGGCTCTTGGTTTACCATCGAAGTTTATCAACTGGATTCACCAATGCATATCGACGCCTTCTTTCACGGTTTGTGTAAACGGTTCTACATCGGGGTTCTTTAAAAGCACAAAAGGTCTTAGGCAAGGAGACCCTCTCTCTCCTTATCTCTTTGTGCTTGCAATGGAAGTGTTTTCTAAGCTTCTGAAAACTAGATATGAGGCAGGGTATATTCTTTACCACCCTAAAGCGGCAGAGCTATCTCTCTCTCATTTGATGTTTGCCGACGATGTAATGGTGTTCTTTGATGGTGGAAGTTCCTCGCTGCACGGTATTAGCGAGACTTTGGATGATTTTGCTTCCTGGTCTGGTCTCCACATGAACAAAAGCAAAACTCATCTCTACCTGGCAGGTGTGGAACAAGCTGAGCTTAATGTTATCGCAACCTATGGCTTCCCGCTAGGCTCTTTACCTATAAGATACCTGGGCCTCCCTCTAATGTCAAGAAAGTTGAGAATGGGAGATTATGAGCCTCTTATGGAGCAGCTGATTAATAAGTTCAGATCTTGGGCAGTCAAAATGCTCTCATTCGCGGGTCGTGTTCAGCTAATTGCCTCAGTCATCAATGGTATCGTTGTCTTCTGGATTTCTACCTTCATTCTTCCTAAGGGCTGCTTAAAGCGTATTGATGCCCTTTGCTCTAAATTTCTCTGGTCCGGTAATATCGATATCAGAAAGGGAACTAAGGTGGCATGGTCTAAGGTTTGTTTGCCTAAGAAAGAAGGAGGAGTCGGGCTTAGGAATTTCTCTGTCTGGAATACCACTCTCTGCCTCAGATATGTTTGGTTGCTTTTTGCAGGCTCGGGCTCTTTGTGGGCGGCGTGGCATAGCCACCACAACCTCAAGCAGAGATCTTTGTGGGAAATCAAAGAATCTCCTCGTGATTCTTGGACTTGGAGAACTATTCTTCGTCTGCGCCCTGTGGCGGAGAATTTTCTAACAAGCAAACTGGGGAATGGTCAGAATATCTCCTTCTGGTATGATAATTGGACGCCTCTTGGTCCCCTCATTAAGCTTCTAAATGAAGCTGGTCCTCGTTCTCTCTGCATTCCTCTGAAAGCTAAAGTGGCTGATGTCTGCTCTGCGGAAGGCTGGATTCTCCCTCAACCGAGGTCAGTGGAGGCTATGGCCCTTCACGCCCATCTCACCACGCTCGCCCTGCCAACAGCCTCTTCTCAGCCGGATTCCCACCTTTGGAAGGTTGAGGGAGTTGCTGGTCATTCTTACTCGTCGTCAAGAACGTGGGAAGTGCTTAGGCCTAAGAAACCGGAGCAACAGTGGACTAAGTTAGTCTGGTTTAAAAGAGCTGTCCCTAAAAACGCTTTTAATATGTGGATCTCTCACCAGAATAGACTTCCAACCAGACAAAGGCTTGCCTCTTGGGGTGTATGTGCCTCCTCTGCTTGTTGTCTCTGCTCTAATCAGGTTGAATCCAGAGATCACTTGCTCATTTCTTGTGCTTATGCCACAGAGATTTGGAAGCTTGTTTTTGCTAGGTTGAGCCCTTCGCTGCCCATATTCAGCAACTGGTCTGAGCTGCTCTCTTGGATGCGGAGAACAACTAATACAACCCCATCTCTCTTGAGAATGGTGGCTGCACAAGCTTCAATCTACCACATCTGGAAGCAAAGGAACAACATGCTGCACAACTCGTTTTTTATCCCTCCAGGGCCAGTTTTCAGAATTATTGACCGTGAGGTTCGCAACACAATCTCAGCTCATAGGCACAGAAGACGATGGCGTCATCTGATGCTTTTCTGGATTCAGTAGATTTCCCAAATCTTTTCCAAAACATATTGTAAGTAGAATTGATTTTGTCACCTCTTTAAATATCTTTCCAAATTTTGAAGTTTATGTAGTCAATCTACACCCAAATAAGAGATAACATTGCCATATTTGTATATGTAAGATGGTAATATATGTTGTAAAATTTAATGAAATGTGGACTGACTTAAATTTTGAAATTTATTGAAGTTTATGACATTATGTAGTCAATCTGCATCTACAGAAGAGATAACATTGCCATAGTTTTTGTATATGTAAGAAGATACTATATGTTGTAAAAATTCATGAAATGTGGACTAATATAAATGAGAAACTTGAAAGAGAATCAAAAGAAGTGATATATTATTTGATTTCTTATAACTAGTTAATATGATTTTATCTATATTTTAAACAAATATAAGTAATTATTTACCATATTTTGGTTTATTTGATTTAGTTTATTTAAAAATATAAATAAAACCATTTGATTTATGAACAAATTAAATTTTGGTTCAATTCTATTTAACTGTTTGATTTGGTTCATTTATGGTTCCTTGTCCAAATATAATCCTCGCTAATTAATCATTTTAGGTTCCAACCAAATGAGGTAACATAAAAAAAAATATTCCTTTATTATAAATTCTTCCAACCAAAACACACATGGTCCTAGTAGTAATTAAATCACACTTAATTCATATAGTTTTTTTTCTTTCTAAAAGTTAAATTTTCCATCAAAAGTTTGACCAAATCCCCAACTTGGTGGAACAACATTGATAAAATCCTTTGTAATCCCATCACTTGTCGTAATCCTCAATGATAAACCTTGGCCGGTCAATACAACACCAGTGGTCCAGTTTTGTCCCCAATTCTTGCTCATTGTTATCCACCCGGTCCTGGTTCCCTTGACTTGCACGTACTTAATATCTCCCGCTCCGCCTACATTGTACGGCAAGACAATCAAGAAATAAGGGTTACCTTTGAGTTCAAACTTGACACCACCGGCCTTTGCACAAGGAATACGTCTGTATCTAACCGGGACAACCCCGGCTCTGTACTTGGCGATCTTGAGGAACATTGGTTGGGAGAGATCAAAGTGTTTTTGTGGTGGATTACACCAAATGTCTCTTGTTTTGGTGTAATCTGGTGGACAGAAATTTGTTGCTGTGATCTTGATGGATCCGGGCCAACACCATTGTGGAGCACGTGTACACATGATCTCGTAACAAGCCCCGCATGTGTATCCGTTGTTGAAGAGTGCCGTGCTTAATGCTGCTGTCTCTAGACCATAGCCTTGTTTGAATAGATCACCATATCCACAAGCTCCCTCTATTGAATGTATAATGACGAAAAGTGAGTATGTAATAATTTGACATGGCTTTTACGTTTGTGTTTGCTACTACGTCTGATGTTACTTATCATATTGTAAAAATTTGGTATTCTAAATCAATTATATCTATATGTATTTTAAAAGGAAATATTTTAACTTACGTTGAGTGCCTACACCATGGACATCACCGTAAAATGTGGCTCGTGCGTCATACCAAGAAGTGTCGAGCCCGTTGCTGTCATGACCAATCATGGGTGCTTCGGCTACATCACCTATGTCACCAAGACTCATAGATACGAAACATGTCACCATAATTAACATAAAACATTCTACATATATCATTTTTTCTAAGAGTTTCATGATTATTATCCCTCTCTAATGATATAACCTTTTTATTTTTACTTTATTTGATGATGAATATTGATGGGAACAATATGGGTGGGGTATATATAAGTAGAGAAGTAGAACTGATTTTGTCATATCTTTAAAATAATTTTCCAAATTTATTGAAGTTTATGTAGTCAATATGCATCTAGAGAAGAGATAACATTGCAATCTTTGTATATGTAACATGGTAATATAGGTTGTAAAAATTCATGAAATGTGGACTATCTAAAATCTTTTTAAATGTATTGAATTTTATAGTCAATCTTCATCCTGAGAAGTGATAACATTGCTATCTTTGAATATGTAAGATGTTAATATAGGTTTTAACAATTCATGACTTGTGGACTTGCTAAATCTTTTTCATGTACTAAAGTGTGTGTAGTCAATCTGCATCTTGAGAAGTGATAACACTTCTATCTTTGTACTTTGAATAAAATTGTAAAGATGTTTAATAGGTTATAAAAAGTCATGAAATTGTGAAATGATTAAAATCTTTCCTAATGTATTGAAGTTTCAGTAGTCAAAATCTGCATACTGAGAAGTTAAAACATTGCCCCCTTTGTATTTTGAATGAAAAAGTCAAATGTTAATAAGTTGTAAAAAGTCATGAAATTTGGACTTATTAAACTCTTTTAATTGTATTGGAGTTTATATTAGTCAATATGCATCATGCGAAGTAAAAAAATTGCTCTCTTTATACTTGTAATAAAATGGTAAAGATGGTTAATAAGTTATTAAAAAATCATGAAATGTGGACTATGGAGTGATTAAAACTTTTCCAAACGTTTTGAAGTTTCCAAACTTTTCCTCTTTGTGTTATCATTAGGCAACCGAATTTGGGACTGTCTTTAACTTTATAAGCTCACATTGGTATAAGCTTTAAGGAGCATTTTGATATCCCCTTTGTTTTCGAACCGAAAAACCGACCTTGAGCCGCTGGTTTGTGATAACAAATCCAATGGGACAGCTCTAATTATAGAGACTTACACATTCAAGCTTTTGTCATAAGCTTTAGGGGGCTTTTTGCAATTCCCATACCCCCTTTGTTTTTTAAACCGAAGGGTCTAAGCCGTGGGTACTAGTAGTAATAATCCAATTTCAGGACAATAGTTTCTGTATCATTAAGATCATCAAAGCGGGACATATATTCCCAAATTAGAGTCAGACAGAAAGGTAACAATATGGTCTCTAAGCCATTATAACATTATAGACTGATATAGATATAATTCTTTGCATCTCTATTGGCTCACATATAATATATATATTGGACTGTGAATTGATTTTCATTTTGGACAAAATGGAAAATTATTTAATCTACCTCTGTTTCTAATCAAGCTATTTTCTAGTTTTTTCACACACAATTAAACTTGATTATTCATGCATTGTTTTTGTATTTTATAATTTTTACAACTCTAAAATCTAAACCAATAGTATTCAGTTGTTTTTCTTGAAGTTTACAATTTATTAATAACAACTAATTAATATCGTACAAAAAACTTAAAAAGTATATCGTTTTGCAACAGAAATATTTTCTGAAAATAGATTAATAAAGAACGGAGGGAATATGTTATAAAAAGTTCATGAAATGTTGAGAGATCAAATTTTTTTCAAATACAGTATATGAAACTTTATGTAGTTATCCAATTTTTAGTTCGGTCCCATTTGATGTAATTCTTTTTTTTCTTCGTCAATTTGATAATTTAAAACTAAATTTTTATATATTATATTAATTCAATATGATTGTATATACCTAAAATATAATATTTAATGGATTTTGATTAATTTATTTAGTTAATGAACAAGGGTTTTAGCTCGGTTTTGATTACAATTTTTTGAATTTGAAAAATAAAAGGAGCAGTTAGTAAACAAATTTTGTTCAGTTTTTATGTTTGGGTCTAGTTTAGATTATCATTTAGAAATGTGGTTTTATTAAGAAAAATTAAGTAACGTAAACAATATCCTCCTAATACAGATATCGGATGGTACGGCCACCGCTAACGAAACTCAAATCCTTCTCTTAAAAGTTAATCCTTCCATCAAACGTCTGCCCAAAACCCCAGTTCTTTGGCACCACATTCCAAAATTCTTTTGTAATCCCGTCACTTGTCGTAACCCTGAACGATAAACCTTGGCCGACCAATACAACATTAGTGGTCCAATGTTGTCCCCAGTTCTTTGACATTGTTATCCACCCTGTATTGTTTCCCTTAATTTGCACATACTTAATATCTCCAGCTCCTCCTACATTGTATGGCAAGATCATCAAGAAGTATGGATTTCCTGTAGTTTCGAACTTGACACCACCTGTTTTCACACAAGGAATACGTCTGTATCTAACTGGGACAACCCCGGCTTTGTACTGAGCGATCTTGAGGAACATGGCTAGGGAGAGATCGAAGTGTTTCTGTGGTGGGTTGCACCAAATGTCTTGGGTTTTGCTGTAATTTGCTGGACAGAAGTTTGTAGCGGTGATCTTGATGGATCCGGGCAAACACCATTGTGGATTATTCGCGCACATGATCTCAAAACACGCACCGCATGTGTACCCGTCGTTGAAGAGTGCCGTGCTTAACGCTGCTGTAGCTAGACCATAGCCTTGTTTGAATAGGTCACCGTATCCACAAGCTCCCTCTATACATTAAATGTGAAAAAGTGAGTATATATGTAATAATAATTTCTAAAAAAATTAAAAACAAAAATTCAAATGTAACTAAACTTTGACTATTTGTTATTTGTTGGTTTACATATTACCTTCAGTTTTTTTGAGTAAAAAATGTTATGTTATCAACTTATCATATATAGTAATATTTTTGGCATTTCAATTATAGTAATATATTTATGTACTAAATTTATATATTTCATTTAAATTATATATTTATGTAAACAAAAGAGAAGATCATAGTTGGCAATTTGCATTGTGAAAACGATATACGTAAATGTAAATAAGCATGTAACACATTCAATTCAATAATAATAGTCGTTGTAACTTGTAACCAAGAACTATATATAGTTATAACAAAAAAATAGTAACTAGATATAAAAAAACAGTTAATATTTTAACTTACGTTGAGTGTCTCCACCATGGATGTCACCGTAAAATGTGGCTCGTGCGTCGTACCAAGCAGTGTCGATTGAATTGGTTGGATTCTTAACATCGGGTGCTTCGGCTTCTTGACCATAACTCATGGGAACGAACCACATCGCCATTATCATTATCAACACTTGAACATAGATCATTTTTTCTGAGTGTTTCATGATTATTGTTATTACTAATTAAGAGCTTTGATTGATGATGAATTGTGATGATAGCCATTTGGGTGGGTACATATATATAATAAGTAGAGAGATGTTTTTGGAATACCATTCCAAGTGTGTAATTAGTAATGTTTTTTTTAAATTTATGTAGTCAATATTTTTATTTTAGAAACCAGTTCGAAAAGATAATGTAATGCCATATGTGTATTTTGAATATATTAAATGATTTAAATAAATGTTGAATATTGACCAAGATTTCGGTTTGTTCCATATGTGAATTTTGAATAAAAATGGTCTGATCTTGTTTTTGTATATCTTTCCAAATGTATTAAAGTTAGTGATAGAATTGAAGTTTTTGATCTTTTGTAATCAGTCTGCATCCTAAGAAATTGTAACATGATATTTTTTACGATGGTTTAAATTGTATACTCATTCGCGAAAACAATAGTGTTATACTATCCACATATTTGACATGCAAGTAGTAAGTTAGTAAGTTACAAACTTAAAATTTTTGTGTCGCCGATCACTAACTAACGCAACGACTACATAAAAAAAAACATAACATATTTGATTTCTCTAAAACAATATATCAAGAAAACAAAACCTTCTTCTACTTCGTCTTTTAGTTATCAATAAAACAAGCACTCTTCTACTTAGTCATTGTGTCCTATCAAATATTTAGCTGTGGATATCAAGATTTGTAGGAGCCAAGCCATTCGTATTCATAGTTATACGAAAGATTACATATATGTCAAGTGTATCAACAAACAAAAAAAACAAATTGGATTTAGAAATAGATGTCAAGTGTATCAACAAACAAAAAAACTTTACTTACATAATTTGCTTTACACAAATGAATCTTAAATCCCAAATAATAATCTTATTTAATTTGTTTAAATTAAGGTTGGCATAAATGTTTTAGAATTAATGGTAGTAAATAATATTATATATATATATATATATATATATATATATATATATAAGTTTTTATATTCTAGGCTGCTATGCAATATGAGAATTTATTACAATTTTTTTTTTTGGCAAAAGAACTTTAGATTAAAAACAAATTGGATTTAGAAATAGATGTGAAATGTATCAACACAAAAAATAAACAAATTTAGTTACATAGTTTTCTTTACACAAACGAATCTTGGATCCCAAATAATAATTTTACTCATATTTGTTTTTCATAATAATCTTATTTAAATTTTTTACCTAGGCATAAATTAAGGTTGACATAATTTTTTTTTTTCCTATTGGTCAATACATGAAATTAGCAGGGATAAAATTAGAAAATTTACTAAACATCTATGTTGAAAAGAAAACAACACTTATTTTGAAACAAAATTTAAAGTCTAAAACGACACTTATTTTAAAATCGAGGGAGTACTAGTAAATTAACATACCTATATATAACCCTCCTCCTTAGTTTACTTGCAACCTCAAACTCTTGTCCTAAAAGTTAACCTTTCCATCAAAGCTCTGTCCAGTAGTTCCCCAATTCGCCGGTGTCACGTCTATAAAATCTTTCGTAACTCCATCACTTAGCGTGAGCTTAAACGATAAACGTTGTCCGGTCAAGACAACACCAATGCTCCAAATCTGTCCCCAATTCTTCTTCATTGGTAACCACTTGGTCTTCGTTCCCTTAATCTGCATGGCCTTAACATCTCCAGCTCCTCCTACATTGTACGGCAAGATCATTAGGAAATGAGGGTTTCCTTTGATCTCAAACTTGACTCCTCCGGTTTTGGTACAACGAACACGTCTGAACTTAACCGGGACAACGCCAGATTTGTACTTGGCGATTTTGAGGTACATTTTTTGCGAGAGATCAAAGTGTTTTTGTGGTGGGTTGCACCAAATGTCTTTGGTCTTTTTGTAATTTGGTGGACAGAAGTTTGTAGCTGTGATCTTGATGACACCAGGCAAACACCATTGTGGAGAGTTGAAGCACTTTATCTCATAACAAGCTCCACACGTTGAGCCGTTGTTGAATAGTGCCGTGCTTAGTGCTGCTGTCTCTAGACCATACCCTTGTTTGTGTAGATTACCATATCCACAAGCTCCCTCTATCAAAACAAAAACAAGTTAATGTTTTAGTTTGAGAACAAAATATAAATTAATGTAGCCTGGTTTTGTTTGTTTTTGCATGTGTTAACTTTCACGTTCGCATGTCATAAAAATGTTAAAAACATGTCAAAAAGAAACATTTAATAGGAGTAAACACAAAACTTGGCCTAACCAAACCATATTGGTCTTTATGTTCATCAAAGCTTGAGTCTCACATTTTACTAGGGCGGCTACGTACCTCTTCATGTTGGTTACTATATACGTTGGAATAAAAACTCAATATATTACAGGTCTCGAGAATGATTATTGTATTATTAGTATAAATTTAGCTTACGTTGAGTTTCTCCTCCATGGATGTCACCGTAAAATGTTGCACGGCCATCAGTCCAACCAGCTTGTGCCTTCGTTGGATGTGATAGTGGGTGCGGGTGCGGGTGCGGGTGAGGATGCGGGTGCGGGTGCGGGTGCGGGTGCGGGTGCAGGTGCGGGTGAGGATGCGGGTGCGGGTGCGGGTGCGGGTGTGGATGTGGGTGTGCGTGTACGTGTGGGTGTGGATGTGGGTGTGGGTGTGGGTGTGGGTGTGGGAGATGACTATAAGCCATGGGCAAAATCCATATAGCCATTACCATCATCAAAACGTGAGCACATAAAAAAATACTTAAGAGTTTCATGATTGTAACTCTTTTTTTATTTAACTTTCTAAATTTTTTGTTGATGATGATTATTATTGATGAGAGTGTAGTTATTTATAGGTTAAGTAGAGGAAAATGTTTAGGCTTGTCGATATTTTCGGTGATTCAATTAAAAATTCTACGATGTTGCTTATACCAAGGAGGATATAGTTTGTGGCTTATGGACATGCATGATTGTATCTCATTAAAGCTTTACCATCACTAATTTTATTACTAACATGTTTTTTTGTTTTCCGGTATATATGTTTAAATCTAAATATAACATCTTGTACGAAAGTATAAAATTTTCAGTGTGTGCATAAAGTATAAGTGTTAAATTAGGGTTTGTTACGGGCTTCCAACTCAAAACCAATTGGCAATGAGTGGATTGACCCTAATCCCTTATATATTACTGAAGTCCTCTCACATCTTCCGATGTGGGATCTTTTCTCCACAATAAGATCCAGATTAAAGTACAAATTTCTCTAGGGCTTTGAATTTTCTATTAGACCGAACCTAGATACAAAAATGTAGAGAGGAGAGCTAGAACTCTTGTCGAGATCAATGAGCAAAACATCATGAAGAAGATTAGGAAATGCTTTGGTAGTATCCAAGATTGTGTCGATTAAACAAGAGTAATTGTTTTGTTGGTACTACATAGTTTAACTTTAGATGGTTAACCTTAACATTTTGTAATCGATACATCAATTTGGCTTACGAATCTAACACTAAAGACTACTCCGATACTTCTATTCCTTATTAATCTATTAGTTTAGAAAATAATTTTATTTCAAAATGAAACATTTTAAAATTTTCGTGCAACATTAATAGACTTTTATTGATGAAATGTAAACTTAAAGAAAAACATTTGAATGCAAATTGGTTAAGATTTATAAAAAATCATATATTGCAAAAATCAAGACATTTATAACCAAGTTTAATACTCCTCTGTTTCATAAATAGTGTAATTTTGACACATTTCACACAAATGAAGAAAAAATAAAATATACATATATGTCCCTATTTAATAAATGGTTAATGGTTTAATTAATTATAGATTAAAGGTAAAATTTAGAAATTTAATGTAAAAGATGATAATAATATAAGTTGTTGACAAAAAAAAATGTAAAAGATGCATTGGAAATGTAGAATGATACTCTTTGGCTTCTACTGGTAACCATTAGAAGAACAAAAGGAAAAAGAACAAAAAGAACAATACGGAACGGAATAAACAACTTTTGAGTAATGAAAGGAAAACATGCAGAGAAGAACAAAATAATAAATGATAACCAAACAATAACACTATCTTTTATAATATATTTGATTAAATAAATCAACTTTAATAATAATACTAGATATAATTTATATATAATGAATTTGACACTAATTTTAAAATATATTTTTGAATGAATTTAAATATGTAATGTTAAAAATTAATAATTTATATTAACCTATTATAGATTATAGTAATTTTTATTTGTTATTTATGATATAAACATCTCTTAAATATGTTTTACTATCCATACAAATTTTAAACAATGTATAGTAAGATTTTTTAACATGAAATTCATATCAAAAATATTTTTTAATGTCAATACATGATAAAAATATGAAAATATTATATTATGAGATTAAAATATTATTAATAAATATTTTTTTATTTATTTTAAAATAAAAACGAATTTTAATATTTGTTCTTTTTTTTGTTCCATTTGTTCCTCATCAATTTTGGGGAGGAACATTTTTGTTCTATTGTTCCTCATTTTGTGAGGAATGTAGAGTAATGATGTGGAAAAATGATTCCTTGTAAATGGTAAAAAAATTGAGGAATGAAGAGGAATGTCACATTCCTTCTCATTTTTTTCCTAAATCATGGTTACCAATCGAGGCCTTTGTGTAACAATTTTTTTCTCTAAAATAACACTCTTTGTGAAATAGATGAAGTATGTGTGAAAGGTCTAAAAAATAGATTAATTAAGAACATACAAATACTTAATACATGCATAAGCTTCCTTATAACAAAATAAAACGATGAGTTTTTGTGGACAAAACTAGTCCAGTAGTCTTGGACATTTGGATATTCGGTTCGGTATAATTTGGTTTTTGATCTTTTTAATTATGAGTTTAAGATCTATTCAGTTTGTTTTAGAGTGTTGGTTCGGTTATAGTACGGTATGTTTTTGGTTTGATTTCAGATCTTAAAAAGAACCGATATAAAACCGAATTATTTTTGGATATTTTTTTGTTTCAGTTATAATAAAAAAAATCGAATATCTTGGAATATTTTAGGTAATTTGGATATTTTTGGGTTTTTTCTGACATTTTTGGTTAAATTTTGGTTCGGGTATATGGGTATTTTGGATTTTGTGGTTTTCTGGATTGGTTATTCAGATATTTCATTTTTACATGTAATTTTTAGTTATTCAGTCCAAAAATAAATCAATATTTTTGGATATATAATTCTATTTTGAATACTCATTCAATTTTTGATTTGGTAATTATTTGGTTTCGGGTTGTTTGGGTATTTAAAATTAAATTTAGTATCTATCCGGTTTTTACATTAATTCGGTTTGTTTCGGTTCGGGTCAGTTTTTTCCCACGACTAGACAAAGCTATATATTGATTAGCCGGCTCGTCGTGCTCGTGCATATCCTTCCGTGGGGAACATGTTACAAGGGCAATACCGTAATTTTCACTAATCATTCCAACGAATTCTCCATTTTACCCTTTTGCGTTTTTAACTGAAAAACTCTTCTATAAACTGTAACGTTTCGTCGTCTTCTTCCTCGTTCCTTCTCCTCCTCACTGCTCTCAAGAGAAAACCAACTTCTTCGCTACGAATCTTCTTCCGAGGTAAAACGTCGATCTCTCTTTACGTTTCTCCGAGTTAACATTTTTCTTATCGCCGATACTGTAAGCTCAAATCTGATCTGATCTCTCTTTTAGAATCGTTTTGATCACTAAACACATCTATCACTCGTTATTTGGAGATCGGTTCTTTTCTTCGTTTTTTGAGTTTTTCTATGGCGGATTCTCGAAATGTATATAGATCCTGTGGTAACCGTGTCCGTTTGAGGTATCCTTTTTGGTTTTTAGGTACCGATTTGTTCAGATTGTGTTTAGATCCGTGTGATTTGACTAGTTTTGGATCATTTTGTGTAGTCTCTTGCTTGCACATTAGGTGTTCGACGTTTTGCTTACTAGTTTATAATCCAGATCTGATCTGTTTTGTTTTTGGGAATTGGAATCTGAGCTTTAATGGTGAAGATCTGTTGTCGTTGTTCATAGATGTGATCTTAATTTTTGCAGAGAGATCAAAATGGTGAAGATCTGTTGTATTGGAGCTGGATATGTAGGTGGACCAACAATGGCAGTGATTGCACTGAAATGTCCTCATATTGAAGTAGCAGTTGTTGATATCTCTGTTCCTAGGATTAATGCTTGGAACAGTGATCAGCTTCCGATTTACGAGCCAGGTCTTGAAGATATTGTTAAGCAGTGCAGAGGGAAGAACCTTTTCTTCAGTACTGATGTGGAGAAACATGTTAGGGAAGCTGATATTGTCTTTGTCTCTGTCAACACACCGACTAAGACAACTGGTCTTGGAGCTGGGAAAGCTGCAGATCTCACTTATTGGGAGAGTGCTGCTCGTATGATCGCGGATGTTTCGGTTTCTGACAAGATTGTGGTTGAGAAATCGACTGTTCCTGTGAAGACAGCTGAAGCTATTGAGAAGATTTTGATGCATAACAGTAAAGGAATCAAGTTCCAGATTCTTTCTAATCCGGAGTTTCTTGCTGAAGGAACTGCAATTGCCGATCTTTTTAACCCTGACCGTGTCTTGATTGGAGGCCGAGAAACACCTGAAGGATTCAAAGCTGTTCAGACACTCAAGGAGGTTTATGCCAATTGGGTTCCTGAAGACCAAATCATCACAACAAATCTCTGGTCTGCTGAGCTTTCTAAGCTAGCTGCAAACGCTTTCTTGGCTCAGAGGATTTCATCAGTCAATGCCATGTCTGCTCTTTGTGAATCCACCGGTGCTGATGTCACTCAAGTGTCTTACGCTGTTGGTACTGATTCAAGAATCGGTTCCAAATTCTTGAACGCCAGTGTTGGATTCGGTGGTTCTTGTTTCCAAAAGGACATTCTTAACCTCGTCTACATCTGTCAATGCAATGGTCTTCCAGAAGTTGCGGAATACTGGAAACAAGTGATCAAGATCAACGATTACCAAAAGAACAGGTTCGTGAACAGAGTCGTCTCTTCCATGTTCAACACTGTCTCCAACAAGAAGGTTGCCATCCTCGGATTCGCATTCAAGAAAGACACAGGCGACACAAGGGAAACACCTGCCATTGATGTCTGTAAAGGTCTGCTAGGAGACAAAGCGCAAATCAGTATCTATGATCCACAAGTCACAGAGGAACAGATTCAGAGAGATCTTTCGATGAAGAAGTTCGATTGGGACCATCCCCTTCACTTGCAGCCAATGAGTCCAACCACAGTGAAACAAGTGAGCGTGACTTGGGACGCATATGAGGCAACAAAAGACGCACACGCGGTCTGTGTTCTGACAGAGTGGGATGAGTTTAAGTCGTTAGATTACCAGAAGATCTACGACAATATGCAGAAACCGGCTTTCATCTTCGACGGAAGAAACGTTCTGAATGTTGACAAGTTAAGAGAGATTGGTTTCATCGTTTACTCCATTGGTAAGCCACTTGACGCATGGCTCAAGGACATGCCTGCCTTTGTCTAATAACAAGACACAAAAAAAAACTGATCTTGTTTTCTTCTTCCTTCAATGTTCGTGTCTTTTTCTTTTTGCTTCATTCTCATATAAGTTTAGTTTCAAGACTCCATTGTCGAAGTCCTGAGGAGTTCATTTTTACATTTTTACATTTTTACAGTGTGTGTTTCTTATGTAAGCTTCTCTCTTAAATGTGTTTGTCAAAAAGACTTTTGTATTCGATGCGGTTTGCAACATTTTTGTTGTTTTCTTAGAAAGGCAATAAAAATAAAGTTTTTTAGTATTCTAATCCCAATTATTGCAGATTTGTGTATTATATAATCTCTTTAGATCGGATCTGCAAAAGACAATATTAAAGTCAATTTAAGATTACCAGACTTGAGTTATAAGTAACCAATTATATGAAGCTTTTAAAGTCATGGCTCCAAGACAAATTCACAATTGTGCATAAGATCTAGTAAGAAGAGTTGTAGTGACTAGTGAGAGAGTGTGTAATGGTGTGAAACGTGGATAGAACATGCGAGTCCGTGCACGTGCATGGTCGCAGAGTAGTTGCTTTGCACGAAATTATTGTAACTCATCAATGCCATATAGCCTAAGTATAATTCAACTCTCACAAAAAAAACTTTATTCATGTTTTTTGAAATGCGGACTTATATATTTTTATTAACATTTTAAAATTTTACACTAAGGTTATATATTACTCACAATAATTTGAGTTCAAAGTCAAACAATCACCATTAAATTTTTATTTTTGTAAAATAAAATTGTTGGACCCTTATTCTATAACAATAGTTTTGGGAATAAATATGTAAAAAACTAATAGAAATTGCACTTTACCAAAAATAAATTCAAATATAGATTTGATACAAAGTTGATAGAATTGGGAAACTTATACAAAAAAATTGCAACACCCCAAAAATACACCCTTTTTTTTATATCAACACGTACATATACATATATAAAAGGTATTTTTTTTTTCTACTATATTTTATGGCTTTTGAATCAAAATTAAATCTTCTTTGATTTTAAAATTTCTTACACTATAATCAAAACTTTAAAACATATCTTATTAAAGGTAATGAATCAATGTATAATGAAAAAAAAATACCAAAAGAAAACAAAAAAAAGATATGCTTGCTATAAATTAACATTGACAAAAAGAATAATAATATCTTGTGTCTGTGTATATAATATATATATTGTTTTCTCTCAATCTTGCTAGAGCTCTTTTGTGTTTCAAGAATGGAGAAAGAAGCACTAGTTCCCAAACTCACCTCTCTATCACGTTCACGTACGCCTTCACTAAAAGAATGTGTGGGGATTTGCCTCGGAACAGTGGCCATCTTGGGCTGGATCGCTTTCCTCATTCTTATAGCTGTTGTCCAGTATGAACATAAAAAAGAAGAAGATAATTATGTGCCAAACGTTACAATACCTTCAATGGATTTCACGGTTCTTAATATAACAACAGAGACTAGCCTTACCGTAAAATGGGATGTATTGGTAAGGCTCCCTAGTGATCTCCCTGGTAGGTTTATGTGTCTCAAAGGAGATTTTAAGTTTTCCATACTATACAAAGGACTAACCATCGCCACTTCATCCATAGAGAGGTTACAACACTTCATCTCTATATATATTAGAATTCTTTTTATCTTCTTGTTTTTTTTTTTTTGTTTAATTCATTTTCTTGAATTTATCAGTTACAATTTGATTCCACGGTGGGCTCAGCTGATTAAGGTTTCATCGATTGCTTCCGAGGACGATATGGACAGTATGACTATGAAATATATGATGGCGGATATTAAGGAGATAGGTGAAATAAGGTTCAGATCGCGGTTGGTACTTCCGGATTGCAGATATGGGACGAGCGGAAAGATGAACTATGCGTGTGATGTAGCCATCTTACGTTTCGAGCCTGGCTCACGGAACAATGCAACTTTGTTTGGAAACCTCCCTATTTGCCGATACCTACGCTAAAGTATATATACTTTTCGTCAATAAGTTTCTTGTTTAATTAGTTTTCCAAATGTAATGTTAGAATTGCTATGATGATATGGATTGGTGTCACTTAATTAGAAGTCATACATATAATAAGCCTAATCATTTCAGTATGTTCCTTTGTTTAAAACATGTGCTAAGCATGCGATGATCTAATACTTAGCGTATAAAACGTGTAATTTAAGACATACTGTATAAGATTTTACGCGTTTACAAGATTTTTTTGGATTCTTAATATCTTCCGGATTGCAGATATGGGACGTACGCAAAGATGAACTATGCGTGTTATGAAGCCATGTTACATATCGAGCCTGGCTCTCAGAGAAATGCAACTTTGTTTGGAAAGCTTTATATTTACCGCTATCTTCTCTAAGTTTTTTTGTTAAGTTTGCCAAATGTTAGTATAATTTAAGTATGTTCCTCTTAAAAATATGATAAGCATGAGATCGACTATCAAATACTTAACGCATAATTTTAGGGGTTACGTTTCGTTTTTTTTTACTTAATTTGAAAGCATGTCGAACAAAAACCTTTAATATATCATATTTTGTTATTTTATGTAATTTTTGTTTTTAGTTTTAAAAAAAAATAGATGGTTCGAAACAAATAATTTGCAAATATCACAAATTATTTTGGATATTCATAATTCCAAATATTCAAAAAATTTAGAATCGAAACAAATCATAAAATCATATATTGCTCGAGACAAAAGCAAATCACAAACACCACAAATTTTTCGAATATTCGGTTTGTACCCAAACTTACCATGTAAAACAACCGTTACTCAAGTTGATCATATATTCGTATGAGTATGTGATTCTCTCTAAAGCTCGATCTAAGACTCAAGAGAATCAAACCGATGTTTTCTTGAGTGTTGTCCACACGGTAAGATAACTTCTCTCTCTATAGAGAATCTTCCAGCTTGGTGTCAGTGGTTCCAATTTCCAAATCCACCAAACGTTGAAAATGTAACTTAAACGCATAGAATGAAATGTATCAATCATTATAATTGTCATGAAATAAAGATGAGAGATTCCATTTTTTCTCATGGCCCAAACCAATGTTTCTCCCTTCCCACTTCTCAAGGTTGTCTTTGTGACAACTAATCATATTCTAATTCTCTTCTCTCTTCTCTGCCCTTTATGGGAATAAAAGTTTTTTTTGTATTTCTTTATTTATTTCTGTTCAGATTTGATGATCTGTAAGAATCTCTCTTTTATTGGGATTGCAATTATCAAAAGTCCAAAACTTTAGCCAAACATACACAAAAATTGCTCCTTTATTTTTTGCATAATCAAAGATCAGAACTTCTTCACAATCCTCCTTCATTCTCTCTGCTTTCGCCATGGACACTCTCATTGCTCAGTTACAGAGACAATTTCGTGATTACACCATTTCTCTCTATCATCAGGTAAGTTTTTGCATCTGCCCTTATAGATTCAGGATTCAAAGTGATTACCTTTTCTTGTGAAGCGAACTTGGATAAAGGCGTCTCCTTTATACAGGAATGACTCTGTACAGTGTTTAGGGTTCTTATTGAAGCTTTTGAATTGGAAATTGGGTTTAGTGTTTGTGTGAAATTGGGTTATGGTCTTCTTCTTTAAAGTTGTCTCCTTTTTAGAGATGGCTCTATACAGTTTCCATGCTTCTTATTGAAGCTTGTATATGAAAATTGGGGATTTTGGGAATTGGGTTTAGTGTTTGTGAAAATGGGTTAGTGTCTCCTTTTGTAGGGATGGTGGCTCTCTAATGGTTTCAGGGTTCTTGTTGAAGCTTGTATTTGGAATTTGGGGATTTTGGGAATTGGGTTTAGTGTTTGTGAAATGGGTTATGGTCTATTGTTTTCAAATTTGTCACCTTTTTAGAGATGGCTCTATACAGTTTTTAGGGTTCTTATTGAAGCTTATGTATTGGAAATTGGGGATTTAAGAATTGGGTTTAGTGTTTATGAAATATGTTTCTGAGGTTCTTTATCTTCTGATTTGTGAAGGGGTTTCTGGATGATCAATTCACTGAATTGAAAAAGCTGCAAGATGAATGTAGTCCTGATTTTGTGGCTGAGGTTGTTACTCTTTTCTTTGAAGATTGTGAGAAGCTTATCAGTAACATGGCTAGAGCTTTGTAAGTGTTTCTTCTTACTTTTCTTTTACTAGTTTTATCATCAAAAGCTAACGTATATTGTTTAATTATTGTTGTTCATATGTATATTCAGAGATCAGACAGGAAATGTTGATTTTAAGCTGGTAGGTTCTAGTGTTCATCAACTCAAAGGTAGTAGCTCAAGGTATGTTTCATCGATCCGTATGATCTCAGTCTTTTTGTTTAATCTTGGATCTAGTCTCCATGAAGAACACTCCTTTCTTGTTTTTATGAAGTGTTGGTGCCAAGAGAGTCAAAGGTCTTTGTGTTACCCTCAAGGAGTGTTGCGACTCTCAGAACTTCGAAGGGTCAGCTTTTTTTTATAGGAGAATCTCATATTTCTTCTATGTTCATTTGATCATTGAGACTAATTGGTAACTTAATACAGGTGTGTGAGATGTTTGCAGCAGGTGGATATCGAATACAAGACACTGAAGGCAAAGCTTCAAGATCTGTTCAATGTGAGTAAAAATGCTATGTGAATTGTGTAAGTTTATGCTTTCAGATTTCGTGAATTATTGTTTTGTTTTTGTTGCAGCTTGAGCAACAGATTGTCCAAGCTGGTGGTAGAATCCCTCAAGTGGATATATAAAAAACTAGACTGGTCGAGAACAGAACAAGCAAAGATGACAATGATGATCCGTTTGCAGTCTTCTTCAAGCACTAATACTCGGATTTGTTGTTTTAGAAGAAAGACTCTTTTAGAATGTGTGGTAAAGAGAGAGGTGATTGTTGTTCATAGATCAGTACTATGTATCTTTTGATATCATCTATTTTGACTCTTGAATCTTGATGGTGATCTTATTCTCAATAGTATATATACAACACAAGAATAATGCTAAAAACATAAACATCATAAGAAGCAGAAAATTCAAGGAGAGTAACAAAAACCCTCACAACTTTGGTTGACTCAAGTCATAACCTATGATTGACCTCCATAAGCACTTTGGCTGACTTGCTCAATTCACATATTTTTTTTTTCGTAGTGACAATGAATTTCAAATGTTTTTTCGTTTTTGTCAATTACACATTAATTAAAATTTTCTTTTACGACTGATAGTCTAATATAGTGGAATTAATTTTCTGATATTAATGTTTAAAATTTTGTTATGTATACAGTAAAACCTCTATAAATTAAAATTTGTTTAATAAGTTCGCAACTTCGCATCGCGACTAACTGACTACTTAACTGCCATTTTCATGATATAAAAACTATCAATATTTTATTTGTGAAAATTATCAAATTTATTATTTTTATTTGTAAAAATTATCAACTTTATTATTTTATTTGTAAAGTTCTAGAAACGGATTGTATGATTTTCTTTCTAAACCTGAAAACAATTTAGAATTAAGTCACATAATCCAAAATGAAAACAATAGTCAAACAAATATATCTTCCAACAACTCTTTTTCAAAAAACTACCAAAAAAATTCAGTCAAAATAGCATATTAACATATTAAGGTAAGGTGTTAAAATAAACACCTTAGAATCCAGTCAAAATTCTTAAAATCCTGTATCACCATTATTGAATGGTAAAAGGTCAAATAAAAAATTTCATTGATATGGTATAAACTTAAATGCAAAATCTACTATAAATCTTAGTACAAGTTTCATCTGGCAATTCACAGTATTAGCTGCGCCGCATTTTTCTGTTTAACTTTAATCAATCCAGGATTCAAGCGTCATAACAATGGAATCTACTCAATCCGCTCTCAAGGTATAAACATATCATATCTTTCTAACTAGTTCAATCACTAATTATGTTATCAACTACTAGAATCATCATTCTTTGTCTTCATCTCATTGACAATTTTGCTATAGATTAAAATGTATAGATCTGTTTGCCCATATTTTCATTGTAACTGAGTTCTTTTTGGTACTCATGTATACGTTTGTGATGTCCATATGAAGAGTCCATCCAATGAGGTTGGAGAAAGCAATGCATCATTGGAAAGGATGAATCGTGAGGAGAAGAACAAGGAGAAAGTGATTTCGTTTAGAGACTTTTGGACGTCTTCAGAGGATATGAAACTCAGGGAGCTTGTTGCTGAATATGGTCCTCGAACCTGGACAAAGATTGCAGAAAAAATACAAGGACGATCAGGTAATTAGATATATGCTTTTCACATTGTTACATCATCGTCAATATGTTACATATATGCCTTGTGGATTTTGGTTTTGTTACATCATGGTCAATATGTTGCATATATGTCTTGTGGATTTTGGTTTTGTTACATCATCGTCACTATGTTACATATATGTCTTGTGGATTGTGGTTTTGTTACATCATCGTCAATATGTTACATATATGTCTTGTGGATTTTGGTTTTGTTATATCATCACTATGTTGCATATATATGTCTTGTGGATTGTGGTTTTGTTACATCATCACTATGTTACATATATGTCTTGTGGTTTTGTTACCGACATAGAGCTTTGGTTTTTTTTTTTTGTGTGTGTTGAAGCTAAGACATGTAGAGCAAGGTGGTTTCGTCATCTTGACCCAGCGATTAGTAAGAAAGCTTTCACTGACAAAGAAGAAGCGATACTACTTGACGGTTATGCAAAACATGGTAACAAGTGGACTTTGATCGCTAAGCATCTCCCTGGAAGAACTGATGAAGCAGTGGTAAACAATTGGACGAGACTCATGAAAAAAAAGAATAGGAAGCCGAAGCAATCTGCTTCTCCTCTTGAAGTCACTACAAACGTCGACACAACAGAAGGTGAGATAGAGATATATAAACATATATACACGACACCATTTAGTTGCAGAGTCTTGTCATGATGTTTTGATTGTGTGGTTTTTACAGATAGTGCAAGTGAACTCACAGATCAAGCAATGCAATACTCATCAGCTCTTCATTATGGCTTACCTATCATGTATGCAGTTCCCTTGGCAATGGCTGCACCACATGTGTCCATGGCCATTTTCCAACCATCATCATCATCAAATGCAGTTGATACAATGGAGACCGAACACATCGAGACCAAGATACCACCGAAGTTTATCGATTTTCTCGGAGTTGAAGAGAGTGTTAAAGTCAAAGAGGAAACAGCATGAGAACTTTTGATTAGTAAACCTTAATTATTACATATGATGTCATTTTGAGACATTAACAAACCAATGTTGCATTTTCATAATTATTATATTTCAATGTATTTTTGTTTTTTCCTTCAAATTTTCAGTTTCAGAAGATTAAAATATAGTTCATGGTAAATCACAAGAATTTCTGAGCTTCACTATAAAACTGAATCTACTAACTATAAATTCTGAGGGTATATAAAAGTTAATAATATAGGTTCAAAAGTAAATCATTTTCTCTTAAAAGAATAGGTATAGATATTCAAATTTAGGCTTAAATAATCATCGGTTATCAACAAAATTATTTAGATATATAAATTATATTCATTATTCAGAATCAAATTAAAACGTATGAACAATTAAAGATATTTATTTTAACATGAGAAAATCTCAATCTAGTCACAAATTTGAAAACCTAGATGTATACTTATAGGTTCACAAAAAAAATTTATATATATATATATTTTTTTTGACATCATTACAAATTCTACGTCTCTCGAACCCAAATCTGCTGAAAAGATAATAGAGGTGAGAACCACTAGCGCACTTGCTCTAAGAAGTTGTATACTTGACGTTCAATATTTAAAATTTAAAGTACATAAAATCCATTACGTAAAAATAAATTGATTCATCTATAAAAAGATAAATTATCTATAATTGTTTCGTAAAGATATTTTGTTGTAATTAAAGGGTTTATTTTGCCAAAATATAGATAATGTGAGGCTCGTTTTGAAATTTTCACTAAAATGAGGAGAAGAAAACGTCACGCAGTTTTCATTGCAAATTATAATCCGGCACGCACTTTGATCTGCTTTTAAACAAACGCGACCCAATTAGAGTTGTTGACAACAATCGTGTTTTTTAAATGAGCCAAGTCTTGCGCAGAGCTAAACACGCACTTAGCGTCAAGCGATACCAATCTCTCTTGAATCAGTATGCAGCGACTCAGTCAATCTCCAAAACCAAGGCTTTACACTGCCACGTCATCACCGGAGGTCAAATCTCCGGCCACATTACGTCGACTCTCTCCGTGACTTATGCTTTATGTGGTCACATTGCTTATGCACGGAAGCTGTTCGAGGAAATGCCTCAAAGCTCTTTGCTTTCTTATAACATTGTTATAAGAATGTACGTGCGTGATGGATTGTATCATGACGCGGTTGATGTGTTCATTAGGATGGTTAGTGAGGGAACTAAGTGTGTTCCTGATGGTTATACGTACCCTTTTGTTGCTAAAGCTGCTGGAGAGTTGAAATCGATGAAATTAGGGTTGGTAGTTCATGGGAGGATCTTGAGGAGTTGGTTTGGTACTGATAAGTATGTGCAGAACGCGTTGTTGGCTATGTATATGAATCTTGGGAGGGTTGAAATGGCGAGGATGGTGTTTGATGTGATGCAGAACCGAGATGTGATCTCGTGGAACACGATGATTAGTGGGTATTATAGGAATGGGTATATGAATGATGCTTTGATGATCTTTGATTGGATGGTTAATGAAGGTATTGATCCTGACCATGCCACAATTGTTTCCATGTTGCCTGTTTGTGGTCACTTGAAGGATTTGGAAATGGGAAGAAATGTTCATAAATTGGTGGAAGAGAAGCGGTTAGGGGATAAAATAGAGGTGAAGAATGCGTTGGTGAACATGTACTTGAAATGTAGTCGAATGGATGAGGCGAGATTTGTCTTTGACAGGATGGAGCATAGGGATGTGATCACATGGACTTGTATGATTAATGGATATACAGAAGATGGGGATTTGAATAATGCTTTAGAGTTGTGTAGATTAATGCAGTTTGAAGGTGTAAGACCTAATGTTGTTACTATAGCCTCTCTTGTTTCGGCATGTGGTGATGCTTTGAAGCTGAATGATGGTAAATGTTTGCATGGTTGGGCAGTAAGGCAAAAGGTTTATTCTGATTTGATAATGGAAACATCTTTGATCAGCATGTATGCTAAATGCAATCGCATAGACCTCTGCTTTAAAGTATTTTCAGGGGCTTCAAAAAGCCATACTGGTCCTTGGAGTGCAATTATTGCTGGTTGTGTACAGAATGAACTTGTAAGGGACGCGTTACATCTGTTCAAATGGATGCGACGGGAAGATGTAGAACCCAACATTGCTACATTAAACAGTCTCCTTCCAGCATATGCAACTTTGGCAGATTTGCGCCAAGCAATGAATATCCATTGCTATCTAACCAAAACCGGGTTTATGTCAAGCCTTGATGCTGCTACAGGGCTGGTTCATGTTTACTCAAAGTGTGGAACTTTGGAATCCGCTCACAAGATATTCAATGGAATCCAGGAGAAACACAAGAGCAAAGATGTAGTTCTATGGGGTGCTTTAATATCTGGCTATGGGATGCACGGTGATGGTCATAACGCATTGCTAGTTTTCATGGAAATGGTTCAGTCTGGTGTGATGCCAAACGAAATCACGTTTACCTCTGCCTTAAACGCTTGTAGTCATTCCGGTTTAGTTGAAGAAGGCGTGACGTTATTTAGGTTTATGCTTGAACATTATAAATCGGTCGCTCGATCAAACCATTACACTTGCATCGTTGATCTCCTTGGTCGAGCAGGTCGGTTAGACGAAGCTTATAGTGTCATTACAACAATTCCATTTGAACCGACCTCAACTGTTTGGGGTGCATTGCTTGCTGCTTGTGTCATGCACGAGAATGTCCAGCTTGGAGAAATTGCAGCAAACAAGCTGTTTGAGCTTGAGCCAGAGAACACGGGGAATTACGTGCTGTTGGCAAATATGTATGGAGCTTTAGGACGATGGAAAGATATGGAGAAGGTGAGAAACATGATGGAGGATGTTGGATTGAGAAAGAAACCTGGTCATAGCACAGTCGAGATGAGAAGTAATTTAGGTTGATATAGTATGAGAGATTCAAAGAAGAGATTCCTAGATAATTTTTTTGGTCAAATGATCATGAATGTAACAGAAATATATGTGTCTATTACAATTTGCAAGTGTTGTTCATACATATACATGGACGAAATCAACAAATGGTTTGTAAATGCACAACAATGATAGATTGAGAATCTGAAACCGTTAACTCTCTCTTCGTTGAACCTTGTAAACCTTCAGCTCATGACACACTTCACAGTTTCACACCAACTCTGTGCAAAGTGATGATTCCCAAAGTCTAGCAACAACAATTCACCAGTAACATAGAAACAACTTTTAACCAGAGCTTCAAGCTTTTCCTGCAAAGGAAAACGCAAGGTCGAACTTTTCCAATCACTGAAACTCTGTAGCCCCTTCAGAATCAGACAGGGGTAAGAGTGTACAAACTCCAAGCATATGCCCATTGAGGCACACATAATACTCAATGCTATCTTCATAAGCGCCCAATCTACAGCTAGCACTTTGTGGTATCATTTTCGCCTGAAGCATACTCCACAGCTTCGCTTTGCAATACGGACAAACTTCTGTGGGATGAAATGGTGTCCCTTTCTTAATAAGCAACTTCCTCACCTTTGACATTGAAAACGATTTAAAAATCCCGCGGAAGAATCCCAAATCACCATCTTCTCCTTGATCCAGATGTTCACAAGGATCAGAAACATAGAGAATATCATCAGTTCGACATTGGGCAGGAAGGAAGCTCCTTCCTGATGTTCTAGAGAAACGGGTTCTATGAACAAAATGACCGGGAATTTGAAAATCGTTAAATAGTCCACCTTTGCTTGAACCTGAGCAGTAAATCAAAAGTTTCCCAAGTGCTCTCCAACTCCCATCAACACTATGGCTACCACTAGATTGAAGGTCACACATCATCTTAGGCGCTCTAGCTCGGCAGAACTCTTTCCACAGCAACCGCTTTGCCATATCATCAAACCATTTACAAACACAAGACAGAGTCGCGATTACATTAGGATTCCAGTTCAGATGCTGAACCATAAGAAACAATACTTCTTCGCTAAGATGTCCTTTCGTGCAATGACAAGTCGCCGAGTGAATGCAACGGTATTGCTTCGCTATAATCATTTCCTCCACCTAGCAAAACAAACAAATCAAGCAAAACCAATCTTAGGCTAAGATAAATATCATACAGTATACAACCACACAAGTTGCAGTTTTTCAATGAACAAATGCATTAAGTTAAGCAAAAACACTTTAACTAAGTTGTAAAGCTGACCAAATCATGACCTCAAATTCAACATCAGTGACTATAAAAACTAAACCCAAATCAAAGATACATTCTTTATAGATATATAAAACAGCTATGCAATCAAATTAATTCATACATAGGTCAACCAAAATAAAGTAAAAATAGGACCTTTAAAGATACCCACAAACCAAAATCAAAATACTAAGTAAGAATCATCAATCAATACAAATTGACATAAAGTCCGACAAAACCAATGAAGACCCTAACCCCAAAGATGACTAAAGAAAGAACCTTATCAATTTCTTACAATGTGAAAAGATCTTCTTAGGAACAGAATCAATCACTCACCTTAGTTCACACCCCAAATCTGTGTATCTTCCCCCAAAAGAACCAAAGAGCTTAATAAAGTTCGAAACTTTTGAGATTTTAGGGTTTTTGCTCTAAGGAGAACACAAAATCTGACCAAAAAAGAGAAAGGAGAAAAAGTAAAGGTTCAACATTTCAAGTAATACAGCTAATTCCAGCAATACCCAGAAAAGAATTTTTGATGAGCAAATGCATGCAAATTGCAAAAGAATCGAGAAGAAGCAGCAAATCTGCTTTGTTTCCTAAATTTTTTTAATTTTTCGATTATTTTTATATTTTCTATGTAAATTTGTCTGAGCGAGTCTGAGACATGTTCCGGTACGGTAAGGTGTATGTACGGTGTAGCTACTCTGTTTTAATTGGATGAAGCTGATCTTACTTCGAGAAGAGTTGGTGTCTTGGTGACTACAGAAGTCCGTTATGTTTGCCCGTTAACGGGAACGGCGCGTTAGTTTTTTTTTTTTTTTTTAATTTTTTTTTTAAAAATTATTGGGTTTTATTTTTAATTATCATTATTTGGTATTTTAAATTAGTGGAAAGTTGATTAACTTCACCTTCTTTTGTTTTCTGGTATTACTATCAATGTTAAGTATTTAACTTCATACATACGGTGTTGAAATTATTTGATAGAAAATTACAAATTCAAGTAATGATTTTAAACAAGATTAAAATTTGACAAAAACTTGATAGATGATGGATGTGTAATTAGCCTCATATTGCTAGTGAAAAATATATAAACGTATATATTTTCTGTAACTTTTTTATTTTTTTTAAAGAACATTGCTGGAAAAAAAGATTAAACATGTTACCTTACACGTAAACTATCACTGGATATGTCGAGTTTGCTTCAACAACCGAAGACTTATCAAAAACTAACTTCAAAGTTCTATTAGATGTTGAAGTCTCTCTTTTTACAGTCTTCAGGGAATCCGATTCTATCACTAAATCGAATAAAGACATATAATTGGAAGAAATTCAAACAGAGAAATATAATAGTAACCAAAGACACTCTTTGTGTACTTGATGTACTTGGTGAAGACATTGGTTATAACGATAAAGAATAAAAAGTACTAAAAACATTGGTTTATGATTTTCTCATTTTTATGATTAATGTATAATAGTAAATCATAAGTAATATATAGTAGCAAGTCACAATAGTTGTATAAATTAATTATCAATGAGTAAATTTTATTAGATGTCTGGGAAGATTTGACGCATAACCCCTAACAATTTTTTTTAATGAATTTCTGTAGTTTGAAAAAAGAAAAAACATAAAATATATTACATATAGTGAGTATTATTTATTTTTCTTCATAGTATGTGCAAAATTATGGTCTTTCATAACTAGTATCAAATCCTAGGTGCATTATGACCATATGTCTAACTCCACATTGCTTCCGCCATATTTTTTTTTTCAGCAAGTTGTTTTGAGTGGTACATGATTAGATCAAATCTAGCTCGACTAAGAGGTTTGAATGTGTGTTCTTTAAAATTGTGGTTATTACCATGTCAAACAATATAACAAATTTTCTATTCCTTTTACCGAGTACAACTTCAATGTTATCACACAAACCAAATCAACATGACAATCCCAAGTGATGCGAAATGATCCCATATTAAAATTCCAAAATGTGTTAACATGTATGTATATGTGGCTACTCTTGCTAAGCTCAAATTTGGAAGAAGGTAATGCTAAAGAAAACATGAGAGAAGTAGATTATGTGTCATTAACAACAATAAATTTGGTTTTTTTTGGATCATTACTTAAAGTGAGGTCCGATTCTCTAAATGTTTTTTGAGAAAATCTTCAGGCAAAAAGATGAGCTTCAAGAAGACAGTTCTCCTTCTTCGGTTATGCGGCTTATGCCTCCAAGCCCAAATGATCTAGCGGCAAGTGTTCTTTAACAAGCTCCTTTTGTTCACAAACCAGTAAGGACCAGTTTTATGCAAAACCAGAAAAACACAGTTTACTGTCTGCTTAGTGATTTCTCTTAACAAGAAGACAAAAAGCAACAACAAATGTATGAAAACAGACTAGAATTTTTCTATACAAACTGAATTATATAAACCGAGAACCAAAACCAAACACAACCCCAAATCCATCAATTATTATTCACAAAAGCATCAATATCGATGTTTGGCTGAGACATATCCTTATAACTTTGTATGAACTATGAAGCATCAATCTTCTTTAAAGTTCAGCAAACCGAAACGATTCAAACCGGCTCAATCTAGATTAGTTTCTGCAGATCAACACAAAACCAAAACCAAATCAACTACTTCTAGAAATAAAAGATTTAATGGTTCAAGCTGTGCTCATGCTCAATGCACATACCAGAGAGTTAGCAGGAAGGTTTAAGATTCTTGAAGAGAAATGACTGTTTCGAAAGCACCAACCAAAGCTTTAACTTTGCTTTTACGAGCTTCCACGAGCTTACTCGCTGTTTCTTCAATGACATTGTTGAATAGTCCCTGTGCATCTTTCTCTTGAACATCTTGATGCCTCAACACAACCTTTTCACCATTCTCATCGACTTCTTCTTCTTTGATATCTTCCCTCTTCTTAAAGCTTCTCCTTACTTGTGCATCTTGTGCTTTGTCTTCCCCAAGACCTCTTCCCTTTCTAAACTTGAGCTTCCTTGCACTCTCACCCGCAGCATCAGCATCCACAACTTTTCCTCTTCGGAAACGTAACTTATGAGCAGCTTCATCTGCAGAATCACCCTCCTTTCTCGTCGCTCTTGGCTTCTTCTCTCCATTGGACATTTCGATCTCTTCTCCAGCGCTCTCAGCCTCATTGCTTCCTGAAGTGTATTCATACTCCTCTGTTTCTGAAACAGTACACTCATCATCTTTTGGAGTTGATTGGGTCGGTGGAAGAGGAGGAAGAACAGGTTCAACCAAGCCCTGCTGATTCTGATCGTTTTCAGAGAGGACCTTGCTAGTTGTTTCCATTTCAACAACGTGCAATGTTTTCTCCTCCACTGGATAATCATCTAACTGCTTATTAGATTCATCAGTACGATTCACGGATCTTGGTTTCTGATTTTGTCGAGAAGAAGAGGAAGATGCAGCCTTTAAACTCTGACTCTTTCTCAAGCTTGAATTTCCGGCTACTCTTACCGAAAATCTTGGAGAAAGCGAAGCTCTTGGAGTCACTGGAACTTTCTTTGAAACAACTCTAGAAGATACTGCTGCTGTCTTTATCTTTGTATCTTCGTCTTTCCCTCCACTTTTTGCCCCCATTTTGGGTTTCAGAACTGGTGAAGCAACAACTTTTTCAAGGATTACTTTAGATTTTGATGTTGCTAGTGCTGAAAAAGATTTCTTCAAGACTTTCGACTTCAGGGCATCAACATTTCCAGATGAGCGAGATCCCGAATCTGGTGAAGGCTTAAGTTTGGAACTTAATGTTGTTTTCTTCTTCATCTGCTTCACAGGAGTTTCATCACCAGATGATATTATCAATACTTCTGGCTTCTTCCTCCCATTAGAGACACCAGTCACTTGATACTTCACAACCTCTCTTTTAACTACCTCAGAAGAATCATCAGTAACCTTGTTTTTCTCCCCTTCCATCACCTTCTTCTTCAATTTAGAAGAACTCGGCTTCAAAGTTTCATTCAAATCATCATCAAGAGCTTTCTTGAAGATCTTTCTAGTAGTCGAACGCCATGGTTTCTCCACAGGTATCTCCCTCTTCCCGTACTTGCACAAATCATGACACGAACCAGTCGATGCTCTGAGGTAACGAGGGATCTCTTTCACCTTAGACTTTGAACCCATTCCCTTCCCTGTAGAGTCTCCTCTCAGGTTATAACCCTCTTCCTTATTCATCATTTCAGGCGTTCCACATGTTTTCACAGCATCTTCATCCATCAAATAACACCACAAACAGACAACAACAACCTGTTCATAATTTAAGACATAGACACCAAACAAAACATCATCGTTACTTCATATATATACAGACAAGAGAAAGGTTTAATTTTTGTATCTTCGTGATTTAAAGAGTTGACAACTCAAGAAAAAAACACAACAAATCAGTGAAGAGATTAAACACAAGAACCCCTAACAGAAAACTAAATAAAAACTCAAACTTTGAGCCATAAAAACACAGACTAAAAATAGGAAATGCCATAAGATAAACAAGCAAACAACAATATTTATTCAATCCACCACAAGATGCCAAAAACTAAACTCTGTTATTAGCACTGAAAAGCAAAGAACATATACCTATAAAAAGATCTCAAATTTAGCTCAGCAGACTTGGCTTCTCTTGGTTATCAAAAGAACAAATCTGATACACAAACAAAGCAGAGAGAGAATAAGATATAACTTCAACAACATGTAAAAACAGAGAATTTATTCGAAAAAATGTAAACAAACAAATGTCATAAATGCAACGTAGCTTCAAGGATTCTCTAGTTTACAAAATCCCAAAAGGAATCACCTATAAAGCAATGCTTCATCTTAAAGCATTCACCTTTTCCTTATAAACATCACCAAACCCAAGAAAAATAAGCACAACAAGATCCATACTTTACGTTTCTATTGAAAAAAAAAATCAGATTGTGTAAACAAACACAAACCCATTTCCTCACTTTAACCAAATCCAAATTCCAAAACTAAACAAAACCTCAAAATTGTAAGAAACCATTCACATTCCCAATCAAAACTGGCTTGCACGAACAGAAACAAATCCATTTACTCACATTAACCAAATCCCAATTCCAAAAATAAACAAAACCTCAAAATTGAAAGAGAAAACATTCACATTACCAATCAAAACGACAAGATCATCATGATCTCAAATAATTTTTCACCTTTTCTCAGAACTGGTTCAATAGAATAAAGTAAAAGACTTTTTTTCCTCCAAAGTCAAAGACTTTATCAATGGTGAATTCAGAAAACATAAAAAAGCTGAAACCTTTTCTTCTGGGTCGGTGTTTGTTTACTTACTTCTCCAAGATCGTGCAAAGGACTCAAAAAGATTGGTTTTTTTCTTTTATTTTCTTTGTGACGTTGAGTGGTGTGGTGGGGTGGGGTGAGGAGCTTTGTCTTCTCCAATTTCGCTTTCCGCGTTCGTCGCAGAATCAAGAGAGAGAGATCGTATTTAATGGTAATTTGTGTGCACCTCTCCTAGATTTTAGAGAAGCACAAAGGTCGTGGCGTGGGGTTTTTATTATAATGGTACGGAACTCTTACTTTTTCATCACATGGTTCGGTTTAGTTTGGTTTTAGTATTCTATAACCGGATCTAAACCGGTTAAGGACTTTTATTTGTGTTAAGGAAATTAATTGAATTGGAAAGAATTTGGGGGTTTTCTATTGGAAGGGTTATTTATTGGCTTATTGGATTTGAAAATTAAGTGTTAGTATTCAATTTATTACTTTCCCAGTTTCATTTAATATTAGTTTACATTTAATCTTACTTTAGTTTTTTTAGTGACTATTGTCATTTGAAATAAACTTAATAAATTTTCATTGTAAAGAACTAAATATAGACCTTTAATTTTAGCTGTCATTTGAATAGAATTTCAATTTAATGTAAAGAACTAAATATAAAACCTTTTTTAAGGGTGTTTTGAAAATTCATTCACGTACATACTTTTAGAATTAAGATTTAAAGTAATAATCAGAAGTTTTCTTAGCCAAAAAAAAAAAGAAAGAAGAAGAAGTAATAATTAGAAGAAATATACTGTAATTATGAAATTAAATCATTATGGATTGACATTGAGTGTGATTTTTTCTTTTTTCTGTCACATATATTTAGTGATTTTTGTTTGACAGAATCTAATCTAACCAAACAAAGAAAGAAAGACATGGTTGTAAACTTTAAATTGTGAGAAGAGCCACTTATGGAGTTTATAATCTAAAATTTGAAATTTGTTTATAATTTTTTTACAAATGATTAAAAATTGTAAACAAAACTCAACCATTTGATTTTATTCAACGCTAACCGAAACATTATTTGAGTAAGCCATTACGAGTCTCCCCTATAACATTTTCATTGGAGGAATAAAAAGTCAGTTTTGAAAAACAATGTATATTGAATAATGATTAATGAGTGGTCGGTTTCTAAATTAATACTATCTCCAACTTCAAGCAATCTTTTACCTTTTTCAAAGGTTCTCTGACATCGGCAAATTAAAAAAAAAACTTTGTCAGCATAAATCTATGCAATAGTAGGGGAAGGTTCGTATACATAGTTTAAAAACCTTTAGAAGTTGACAGAAAACAAAGAAAAAAAAAGAAACCTCTTTTCAAAAACACAATTAGGAAAAAAGTTAGAGGGTTATATAGATTATTTTTAGTGTTCGAATCGAATGGTAGTATTTTGATGTTCTATTATTGCTAGTTTTTAAATGGTACGACCAAAATTTAACCATAACCGTATTTTATCAACCGCGTTCACGTTAATTTGTAGATCATTAAAATTTTATTATATATTTAAGTTTTTGAAATTTTTTATATCTAAAAATCTAAAACACTTTAAAAGTTGTTCCTAATTTTTTTTACTTAAAAAAGAATTTACTTTTGGCTTTCTAGCTTGTTGGTTATTTATTTATTCGTAACTTCGTTTATTAAAGTCAAATCAATTTGTTTTGTGTTCTCAAAAGGTCCCAAATGGTTGCGGCTTAGACGGAGAGAAGAGAACAATAGATTTTGGTAAACAAGTGGAGACATAAATAAAACAACATATGTTTTATATAACAACTAATTACCTAATTAGACATAAATATGTTTTTCTGAACTTGAAAAAAGAAAAAAAAAATCACTAATTAAAGAGGCTTTTTTCACTCTTAGCTTTCTTCTGTGGTGGGACAAAAGGCTAAACTCTCGCCACTTTAATCATTTCATTTTAAGTGGACCAATCATTGAAGCAATGTATTGATATGCATGATCCATGAGACGATCTATAGATAGATCGATGTACACATTACACTGCAAATGGTTTACACGTAAGAATCTCATTTGGGACCAAACTTAAAGCAATCTCAAATTAAACTTGAACTAGAAGACTAGGAAAATTAAATGATAACTACATCCTTTGTGTGCCCTAAAACCATATGTATGAAAGTAGAAAAACTCAAAAAAGAGAATAGAAAAGCTCATTCATACATATATTGCTTGAAGGGCTTAGCTTATGACATGTTCTATTAGGTTTGATAAGCTTAAGTCTATACAAATATAAAACTAATTAGGTAGCTACACTGTCAAATGATTATGCATTTGTTTTGATTGTTATGAAGATATTATTACTGAAAAATTCACCCGAATGGTTATATTCGACATAACTTTTTGAAGCACGTTCTATATTGGAACTTTGGTAGTTGATATGGACCATGCAATGTTGTAGACAGTGTTTCAAACACGTTGGTATTAAAGATCGACACTTCAGTGGTTTCTTTTGGATATAATAATGATGTCTGAATAATAATACATATTGTAAGAAATCAAAAAGTCAAGAGCATATGGATTGAGCAAAGACCAATCTGAGCACAAACTTGAAGAAACATGAGAGCAAAGACCAAGCTGCACAAACTTGAAGAACCATGAGAGCATTGAAAGAAAATAAAAGAAGAGACACCTTCGTGTCTTCAACTTAACATCCAAGAAATGTGAATACATTGGCCAACACCACAATCTCTTTTCATGAATCTCCCTAAAATGCATTTCGATATTTCGAGGGAAGATTTCAGAAAAATTGGATTAAGTGAGTGCCATGCAGTCTAACTTATGAATATTTTGTTCCCAAGTTTAGAGTAGTGTAGTTTTGTATATTTTTGTTCATAACAACTAATATTATTATTTAACTAATCAGTAATGCCACAGTATTTGAAATCCTATGGTCATTTCTTCATACTTGTAATGGAAAACTTAAGCTGTTAGAAAACTCAAAGCTCAAGGGATGAAGAAAGAAGAGAGAGATCATAATTGTATCATTCTTCTTTTATATATATATATTCCCGCCAAAAGTGGTGTAGAGAAGAGATAGAATTTAAAAGACAGAGAGACCTAAATTTAAAAGGGGAAGCTTGGCTAAATTTGAAAAACTCCAAAAATGGAATTGCATCGTTGTTCACAGTTTTCATCTATGAATGATCATTATCTCTCTTTGAGGTAACAAACTCCATTTTCTCCCAAAACTTGAAGCTTTTTTTCTTCGTTTTGTTTATACCTCGCGACATCTTCTTCTTCCTCGGGTTCCCAATTCCCTCAATTTGGGAACCTGAATAATCCCTTCTTCAACTTCATGATCAGTTCTTCAGGTATAAAACCCCTTTCAATAATCTCACACTTTGTTTCCTTGGGACTTACGGTAGTACCTTACCTAATTTATGTTTCTTCTTTCAGAATGGGTCTCAAGCTCTCGAGAGGGCCTGTAAAAGAGAAATCAACTCTAGGACTAACGAGGGTTCACATTCTGACCTACCTTACAACAAGTTATTATCTACGTAGCTTGGTCTCCAAGAAACGAAGACGGTTAATCATTGGTGGATATGATCTTGACATGTCTTATATCTCTGACAAATTGTTGGCTATGTCCTTTCCTGCTGAACGAATGAGAGCAGTTTATAGAAACCCTCTTTGGCAAGTCAAGTCTGTTCTCGATATGCGACATCCTGATCACTACAAGGTTTAATAAGACAATTGATCAATCAAAACATCAAATCAACATATAAGCCAATCTTTTTCTAAACATTTTTGGGTCACAGGTCTATAATCTATGCATAGAGGAATCTTATGATCCAGAAAACTTTTATGGCCGCGTGGAACGATTTCCGTTTGATGACAATCATGTTCCGTCTCTCAAAATGATCCAACTTTTCTGCGAAAGTGTTTATTCTTGGCTCGCACAAGATCCCAAGAACATCACGGTTGTTCATTGCATGGTATATTTTCTAAAAAACCAAAACCCGAGTTCTTACACATTGTTATATTATCAGATTCTAATGTACTTTTTACAGGCAGGAAAAGGAAGAACAGGGTTAATGGTATCGGCGTACCTTGTCTATGGTGGGATGTCAGCTGAAGACGCTCTTGAGATGTATGCAAGAAGAAGAACAACAAACAATAATGGAGTAAGTCCTTAATTTAGCCATGGATTAATAGAGAATAAAGCTAATAAACAAAACCTTTAATTTTCTTGATTAATACTACCATGACAGGTCTCAATACCAAGCCAACGTCGTTATGTGAAATATTGGTCAGATTTACTTACGTTCCGTTTAAAGGGACCTCCGGAGGTTAAATTACCCCAAGAAGATAGCAGAGAGTTGCTGAGGATTAGACTTTATGATACAGCTAACGTTGACTCCGTTTTCTTTGTGGTCTCAGAACTTCAGGAGGTAATGATATATATACACTTTGATGCATTGCAGATACTGATTCTGCTTGATAATAATATAAACATTGATGCAAAGCACACACTGTTTCTGATGTTAGGTTCCAGGTGAGATGTATCGACCATCTGTAGAACTTGCAAGAGGTTGTTGTAGACAATTCAAGAAAGGGTATTGTAGAAGTTTGAGTCCACGGTATTATATATCTCATGTGAACTCTGATTCGCAAGATGATGAGGCAGTGACAGATGGAGAAGAGGCACGTCTTGTTGTTCAAATGGATACAGAGAGTTCCATCATCGACGAGAAAACATGTCTTGATTTTTACTTTGACAAACCTGTGAGAGTAAGTAGCAAAACAAACTCTTCAGACAATGTTGATGATAAGATTTTAATTAAGCATATGACTATTGTACAGGTGAGTGGAGACATACGCATCACATTCTACCAGAAAATGATTGGAAGCCGCCTTTTTTATACTTGCTTTAACACAGCTTTTATAACCAATGGCTTGCTTCAGGTAACATTCTCCGATTCCCTTCAGCCAATGTTGTTCTCTCTTGACATTCTTATCAATGGCCATTTTCTTGCTCCTGCAGTTTTCCATCGGAGAGCTAGACAAAGTTGGTGGCAACGGAAGATCGATATCTGGTCCGGATTTTAGCTTGGAGTTACTCTTTGGCCCAGCTAGTTCAAAATTCGGGAAGTTTCTTTCCCGTGATGACCTTTCGCTCTCTTAAGCCTCATTATCAGCTCGTACAAAATCGAAATAGTTGAAGCTCACCGGATTCGGCCACAAAAGAGGCCTGAATAGCTCAGCTGATACCTGCAAAACACTCCAATGGCTGAAAACAGAGTTTCCATGTACAAATGCAGAGACAAACGGGAAATTTTCAAAGAATATCAGCAAATGAACCACTTTCTCAACAATGTGTTTTCTTTTTGTAGCAGGGAGTGCAATTTTGGTAAATGATAGACAGTAATATGATTTTGGGATTCACTTAGCCTCCATTTTTTCATAAAGCCGGTCTGTTTCCAGTTTAAGAACAAGATACTCTGTTTTGAGTACATATCTCCATAGCAAAAGTAAAGGAAACGGTTTTATTATTATTGGAATACAACTTACCATCAAATTGTCTTCACTGTGACTTTGAAGTTCGAACTCGAGCTAATTAGATGGAGAAACATAACAACTAAAAACAGAATTGAAAAGCAGGAGAAGAGATCTCGTTTTATCCTTGAGTCTTGATCTTTGATATCACCTCAAAGGATATGCCATTCTCTTCAAGTCGCTTCTGGATATCGGTTGATCCAAACACAATGCCAGGTGTGTAGACTCCTCCTTTAACTAGGCTTTCGCGTTGGCCCAAGATGATCAAACCGCATTGAACAAGTGTTATCGGGGTGGTTATATACCCAATCTCAGGTCCTGAAATTCTTGTAATAATTTCCAAGTCACGCTTTGTGTTTCCTTCTGAAGCTAGACTCACGTCGCTGTACCCACGACCTATGAACCACATTTTAAACGTAGCGCTTTCTACCTCTTCTTCACTTGGACCCTTCTTCTGGAACCAACCAAGGCTAAAAAGCGAAGGGAATTTCAAAAGAAGCCATCTTCCAAAGGAGAACTTGGAAAGTAGACCAAGGGACACTCCAAGTGTAACATATCGGAATATCCCAAAGAGAGATTTGGATGTTATCTTTACACCGAAATGAGCTGGCTTGATCGATGACCAGAATGCTTCTCTCTTCTGTATCTGCTCAGGACTTTCGTTAATCCCAGGAAGTCCATGTGGTTTCTCTGTTAGAGTTGTGAGAGTTCTACGAACAACTACTGCATCAGCAGAAGGTAACTTTAAAGCCCAAAGACCAATCTTCTTCTGGTTTTCTAGTGTTGGTCCTTTAGCAGGAGGACCATGAATCTGCAAATACATTCCAAAGTGCAATATAAGCCAAAGCCTACTAATGACAAATGTATATAAAAAACTTAATCAACCTTAGCTAAAGAAACATTCACACTTGCATTACTCTATCTCAATCTCAAAATAGAATTGATTCAATGTCACATTTAAGTTATATGTAGTACTTACTGATGGTCTTGGCTTTCTTGGTCTTGAGCGTCTCAGCTCTTTAAGCTTTTCGGCATTAGCTACACCTAAAACTGCAGACTCATAAGTCCCAAAGTTTCCAGCAATCTTTTTGTCAGACTCCAAGCTGAGATACGCATCGATCTGGTTAGGAACCGATGGAGCATCCCATTGTTTGGAGTTAAAGAGAAGACCCAATTCAGCAGGTACCGAATCGAAACCACAAGCAGAAACGATTAAAGAGCCAGTTTCTTCTGCTCTTTCATGGTAGTTAGCTTCCATTCTCTCCATGAACTCAGGTTCACCACTTATATCCAGATAATCACACCTATAATGAGATACCATGTAGCAAAAGCAAACAAAACATAAGTAAACAACAAGATCACACCTTTTTCATTAAAGCTACAACTTTTAATAGTTCCATAAACCTAATCAGATATAAAAACTTAATAAAGAAGTTATATCGTTTCTCAAGAACTCAAGATCACAAAACCTTAAAGATTTGATCTTTAGTTACCACTGAAACAAAACTTCATAAAAGCATCAAACTTTATAGTTTCTTCATAAAAGCATCAAACTTTATAGTTTCTACTTCACACTGTAAACTAAACAGAGTTGACAAAACAGAGTAAAAGACAAATCATACCCTGAATCAGCACAAGCGGAGACGACGGGATCGCCATGGATACGGAAAGGTCCAACACAGTTAAGGATGAGTTTGGTTTGAGTACAGAGACGACGAAGCGAATCCGGGTCAGATGTATCAGCAGTGAGGATAGCGACAGAGGAAGGAGGCGGGTTCGGGCGGGCGGCCCATTCGAGTGATTGGGTTAACCGGGTCGAGTTACGACCCGCTAAAGCTAGAGACTTTAACGGAGAAGACGGTGTTTGGAGGAACTTGAGAGCTTCTCTAACGACGTATTTGCCGGTAAATCCGGATGCTCCGAGTATGACGATGTCGTAAACCGGGTCGGGTTGTTGGGTTGGGTTCATCGTTATCGGAATTGGATTCGGAGACTGTGAAAGTTTGTGCCTTTCGAGAGACAGATATTTTCGTGCGATAATAATAGTCTTGTGGAGCTTTGTGTTCACCGACAACGAAGACGTGACACGTCATTGTTACACGTCACTGTGAAAACATATCTTTAAGTAATAAATCTAAAATAAATCATTGTTGTAGCGAATCTGCGTTATAATAATTTGATTTGATTTTGATTGGGATAATGTGACGTAAATCACGTAATTCATTCATGCTTCTTCGTCCTGGGCGTTCGGCAGAAACCGGACAAACCGACCCGATGAACCCGACATTTACGGTTGTCGGCGCAGACCGAAGAAATAGAGTCAGACCGATCGGTGAAATTGATTATGGTGTTCGGATTTCGGTTTAGTTCGGTTCGGTAATCGGACCGATCGAGTTATTAAAATTAGTAGGCATATATAATCTAAACCGGCTAAACCTAAGTCATTAGCAACCCTACTTTGTGTTTTGTTCTTCTTTGCCTCCGCTTCGTGCGATTCTCATAAGTCAGAAACAAAGAAACTCTAGATCTTCTTCGATCAATCTCCTCATCTCTTATTCTCTGTTTCTGTAACTACTACAGTTTACAATCTTCTACATCTAGTCATCTCTCGTCGATTACGAAAAAGTTTCAGAGACCCAACCCTCTACAACGAAACTCGTTAAGGTTATGTCTTTTGTTTTTCACTTCTTTAATCTTCTTCATAGCTAGTTCTTTGTTTGATTCTTTGAGAGTTTGCTCTATAAGATATCTTTCTAACTCAAAAATATCATATTGGAAATTGTAATTTAAACCCTAAAATTCTCAAAATTGGATTATGTTCTAATTTTTGTTTTGAAATTAAGGTTTTCGGTTTTTGTATTTTGTTTATGGCCAGTGTGGTTTCGATTTTGGATATGTTAGGTTAGGTTAGGTTAAGGTTTTGGTCCTAGATTATCGATATGTTCTTTAACGTTTTCATGCTTGGTTTGGTTATTTAATTCTTTGGTCTTTTCTTTTTTGTACTAGTAGCTTAAACTCACAAACACTGCTTTAAGCTACTAGTACATACCCTTGCAGCTTATGTTTGGTTTTGTAATGGTTTTTACTGTTTTTTTTGTGGTTGTGGTCTTTGTTTTACTTAGGAATATGTCTAATTCGGGTTAAATAAACCGAGATAAACAAAAATTCAATTATTTTCGGAATTAAAAAAAAATCAAGTAACCGACCCGATTAAACCGATAACCGAACAACCCGAACCGAATTCAATTTCTGTACAATTCGGTGGGATTTATGAAGAACCGAATTTCAGGTAACCCGAACAAACCGACCCGAACAACCCGCACACGCCGAACGCCCAGGACGACTTGTGACGTTGATGATCCTTATGTGGGAAGCTATAGAGAATATCGTCAATAAAAAAGAACAGCCCAAAAAACAAACTATAGGTTATATAGAAATAAATAATAAAATATCAGATACAATTAGCTCCGATGGATGTAATGGTTCACTCTTCAAGCTTTCTCCTTCCTTACAATCCAGCTGAGGAAACGAGATACGCTCTCGTTGTTCTTAACCAGAATCTGCCACGATTCACTCCTCTTCTCTGGGAACATGGTACCTTCTTCTCACTCTCTTTCTACAACTCTGTTTGAATTTAGGGGTTTTGCTTTTTTTTTTCTCTTACAATTTTTTTTGGTTTCGATTTCTGTATAGAACAGCAACACTTCGTCTCTGTGCTGATGGTGGCGCTAATCGCATCTACGACGAGTTACCTCTCTTCTTCCCTCATGAAGACGCTTCCTCCATCCGATACAGGTTCTCCATTTAATTCTCATCTTCATTTCTTTGCATTTATATCTATACAGATGACACTATTCAAATTTAGTCTCCCCCCTGAAAGTGCCTCAATTTTAAGCTGGAGATTGTTTTGTACAAGAGTCTTCTTAGATTCTCCTTGTTCACTTCTTCTCTTATGTTTTGAATATTTGTTAGATTAGACTGTTTATACATAGAACAAAACTATTTCAGGTATAAGCCTGATGTGATCAAGGGAGATATGGATTCTATTCGCCGTGATGTCCTCGACTTTTATGTGAGCTTGGTAAGCTCATCGTCCGATTTTACTTATATTCCTTGCCTTTCGAGAATCTTTATCCCAAATCCATCACAGTGTTTGTTTTGTGTCTTTGTTTGATCTTACTTTGCTTTGCTATGCTTTTGATTTCTTCTACTTTTGTTTGTGCCTTTTCAGGGTACCCAGGTCATAGATGAATCTCATGATCAGGATACCACAGATCTTGATAAGTGCATTTTGTATATCCGTGACTCTGCTTCCAATCTAGAGAGTTCTAGAGTAAGTTCATCTTTCAATAAAGCTCTCTGCTTTTTCTTTGTCTTCTCTTGAATGTTTTGCACCTTTTTCTTTATTTCCTCTGCCAGTTCCAGATTCTTGCCACTGGAGCACTCGGGGGAAGATTTGATCATGAAGCTGGTAATCTCAACGTCTTGTATCGATATCCAGACACAAGGATAGTCCTTTTATCTGATGACTGCCTCATCCAACTCCTTCCAAAGAACCATCTACATGAATTACACATTCAGTCTTCACTTGAAGGTCCTCACTGTGGACTCATCCCTATTGGAACTCCTTCTGCCAAAACCACAACCTCAGGGCTTAAATGGGATCTCAGTAAGTAATGATTTTGCATCATCATAATCTTCATCAGCATCACCAGGTCGAATCTAACAACTATTGTTTATACCTGTTTGTTATAATCGTCTTAAAAGGCAACACTGAGATGAGATTTGGTGGGTTGATAAGCACATCAAACTTGGTTAAAGAAGAGAAGATCACAGTCGAATCGGATTCAGATCTTCTCTGGACTATATCTATCAAGAAAACAGGACTTCCGCTAGAAAACAATACACCGTAGGCGCTGTTAAAAAAATAAGACACTTAGACCAACATCTAAGATACCCCAATATTGTTGCTCTTAGTATAGAGCTACTATGATATATTCCAGATGAATGGAATAACTTCAACATTGTTTTGTTGCACGAAGTAATTACTTGGTTGTACCAGTACTGTCGTTTTTGGAACACGAGTTGCTTTTTTATGATATTATTTCTTTGGTTTTGTCATAACAACAAAATAAAAGTGATTGGATGTTGTTGGCTACTCTCAAAAGATGGATTGGATATAAGGCCGATTCATACAAACTGTAGGCCTATTCTCAACCCTATCTATCCTCCCCCCCTCGTATGTATGTATGTATGTATGATCTGCGGGCGCGAACGCGGCGTTGCTCTTTGATTTGATTTGATTTGATTATTATTTCAAGCTAAGGGTTTCGAATTCTCTTTCTCACGCAAGTAATATCTCTCTCAACTTGTCCGCTTTGGTTCGAGTGGTGTTGTTGCAAGGAGTTTGTTGTCGAATGTTTCAAACACTTCGATGCTCATTCTATCAAAAGGCTCACACATTCGGTGCGTTGTTACCTTTGCGTCTACAGCCGAACTTCAGATTGTTAAATTTGCATTTGTTACAATTTCAGTCCCAGCTATAGGATCACTTTTTTTGTGTCCTATAGTTTCCAAAGCTTCATTTCACTTTTTTATCACTATTGGCGTGGAGATTCAAGGACTCTCCTTCATAGATTTTAGTGGATTAAATGTAGTGTTTGCTCCTATCCATGTTTTGTGCTTACTGTGTTTTGCTCTAATAGCAACAGTACTTCTAGCCATTTTGGCATTGTTGTCTTTGGTTTTGAACACCTTCTCTTTCGATGGAGATTAAACGACGATTAATATAAATTTTAGTTTGTTTAAAAAGAACAATTGAATCGATAAATTAAATTGTCGTTCATGAAACGAGAGTCCAAGTCTTATGTGATAGAGCTTAGAAGTAGAATCAGCTCTGGCAACAATGAAATGCCATACCCTAAGATTTTACAGAGAGAATCGAAGACGAAGAAGATTACACAAATTGATACTTTTCTGGTTCTATGTTCACAGCTGATATTTTTCTCTCCTTTATACGCCTCTGCTCGATCTAAGTATTCTTTTCTTTCAGGCCAATAAAGTTCTCCCACGTGTCTAGCACCTTGTTTCCTTCTCACGTGCCACTCTTCTTATCTCCTTTCCTGTATCATAAAAGGAGATGTGGAGAAGATGAAACGATTTTTTTTTCATTTTAAGTTTTGATAAAACTATATTGGTAACCATTATATTAGTCTTTATACTATCGACAAAAAAGGGATATGTCGTCGTGATTGAAGTCCTTAATTCAGAGAATGACGAAATATCCGTATGTGTTAATCTATCTCTCCAGTTGTAGGAAAAAAAAGCATATATAGGATCCTTTGCACAAAGGCCGAATCATATAAACTGTTAGCCCATGAAAATAAAGCCCATTCTAATAATTTTCCGGAAGAACCTAACTTCATGTCGTTTCTGCTTATATTACTAGAACTACACATTGTCTCAAATTGAGAACTAGACAATGAAACGACACGCAGGGAAAGTGGAAACAATATGAAACTGACAATTGACAAACTTGTTTAAGCAAGCTCTCTCTTAACTAGTTAGTACTTAGTACTAGATAGATGCTGCAAGTGTCTCTGTTCCCTAATCCTTCTATTGTTGTGTTTCTTCCATCAAATGGTAAATCAAATAAATTACATTCAAACTTCTATTAATTTATAATGTTGGGACTGTCAAAATCTAATTTATAGAGATCTCTTTAAATTAATAATTCTTAATTAATAGAATTTTTTTTCCTAATTTGGTAATTTTTATTTAAAGTATATACATCAAATAAGATTTAATCATTAGAACTCATATTTTTAAAATTAATTACAAGAAAAAAAAAATATTCATCATGTATTGAGTTAAAAACTATTAAAATTTGATATATGAAATCTATTATAATTGGAATTTTAACAAAATTAATATAATTTTAAGAATAAATAACAACGAAATAATCATACTTCACTAAATTATATACATGTATATAAATATATTTATTGATAATTTTAAATAAATATTAATTTGTAGTATTATTGAGACCATACATTTATAAAAAATTCAAAACAAATATCATCTTATTATTTATCAAAATTTATTTAAAATTACACTGGCCAACTTAAGTCCGGATAAATTTATTAGTTCATAGAGATTATTAATTTATAGAGGTTTTATCGTACATTTCCTTTGGAAAAAGGTTGTTGAGAACCTATGCTTCAGTTTTTGTTTGAGACTTTTTTAATGCTAGTTGTGCAAACCGGAAAAATATATCACCAAAGTTGATATAAAATACTTTTAGATGCTAGTATGTATATAATTTGGAGAAACAAGTGTATATTTGGTAAGTGTTTGTGTTAATGACTTAATGTAATGCAAGAGTATGGTAGCCTAGTTGTTTGTAGTTTGATTGTATAAGTTGTGTTGGTAGCTCAACAACTACTGTTGACTCGGTTTTCTAGATAGCTAAGGGCTCAACAAATGGTTGATCCAGGAGCATTCAAATAATGAATGAGTTTTGAATAATTTGTTATTAGATATTTCTTTATTAAGGTGATAATTTCTTTAAAAAACAAAAAAATGGTGATAATTTCGTTTAGCTTATTTTCTTTTGACCTATCTTATAAAGTTTAATTTTAAGTAGGCGTACTTCTCTCGTATAAAATGCCAAAGACACAATATTACAGCTAATGTTCTCTTCAGAGTTGTTATGTGGCTAAAGCCGAAGAAGGAAACGGTTTAGGCAGCAAATGAGTATAACTAAATGTTGTTGTAGTGTAGTGGTTAGTTCCTTAATTTTTTTAATTTAGGTGACAAGTTTGATTCCTAGTACTACTATATGTTATTTTTTTCAATATGTTTTTTTGATATGAGCTAAAATTCATTTTACTTTAGGCAGCAAATGAGTTTGGGCCGACCTAAACAATTTAGATCATGTATGTTCGTTTGATTTTGATTAGTGATACAAACTAGCAAATATTATTAGTATGTGAAATCTCCATATGTGTAAAAGTAAAAGGCTAAAAGCTTAAAACAAAGCAAATGAATATATGTATATATACTTTATTTTTCCTTTTCTGCTGCTAAATTTGTATAAAAATTTAAGATTTCTTTTTTGACTGAAGAAGACACTTTAAAGCAATGCACCTGACCAAACAATTATCATTGTACATCTTTAAGAACCTTTAGTATATAGAAACCCCACCCTTCTGGTAACTACACTTTTCTTGATAACTCTCTTGTTGTTGTTTTGTACATAGAAGATAGATATTATTAGGTCTAATGTAAGAGAACACTGATGTTGTTAAGACATCTGAACAAACTTAAGGATAGATTAACTAACTAATCCACCTTAATTTGTTTCTTAGCTTATTAACCTTGTCGGTTAGGTCCTTCTCTCTTTTTCTCTATCAGACAGGTGAACAAAAGCTAAATATGTCTTTTGCTTTCTCTCTTTTACAAAAAAGATTATTACCCAATTTTAGTCTCATAGTTCTCTCTCTCTCTTGCTGTTTATGCGGTTGTGTTTTGCAGCTTCCCCTTACCTCTCTTTCACAAGAAGATTCAACAAAAAAAAAAAAAAATTGTTTTCCTTTTTACTTTTAATAATTTTGTCATGTGATTTTCTTGTTCTTTCTTTCCCTCTTTTTTTTCTTTCCATCATCATCATCGTCTTCCTTGTGTCTTTGTGTGTGTCTGCTGCAATCCCATTTCATCTTTTTGGCCTAATGTGGGGTTTAATATCCCCATATTAGACCCGTTTCCATATCCGGAAACAAGTTCTTTTCCTTTTGCAATGGGTTGCATCAGCTCCAAGAATGTCTCATGTCTAACGGACGAGAGTCCTTCACCGGTTCCTGAACCAGAATTGATCTCTACGAGTCGAGTTCTTATTGATCATTCGTTGGAAACGAGTCATAATAGCAAGCGTTCAAGAAGATCAAGAAGATTGGGTGGTTCTGATTTGAGGATTGGTGTTAGCCTTGGATTGTCTCATAGGAATTTAGAAGCTGAGCAAGCTGCTGCTGGTTGGCCTGCTTGGCTTTGTTCCGTTGCGTCTGAGGCTGTAAATGGTTGGGTTCCTTTAAAGGCTGAGGCGTTCCAGAAGTTGGAGAAGGTAGGTCAATGGTTTCTTGTCAAGCAAGTTACCCAAATGACTTTTTTCTTCTTCTTGTTGTTTGATAGATTTTGTTTTGATACGGTGTTAGATTGGACAAGGAACATATAGTAGCGTGTTTCGAGCACGGGAAGTAGCAACGGGGAAAATGGTGGCTTTGAAGAAGGTAAAGTTTGATAATCTTCAACCAGAGAGCATTAGGTTCATGGCTAGAGAGATTCTGATTTTGCGGAAACTTAACCATCCAAACATTATGAAACTTGAGGGCATAGTCACGTCTCGAGCATCTAGCAGCATTTACCTTGTTTTTGAGTATATGGAACATGATCTTGCCGGCTTATCCTCGAATCCCGACATCATATTCACCGAGTCACAGGTACAACATAACCGGAGATTTTGCGTATTGCAAATTTGTAATAAAGTTTTTTTAGATTCTTTCTAATTTTGATAATTTTTGTATGTGTATACAAAGATTAAATGTTACATGAAGCAACTACTTTGGGGACTAGAGCATTGTCATATGCGTGGAGTAATCCATAGAGACATTAAAGCATCAAACATTTTGGTAAATAACAAAGGAGTTCTAAAGCTTGGAGACTTTGGTCTAGCAAATGTGATGACACCTACCAACAAAAATCAATTGACGAGCCGTGTAGTGACTTTGTGGTATCGAGCTCCCGAGCTTCTTATGGGATCTACTAGTTATGGAGTATCAATAGATTTGTGGAGTGTGGGATGTGTTTTTGCTGAGGTTCTAATGGGGAAACCAATCCTAAAAGGCAGAACCGAGGTAAAAGCTAATTTTCTTAGGGATGTGGCATATAATTATTTATCCAAGTTTCAAATCTTAGTAATGTATAATTTTGTATATGCAGATTGAACAATTGCATAAGATCTATAAGCTTTGTGGATCTCCACCAGATAGGTTTTGGAAAAAAACTAAGCTTCCTCATGCAACATCCTTCAAACCTCAACATACTTATGAGGCCACTCTTAGAGAACGATGCAAAGAGTTATCAACGAGTGGTGTTTTCCTATTAGAAACTTTACTCTCAATGGAACCGGACAAGCGTGGCACGGCTTCATCTGCACTTAACTCCGAGGTGAAGCAAGATTTTTTCAACTTCCCATTTCCCTTTTTCTTGCTCCTCCAAATGTTTTCTTTTCTGATTTTTGTCTCAATCTTGTCTTAGTATTTCTTGACGAGGCCTTACGCGTGCGATCCTTCTTCATTGCCTAAATATCCACCAAACAAAGAAATGGATGCTAAATATCGCGACGATATGCGCAGGTCAGAACCTTTCTTGCATTTTCCGATTCGTTCCTCTTCATTGAGCTTTTGCATACATGAGAACTTGAGTTTAAAAGAACTTTGTGTATGTCTCAAAATTGCTAACTCATATTGTTTTGCAGGAAAAGAGCAAACCTCAAGTTGCGAGATTCTGGAGTAGGCAGGAAACAAAAAAGACCACATAGAACAGAATACGATCCAAAGAATTACGCTAAGTTACCAATAAGACAGGTCCCTCTTTCTCTCTCTCTCTCTCTCAAAATCCCCTTACAGCTTTATTTCTTGAGGCTCAAGTAAGATATTAACGTGCAGGACACGGTTGAGGTTAAGAACATGCCAAATGAAGAATCTCGAGCCACGACAACAACACAAGGAAATTACTACAAAGTCTCTGAGCTCCCAATGACCACGGGACCAGCCAGCGGTTTTGCGTGGGCTGTGAAAAGACGGAAAGATCCTGATAATATCTCCACTCTTACCTACTATCAACCTAGCTCAAGAAGCCAATTGAGTGGAACAAGTGTTGCATTTGCCAAGAACACATTTTTGAATATAAAACCAGATAATGACTCAGTTTGGGAGGTCCAAGGAGACAATTATGATGATGTTATCGAGGAGGTTCCTAGTGAGAGTAAGCTTAGCCGCATTAAGGAACGACATGGATCACTTGATGGTTCTAGTTTGGATTTCAGCCAAAGAGAGGATGATTCTCCAAAGAAAAAATTAGTAAGTGCTCTTGTTCTTATTAAAATCTCTACTAATATCTTGAGTTAGAGGTCTCAAAATGGCTCGGTTAGGTCCATCCCGAGCAGGGCCGAAAAACCTAAACCCAAGTGTGCTTCGCAAATGTTGACCTATTTGCGAGCAGACTTGGGTTCATCAAATATACAGATTTCGATTTGTTTTTGACGCTATATATATACACAATTTTGCAAATTGGTGTATGCATATATTTAACAATGTTAGTGAATTTGTGATGGTTTGTGTTGCAGGAACATCTACAATTTGGGAAACAAAGCATATCAGGACCATTGATATTTAAATCAGGGAAGATTGATGAGATTTTGCAAAGGAATGAAAGTAATATACGGCATGCTGTCAGAAAATCCCACTTCCAAAGGGGTAAAAATACTAATAAATCAGAGTATAATAATTGAACCGGAAATAACCAGATAAGTCCTAAATCACTAAACCATCTTTGGTTTTTTTTTTTTTTTTGATTATTTGCAGAACAAGATGACAGATAAACCGGAAAGTCAAACTATTAAGAAGACAACAAAGTCCACTTTTTCATCGTTTTTAGACAAAAGAGGAAAAAAAAACATTACGGAAAATAAGTAAATTAAATCCGATTAATATCCAAAAAAATGATTTTTGTGACCTCTTCGTTTTTATGATGTAATAGAGGAAAAAATATAAGAAAAAGTTTTTCATTTTTAGAGGAATCTAAGAACAAAAAAACATGACATTTTTCCCCTTATTTAAGTTGTTTTTTTTTTTTTAAGATAACTCTCAAAATAGTAAAATTAGTAAATAGAGAAGTAGGGAAGAGTAAAAGATTTAATTATTTTCGCATTCCCATTGTTTTTTTGTAATGCTAATGTTAAATCGGATAATTTATGGCTTACGAAAAATTGAGTTTATTACATGCTCAATAATTAATAATTATAAATCATCATATGTAAATGGATATTTACCTTCATGTATGCTAATAAAATCATCATCAGAGTCAGATAAAATACTCAAGAAATCAAACCACACAACTGTTTTGAGAAATATCTGCAAGAATTAAAACCAAAACATTCTTCAACTATCTTCTTCTGTATAAACAAGAAAATCAATTTCACAACTCTCATCCTAATGATACTCACATAAAGAGTTTTGGATTCCAACATTACTTAGCCCTCTTATATTTGGATGAGAGATAATATCATCAGACACTCTAGATATGTTGAAATTGATTCCACTTAAAAAAAAAGAGAGAAGACATAACTTAAAATGGTTTGTGCAATAAGCCAATAAACCAAACCTTAATTAATCCCAAAATGGTTACATGGAAGTCACAAAATTAATTAGGAAAGTGAAACTTAAAATATTATGTATCCAGAATTTTCGTCGATAGAGATACTCAAATTTTCATACATTACAATCTAAAAAAACAGTGAAGAAAATAAGACTCAAATTTTCTCATAAAAGTTGAAAGGAAAAGAAAAAAAATTCTTAGAAAATTTTCTCAATGATTTCTTCTTTAAATTTTTGAATTTTAAGACATATAGTACTTTGTTATAATAATATATGTTAACATATAGTACTTTGTTAAGAACATTTTCATAATAGAATGATAAACTTCCTTTAAAAAAAATCAAATATCTAAGGAAATGAAGAAAATGTGTTATTTTTTCATAACTAAAAAGAAATATTTCTCATCACAAAATAATATCTAAAATTATTAGCTAGTAAATCTACTTCAATTTATAGATTATTTTATTTAGATATAATACCAAGAAAGTAACATTAAAATTTTACATACATCAATTTTACTATGTTTTTTTTTTGACATCATTACAAATTATAAATCTCTCTTTGAGAGAGACCAGACTCGAACCCGGATCTGGTGAGAAGGCAAACAGAGGTGAGAACCACTAGTCCACTTGCTCCTTCCCATTTTACTATATTATTTCTCCGGAAGAAATTTTCTAAATACATATGTATTTATCATATATTAAGAAAAGTAAAATATACATTGTATAGTTAGTCAAAGCATGCATTAATTGCAATTTATCTTTTAAAGAAATAAATTTTTGTGTCAAAAGAAATATTGAATAAATAGATTCTAATAACATATAAAAACATCATTATTTAATTAATATATTTTAAAATTCTATATTAGGTGATTTTTATCCTATTAAAGTAAAACAGAAATTGACCTTTTGGCGTGACTGTATATATGATTCATGAAAAAAAATGTGACACCATTTTTGTCTGGTCAACAAAGTGACTCAGATTTACATCAGCAAAGCATATAAAAACAAAAGTCTATGTGCTCATGCACCAAGGATACAATTACTCTGTTCTTGTAATTTTGCTCTTTTGTCTAGAGGTGCACCTTTTTCTTGTTTGTGTGTGTTCATATCTGTTTCATACGTTTCAAACTCTCTCTATATATATCAAACCAGATGCTATGCAACTATCTCAAGAGTTCTCTTCAGCCTTTGAGTTTTCCACAAAATTTTCTTTTCAATTTCAAGTTTTCTTTTTGTTTGCTTTTGAACAAAACATGGTTCACAAATTTCTTCCTTCAACTAGGATACCTATATTAATGTAGTGAGCAAGTTTCTTCCTCCATTTTCCTGAATATGATTTTGATTTCTAGCTAGATTCAGTATCGATTGGTCATTTTATTGGTAGTTTTTTTCCGATGATCCGTCCAATTTACTGAGATGTTATCATTAACTTAATTCATATATTTTAACTATAGAGTTTTGATTATGGTTTTTGTATATATTTCAGATTTTTCATCTAGAGTGAAATGGACGGACCATCGGAAAAAACTATCAGTAAAAGCGTATCAGTTCTACCAACTTATAGGATTGGTAAAACTATTGGACATGGATCCTTTGCGAAGGTGAAATTGGCACTACATGTAGCAACTGGACTCAAAGTTGCTATCAAAATTCTTAATCGTTCTAAGATTAAGAACATGGGTATTGAGACCAAAGGTACATGTCTTTATTTTTTTTCAATTTTCTTTTTTATAAGTATGGAGATCAACAATTGATGCTTTTACAAATATAAATAGTTTTATTTTGTATGGATTGTATTATAATCTTTTTCATATTTAATTTTGATCTTTAATCAATTCTTAATTTTTTTGTCCCTTGTAGTGCAAAGGGAGATTAAAATTCTCAGATTGTTGATGCATCCGAACATCATAAGACAATATGAAGTCATAGAGACGCCTGAGAACATCTATGTTGTTATGGAATACATAAAATCAGGTGAGCTATTTGACTACATTGTTGAGAAAGGTAGAATACAAGAAGATGAAGCTCGTCATCTTTTTCAACAGGTTTGATATTACATGTCTCACATTCAATTTCTTATATATTCTTTCATTGAGGTAAATTTTTAATTAAAACTATATTATATATGCAGATCATATATGGTGTGGAGTACTGTCATCACAATAGGATTGCTCACAGAGATCTTAAGCCAGAGAATGTGCTTTTGGATACGAAATACAACATCAAGATAGCTGACTTTGGACTAAGCAATGTTATGGAAGATGGTCACTTTCTAAAGACTAGTTGTGGAAGCCCTAACTATGCTGCTCCAGAGGTATATTAATTTGTTTTTTTCATTCTTATTTCGTTAAATTAGGTATTGTATACTAAGTTTCAATTAATCACATCCCAAAATTCTTATGTATATACAGGTTATTACAGGAAAACCATATTCCGGACCAGAAGTAGATATATGGAGTTGTGGAGTGATATTGTATGCTCTCTTATGCGGTACTCTTCCTTTCGACGACGAAAATATTCCTATCCTTTTCGATAAAATTAAGGTACTATAATAGAAGATGATCTTATAATAAAATCAAATCATCTATGTTATACTAATGTTTTGTAGTCAAAATGTTATGTTTTTACTAATGTTTTATATGTTTTATGTGTTAATTAGAAAGGGATGTATACTCTTCCAGATCATTTATCATATTTTGCTAGAGATTTGATACCGAGAATGCTTATGGTTGATCCAACAAAGAGAATTAGCATTCCTGAGATTCGTCAACATCCATGGTTCAATAATAATCTTCCTTCTTATCTTGCTATCCCTCCATTAGATACAACAGAACAAGCTAACAAGGTTGTGATATTTTCACTATAAATATATATTACAGCAAAAGTATGAATTTTGTTATTAATTAAACTTTGTATTAATTGTTATTTCTAGATTGAGGAGGAGATAGTTCAGAAAGTGGTCGACATAGGCTTCGATAGAAACCAAGTTGTTGAATCTCTTGTCAATAGAATCCAAAATGAGGTATGACTTGTGTGTTTCTTATAATGACTAGTGTGTATAAAATGTTTCTTACGTTACAGTTTTGTATTTATTGTTACCATTAGGTTACAGTTACATATTACTTATTACTGGACAGCCGAAACCGAAAAATTGTTCCTAGTGAATCATTCCAATCCAAGTTTAAAGAGAAATTGGTACTTCTTCTCTTTCTCTACAGTATGAATTTTAAGAAGAAAAAATTACAAAATACACATCTCATAACTAATTATCTTGCTAATGTTTCATATATAGGATGATCATGCTATGTATACTTCTATAATTCCAGTTCAAGATATTGATTCACATGTTGGCCATTCGAGTCCGGTTTCGACTAGACTAAGATCACAGATCAAAGATGACAAAACATGGACCCTTGGCATTCAGGTTAGTCCATAGTTGTTCATTATTTTTCATTTCTTCCGGTTTCGTTTGTTAAAACATGTTATCAATATAGATTAAACTTGATGTTTTTCGATATTTTAACAGTCTCGAGGAGATCCTCGTGAGATCATGAGTGAGGTTTTTAAGGCTCTTCGAACTCTAAAAGTGTGCTGGAAAAAGATCGGACTCTACAATATAAAATGTAGATGGGTTCGAAGCTTTGCTAACGATAATAATCAAATTGATGAATGTACCATGACTTTACCATCCATCATCAAATTTGAACTTCAGGTATATATATGATACATATTTATCCAATTTAAGATGATATACTATAATTAATAGCTCATAGAGGACAAAAGTTATAGTAAACTATACACCAAGAAAAGAAAAAAAGTTATGTGATGAAAAATTTCTTAAATGCAAACTAATATGTATTATTTTTGTTGTTGTTGTAGCTTTACAAAGTAGGCGAAAGCAAGTTTTTGCTAGACATCCAAAGAGTTGATGGGCCTCAGTTTATCTTCTTTGATCTATGTGTAGCTTTTCTCAGAGAGTTAGGTGTTCTCTAGAGCTCATACCATTAGTGATATTTTTAGACGATTATTTCTCTAATGTGTAGAATTCAGTTATATTCTGTATGGTTTATGGATTTTTGGGTTAAGTTATCTTAAATAGTAAACGTAAAAAAGAAAGAGTTTATTTGTATTCACATTAATATTTGGAATATGCATTTAATTTCTATCAATTGTAGTTTTTTTTTGTATGAATATAAAAATTATTCATAAGAAAAAACTGTGATTTACTATGTACAATATGAGCAATTGAGAAATTGTAAATTGATTCTCGATATATATATATGGTGAAAATTACAAAACAGTTTTTTCCGTCAAAATATAATTTATATAAATGAATGTAATCAGAATACAATTGTTGAGTTAGCCATTCATGCGGATTAAAGGAATCAGAGTAAAAAATAAAGGAAGAACAACCATATTTTGCCAACAAGTGTACATCACGATTACAAGATCTTCTAGTGAATACAAAATGAACATTACGAAATAAAGAAGCCCACAAATAAATATCATGTTGCACTCGATCAATAGCAATATCATGGTATTGATGGTTTAGAATTTTATTCAAAACTTCACTATCCCCTTCAAAACAAATCTCCTTAATGCCTCTCAGGTTTTTTTATAAGTATTCATTACAAAAGAAAAAAACATTGTGTTTTATAGATAGATTTTGAAAATACTAATGTGTCAAATATCACATGCATCTCAACCGGGCTGGCCCGTCACAAAACTCGCAAAGCCCGCGTATGTTTAAGTCTCACCTAGAAAAAATATGAATCTATATTTCAAAGTCTGGCCCAACCTTAACAAGGGTTATAAGGTTTTGTGGACTTTTTTGGGCTTTTTTTACAAAAAAAATTTTATAACATATCTTAAAAACAATTTTTAAAGCTACACAATCAATCAGAATTTAAGTAATCAATATTCATTAAAACCAACTTATGTATTTTTTTTTTAAACTAAAATCTATTAAATTGTTTACACTTTAGCCCAATAAAAATTAAATTAAAATACTTTAAAGTAAATAATAGAGTCAAGATTTTAATTTTCATCAATGATTTCAAAATCGAGATCTACATATATTTTTTAAAAAACTTTTGTTGAACTTTTACATATATACATCATACAAAATATCAGAGATAAAGATTTTAAATATACTAAGTAAGGTCATTAAGTTATGAAAACTAAGATTAGAGTTTTCAAATTTATTTTTAATAAATTTTTAATCAAATCTACTAATTAAATTAAATGTTAACAAAAAATTTAAAAAACATATTTGCTTAAGGGCTTTTCAGGCCGGTCCGAGCCCAACCGGACTAAGCCGAATAAAGTAAACTCTTTAGTCTAAACGAGTTTGGTATGAAAGACACTGTTTTCTGGATATATGTAAGCCCGAACCAAATGTTTTTCAAGAGCGGAGCAGGCCAGCCTGCAGGCTTTGGTCCTAATTTGCATGTCTATGTATCCATCCACATATAACATGGAGTCATAATTCTTTTTTAAAAAGTTATATTAGTTTAGAGTTAATTTTAAATCTGTTCAAGTACACTAGAACAAAATTGTAAGTGAAAAAGTAATAGCATGGGTACCTTAGCAAGTTCCCAATAAATCAGGACTTGAGGGAGGATTCCCTAAAGTTTAATTGAAAATCTATAATCGCTACTTCGCTAACCTCTAGTACAATTTCAAAATAACCTCCTCTCTAACCAATAAAGTTTGAAATCAAATTTACAACAACTTTCATTATTAAAAAAACACATAATGTATGTGTACTTTAATTAAATAAAAATCCATATATCCAGACTTCTGAATCTGGATCTCGATATCCTATTTTTGGAAAGAACCAAAACAAGTACTTGATCAATTTTTAGATCTTTGATAATAATTTTATTTCTCATGTGCAAAAGTGACAAACTGACATAACGTGTTTTTGGTAAATGATAATATGGATGAAATTAACGATTGTATTTTTGTTATAATTTTGAAATGACAATATGGTGTTAGTAGAGGTCAAGTGTCATCCGAGGTGCCAGAAGAAGGAAAGAGTAAATGGAAAGGGTTTGGAAAACTAGGTTAAATATTTATTATTTTGCTAAAATTTATATGTAATTTAACTAGGAATATTTTATCAGGGTTTATAAATTATTATAAATAAACTTATGTGTACGAGGCTGTTTTGTACAAAAATTTATTGTTTGTACGGAATAATAGTGGGAGTAGTGCGATGTTGTTTTGTTGGCAATCAAGCAGATCTAAATAAACTGATAAAGATATTGATAAACCGACAAAACAGCATACAGTTTATTTACATATGCTTGATTGCCGACAAAACAACATTGTACTACTCCCACTAGTATTCGTACATTCTGAAACAAAATTACTTTAATTTAAAACGACAGATTATGTGAAACAACTCGTGTATATTTAATTATTTAATGTTAAGTTAGTTTTCGTAATAAGTTCAAAAAAATGTATTCAAAAGTTTATGTAATATTATATTTCTCTGACGTAATGTGCAGTTTATTTTCTGTATAAAATAGGTTGTAAATATTTTAATTCATTCATGAAAGTAAGAAAATTAATTTATTTTCTCAAATAAAAATCATAATAATTTAGCTAAGTAATATAATCGAACTAAAATTTACTTTTTAAATATCTAGAAGGACAATAAAGATAAATAAATTTCTCAAATTTGTTCATATCCTCAAGAGTTATAATATATATACATATATATGTATGTATAATGTACTGTTACATTATACATAGAAAGATTGAAATGCAAATTGTATAGTCAAAGGAAATGACCCACTAACATTAATTGCAATTTTGTTTTTATAGAAAAATAATTTTGTATTAAAAGGTGTACAATAAATAGGTTATATATCAGCCATATATTGTATTATTATATTTAAGTAATTTATTCTTTTAAGGTGAAACGGCAAAAAACATTTTTGGCTTGGGGTGTGAAAATTAATTTACTGATTAATTATGATTACATGAAAAAAGTGTGAGGTTTTATTTTTCAGTCAACAGTGTGACTCAGCAAAGCTAGAAGAAAACAAAACGAGATTAAACACTGTGACTCAGCCAAGTTAATATATATGTGCCCATGGCCTAAGCTAATTTTATCTTATCTCATATTCATATTTTTCTCTCTAGAAACACAAAAGTTTTCGTGTAAGTGTTCTCAGTTTAATCAATGAAAATCTCAATTTTCTCTTCTTTAAACACACACTAATTAAATATAAAGAAGGAACACTAATTCACTTATTTATGATTCTGATTTGGGAAATTCAGGATTTTGTTAGTTTTTCTAGTTAGCTTTCATTATTGGTGTTACTCTAGCTAGCTTGTTCATTATGACCATGATATGTGACTTAACATGTGACATTTTCTATTTTGCAGATTTTCCAAAAACAGTGAAATAATGAAGGGATCATCGAAGACATCATCATCTACCAGTAAGAAGGCATTGGATTTACCAAATTACAGGATTGTTAAAACAGTCGGCCGTGGATCCTTTGCGAAGGTGAAATTGGCTGAGCATATCGCGACGGGGCTCAACGTCGCTATCAAAATCTTCAATCGCCTTAAGATGAAGGACACGGAAATGGACTTCAAAGGTATGTCTCTAAGACTGTGACTTCTGATATTGACTGATTTTATGCTCTTGATATATATATATATATATATTTTCTTGGATAGATTGTTGCTAAGATATATTTTTCATATGTTGAATCTTGAAAATCCGACACAAAAGATTTATGTTTAAATGTCTTGGTTCTCGAGCGGAAATGTTCCTTTTTAATACCCATCATCGTCGTCATAAATACCTTTTTCTAGTACGACAAAAAGATAGTCGTTTGTCGTTTTGTTGTCGTGTGTGGTAAATTTGAGAGAGATATTGTGGAAATAATATTTATTAATATCGATCATAAATTACTCTTTTGTTGTTATGACTAGTTTTTCCGAAAAAAGAAAAATCATTTTGTATTGTTTGGACTAAGTTTTTGGAGAGGAAAATGTATATTATAATTGATTATTATTATTATTATTATTATTATTATTATTAGGAATGTAATTAACTAACTTTGTTTTATGTGTTTTGTAGTACAAAGGGAGAATAGAATTGTCCAATCTCTGACGCATCCAAACATCATAAGACACTATGAAGTCATAGAGACTCCAAAGAAGATTTATGTTGTCATGGAATACATCAAATCAGGTGAGCTCTTTGACTACATTATAGAGAACGGTAAAGTACCACAAGACAAAGCTCGACATCTCTTCCAACAGGTTTCACAAATACATTTTTTTCCTTTAAAACAGTTTCTATAACATCATCATATCCTTGTTTCTAATTCAACATTTTTGTTAATACATCAGCTCATATCTGGTGTGGAGTACTGTCACCGCAATAGAGTCATCCACCGCGATATCAAGCTAGAGAATGTGCTTATGGAATCAGAATCCAAAATCAAGATTCTTGATTTTGGTCTAAGCAATGTCATGGAAGATGGTGACACTCTTAAAACTAGCTGTGGAAGCCCTAACTACGCGGCTCCAGAGGTATATCTATTATCATTCTTGTTCATTAACTTCTTGTGTATTCTATTAAGTTTCAATAAATCATATATACCAAAATTGTTATACAGGTCATTAGTGGGAACCCATATTCTGGACCTGGAGTAGATGTATGGAGTTGTGGAGTGATACTCTATGCTCTCTTAAGCGGCTATCTTCCATTCATCGATGAACATCTTCCGAGTTTGTACAATACGATCATGGTATTAATCTGACAATTCTGTGTGTTTTTGAAATAATCTTTGTAGTCAGATATATAATCATATGTTTTTATTTGTGTTTAGAGAGGAGAATATCGTATCCCATTTCATTTACCATCTCTTGCTAGAGATTTGATATCGAGGATGCTTACGGTTGATCCATTTAGGAGGATTACGATTCCTGAGATTCGACGGCATCCGTGGTTCATTGTTAATCTTTCTCCTAGCTGTTTTCTTCCTTTAGTAGATGCTACTGATGAACAAGCTAAGGTTAGAACTAAATTTTCAGTATTATGTAAGTAAAATAACATATTTTCTATGAGATTTTTGTAATAATATGTATTTTGCAGATTGAGGAGGAGATAGTTCAGAAAGTGGTTGACATGGGATTTGATAGAGACCAAGTTCTTACATCTTTTGCTAATAAGGTCCAAAATGAGGTATGAGCTAGTGTTTACTCTAATATAGTATCAAAAAAAATGGTTACTAATGTTTGATTTTGACATTGTTTAGGCTACAGTTGCATACAATCTAATACTGGACAACCAAGACCAAAACGGTGTGCCTAATGACAATCCTCAATCCATGTAGAGGTATCAGTATCTCGTGTTGGCCATTTGTTTCCTGCTGCATCAACTAGTACTGGACCAAGATCTGAGGGCAAATGAATAAGATCTTCAAAGATAAATCTATGGTGACCATGAGGATATGAAGAAGGTGCCATCTATCATCAGTGGTTTTAGATGATTCTTGCTTCCATTGTAACTGTATTTGCTAAAAATTATCGATTTTATTCGATGAATCTTGCTTCAATGCTTTTTTTTTAAGTAATCAAAAACAAAAAGATGAAGTTAATTTGTAGATATTCTCTATTTGTTTTTTCATCTAAGGAAAGAAAAAACTTGAAGTTCACATTCACAGATCACAATTAAACTAAGGAATAAATTAACATTAACCAGATCTTTAATGTAGAAAAAGCACAATATGACATAAGATCTAATACAAAATTTATATGAATCTAATGTATATTTTAGATTCAACGTCTCTCTATTGCTTGTATAAACTGGATATGAAATGCTTTCTCTAAAAAGAAATGATGTTGCTTCATTCACAAGTAACAGACTCACTCAAACACTACTTAAGAGATGGTCCAGCTCTAGCAACAACCCGACTCGTTAACCCAAACCCGACCAGGAACAACAAGACAAGAACCACATTTACAGTAGTTTGTTTCACTGTTATGAAATTGGCGTTACGAGAGAGTCTTTGGACACATGTTGTCTTCTACGTTTGTATGTGTATATGACAGTTTCAAAATGGTTTAAGAGTATGAAAAAACTTGTGACTTAATCCGTTACGTTAACTCTAAACATTGGAACTGTTGATTAATTAGAGCAAAACTCCATTGACTGAAAATGTAATAACGTTTTTCTTACATATGTCATGCATGCATGTTCATTAGTTAAGCTTTGGTTTCTACCAATTTCATGCGTTTGACTCAAAACACACATGAGTCTCGTTTCCTCAACTCAAATGTAACGTTTTAACATAGTAATTATACAAATTCCAAAAGTAGATAAAAGTTCGTAACGTACGTTTTTTTTTTTTTTTATATAGATATTTGTGAATTGTAACGTACGCTGTAATTATAACAAAAGACAAAACTGTAATAAAATAATTAAAAGAAAAAAACAAGAAAAAAAATATAAACTGCAACTGCATATTTTGTGAAGTAAAATCAACTTCGGAGGAGTAAAAACTTCATGGGCTCAGATTTTTAAAATGGGCCTATCTGTATTTATTTAAAGGCCCGATGTTGTCTATTGAGCCCGTCTCGTTGTGGTGTGTTTTGCAATTATTATATTCTATTCCTTTCAAACTGGTCCTTCAACTTTTATAATATTTTGTGAAAAGAAAAGAAATGACTAAAGAAGACTTGAACAGTGTAGTCAACTTAAACTTCAAACGAAAGAGGCTTAATGTTTCTCTCGCATCATCTTCGTAGGTAGCGATTTCTTCGTTTTTCTTCTACAATTTGATTCCCATTAAACTCTGCCTTTATGGGTAATTGAAAAGTTTGATTCTTTCTTCTTTTTACGTAGAAGCGATCTGATACAAACCCAAGAGCTCTGATACTTTTGGTTAATCCCAAAGCTGCGTTTTTTTTTTTAATCTTCGAAGTATGAATCAGGTAAGAGTAAGTCCTTTTACATCGATTTCTGAGTATCTTGAAAGTGTTTGGGTTTAGCTGATCTTGTAGCCAAACTTGATTTGTGATGATAGATGAGGAACGGCGATTTAGGGTCGGAACCATATGGTGCTTGCTTGCTTCTGTCTCTTCCAGAAGATGTAATTGCTGTCATCGCACGTTTTGTTTCTCCAAGAGACGTTTGCAATCTAAGTTTATGCTGCAAAAGTCTCTGTGAGGTTGTGGATTCAGAAAGTATCTGGCTTGTGCAATGTGAAGTCGTAAAGGTTCTTCCTTTATCTGAAATTTTGCAATGGAGAGTCGAGATCTCTTCTTACAAGGCGCTGTGTAGGTTTCTTGTTGATGTTGTGAAGCCTCTTGTTGGGATTTGGGTTCACCAAAACCCTGAACTTGGGAATGTTGTTTATGTGATGCCTGGTTTTTTATCTGTTGTTGGGTGCCGGATTATTCCACAAGAGGTTGGTCCTTTGGGGATTGATGAGGCCTGTGTTATGTGGTCACCTGTGTTTGAGATAATCTGTGGTTTTGATGGCTCTGCCAAGTTTTTCCTCCATGGAAGAGATGAAAAACTCTGTTGCTGCCTGCACCCTGGTTTCGTTATGGGCATCGAGAAGAGTTGTAATGTGCTTCTACTTGAGGTTGAGCCGAGGAAAGAGGAAAAATTGTGCAGTCATATTGAGACCGTGTTGTTAGGAGAGACAGAAGTTCCATTTCCATTTCGCAATCTACCCTTTAGTCATAGAAGGAATTTACTTCATTTAGTGACAAGCACTGTTGGTATACCTGTACCTGATTTATCAAGTGAAAGGTTATTTCCTACGTCGAAAGATGATGGAGTGGTGTTGTTGGAACGCAGAACCATGCTTCTTAAAATGCACAAGTTTGGTGGCGATTGGGATCTCATGAACCTGGAGGATGAGTGTACAAATATTCCAAATCAGGTAGACATAGACAAATCGTGGAAGCATCTTGGTTTTGATGTCGATATCCGCAACATGGACTTTGGGAATCAAATACAGAAGGCACGAAGGAAGAGCTTTAGTGGGTATTTCAGAAGTGGCGTAAAGCAAATTCTCGGGAGGTCTAGTTCTTCGAAGAACACGTCTTCTTCAAGAAGTGAGACTAGACCTTGGAATCTGCAAAGATTTCTTAGGTCTGGTGATTCCATATGTCTTAGTCTCAAAGCTTCCGAAATTAAGCTGTCTTCTTACCAAGGTTGGCCAAACATGGACGAAACCCGTTTTGCCCTTTATAAGCTACCAATTAAGAATCCCATCCCTAACGAAGAGTATGCCGGCTTGTGGGGAGGAACTTTTGGCTGGCCTTCAGGACAATGTTCAGAAGATAAACCCGGAAAGGCTCTTTTTTTACTGATGCTTTCTTATGAAGAGTCTCAAGATGGTACTGATAGGCTCCTTATAGGGACGAAAATACTTGAAGGCACTCACTACGGGATGCATCCTAATGGATCTGCAATGTTTGTTATAAAGATCGATTCGCCTTCATTTGAGCCTTTTCCTTTCGATACAAATGGAGAAGATTTTGAGAATTCTTACGCAGGAGAAGGTACTGCAAAGGGTTATGGTTTCCGGTATCCTGGTTACAAACCGGGTACCCTTTTTGTGACATCTAAAGGTCTTCTCATGTTTGTTTGGAATGCAACTAAAGTTGTGTTGACATTGCAAAGACTTGACCTTGGAGAGCTCTTAAGGAAAGGCATGTGTGTACCTCCTTTACCTCCATGTCTGAATTTTGCTTATTTGACAAAATGTCATGCCAATGTCTTTGCACCGGAGAGAAGAAGATCATAGGAGATTCCTGTAACAGATTTGAAGCTCATATGTCTTCTTTGTTTCCAATATAATCTCATTATAGAAGATCATTGATATTTGAACTCAATATGCTTGTAACCTGTGTCTAGTCAAATGTACTATATATAAAACTTGTATTACTATATGTTATTGTCCTCTGCCTGATTCAAGGAATTGAGATCTACATGTTATTGAGGCTCCTCGAGTTGTCCCTGGACAAAAAGACCGCCGAAAAATTAGATCCAAATCGGGATTCAAAATTTTAGATTTATTTTATTGGATCCTAAACTACTCTATCCAAAAATCTAAAACCGAACTAACCCAAACGCGAATCGGAAAAAATCTGAAATATAAATACACCAAAAAAATTATGATATGAATACCCGATTTGTTACTTGATTTCCAAATTTTTACCCGAACTTTCGAATTTTTACCCAGATTTTGAATATTTACCCAAAAATTCGTGTAAAATATCGGATATTTATGTAGACGAAAGTAATTGGGTTTTTAGTGGGTATGAAGACCGATACGAACCCAAACCAAAATTTTACATTTACCCTATTTGAGTCCTAAAATACACTGTACAGTACTTATAAATATTTTACACGAATTATCATGGCTTATCAAAGTACCCGAATGTTCATGGCTTCTTTATGTGAAGAAAATACACTGTACAGTACTTATAAATATTTTAATTTGGATAAACCTCGGCCCAATTGTATACACATAATAGACCCATTGACTTTTAGAACCTTAAAAAAAATCTAAGCCCAAGTCTCGGCCCATCTCAGAGCTTCCGCTCCTTTCATCTTTCACAGCTTCGATCATCTCTCTCAGAGGACATATCCGATGCTTCTCCGATCGCCGTTCACAGAGCTAGTTGCAGAGAAGGATCCACGTTTGATGTGTTTCTTGTGATTCAGGAGAACAAGGATCTGATCTCAATTGAGTTTTGGAAGCAAGCTCTCTCACTCCACCGCATCGGCTCGAGCTTTCGCCATTGTCTCTTCCACTAAGAGCTTCGTCTCCGTTCACCATTCCTCTGTTACAGTTGTATCTCTTCGCTTTTAAAATGAGTAGAAGCTAAGAAGGTTTTGGATCTCCTTTTCCGATCCCGATCTCTCCTGCAAAACTCCGCCAATTTTGCAGTACCTCTGTGTCGTGATCTGCAGCCAGGTACACTGGACTTGCCTCGATCCACTTCTTTGTAGGATTTTCGTTTTTGAAATCTCCCTGTAGAACTGTGATTAGTTCTCAAGTTTTCGTGGGTTTTTGCTGATGTGCTAATGAGCTTAGTTAGATCTGAATTTGTGTTACTTAGTTTAGTTTTAGTCACTGATATTTCTGAATCAATGAGTACATAGATCGTATAAGTTACTGAGAATATCCGAATTTGGCGAAATGAAATGCTTTTGAGACTAGAAAAGTAGGAGGAATATCATAATCTGAATCCTTTTTATTGGAAGAGTTTGACTCTTGTGGTGATTTTGGTAAATGTTTTAGTCAGTGTAGCCTTCAGCAGATTTATGGAAGAGAAAGGAGAAAATTTATGTTTGTGCATGTAAATTTGTTTTCTTAAGTGGACTATCGGCATTGTTATTGTCAACTTGTTTCTAAGCATGAAAGATTTTTATTATTTGCAGCCTGCATGCTTCGTGTGTGTTTTGGTGTTTGAGCCAAGAAGTTGGGACGAGTATGGGGTATCAAAATCATCCTTCGGGAAGTAACTCGTTCCATGGAGAGTTCAAGAGTTGTCACTCCAAACCGTCCAAGGGTGCTGTGGCATCCATGATCAATTCTGAAATTGGTGCAGTTTTGGCTGTGATGAGAAGAAACGTACGGTGGGGTGTACGCTATATTGCAGATGATGATCAGTTAGAGCATTCTCTAATCCATTCTTTGAAAGAATTGCGTAAGCGGATATTTTCATGGCAAAGCAATTGGCAAAATGTTGACCCAATATTGTATATACGGCCCTTTTTGGATGTTATATTGTCCGATGAAACTGGGGCTCCAATCACAGGCGTTGCTTTGTCATCTGTATACAAGATCTTGACCCTTGACATTTTTACCCTTGAAACCGTGAATGTGGGAGAGGCAATGCATATCATAGTTGATGCTGTAAAGAGCTGTCGTTTTGAGGTAACTGATCCAGCCTCAGAGGAAGTAGTTCTGATGAAAATACTTCAAGTTCTGCTGGCTTGCATAAAGAGTAAGGCCTCTAGTGGATTAAGTAATCAAGACATTTGCACTATCGTCAACACTTGTTTGCGTGTTGTTCATCAATCAAGCTCCAAAAGTGAATTGTTGCAGCGTATAGCTCGCCACACAATGCATGAGTTGATTAGATATATCTTCTCTCAACTTCCTTCTATCAGCCCCTTGGCTATTGAAAATGAGTTACATGTTGACGATAAGGTAAAACAAATTAATCTTTCATGCCAACATCTTTTTATGTTTGTTCTTCATGTTTAGCCCATATAGATATAAGATTTAAACATGCACAAAATTGTATGGCATTATGAGTTATCTACTAAGCATGTTGGTTGATAGAAGATTGTTCAACCTAAAACTTATACAGATCCGTAAGTTTAAGAGTGTTTGTTGTTCACAAATTTCTAACGCTGTTCTATCTTGTTTAGGTGGGAACAGTGGACTGGGATCAGAATTCTGGAGAAAACAAAGTTGGAAATGGAAATATTGCTAGTATATCTGATACTCCCGGCACTGAAAACAATTCTCCAAGTTCTGAGACGGTTATTCCAGAAACAGAACTTAAAAATGATGAAAAGAAAACTGAGGTCAATGATGACTTGAATGTTCCTGCAAATGGTGAAAATGCAATGATGGCGCCTTTTGGTATTCCATGCATGGTAGAGATTTTCCATTTCTTGTGTACCCTATTGAATGTTGGAGAACACGGTGAAGTCAATTCCAGATCCAACCCAATAGCGTTTGATGAAGATGTTCCTCTTTTCGCTCTGGGATTAATTAATTCTGCTATAGAACTTGGAGGGACTTCTTTCCGAGAGTACCCAAAGCTGTTGACTTTGATTCAGGATGAGTTATTCTGTAACTTGATGCAGTTTGGTGTGTCCATGAGCCCTCTGATTCTTTCTACAGTTTGCAGCATCGTTCTTAATCTCTACCTAAATCTTCGTACTGAGCTTAAGGTACAGCTTGAAGCTTTCTTTTCACACGTACTTCTGAGGATTGCACAGAGCAAACATGGCTCTTCTTATCAGCAACAGGAGGTTGCTATGGAGGCTCTGGTTGATCTTTGTAGACAACATACTTTCATGGCTGAAGTGTTTGCAAATTTCGATTGTGATATAACCTGCAGTAATGTGTTTGAAGATGTTGCAAACCTGCTATCCAAGAGTGCCTTCCCAGTTAATGGGCCTTTATCTGCTATGCATATACTTGCATTGGATGGGTTAATTTCTATGGTTCAGGGAATGGCTGAGAGGGTGGGTGAGGAATTGCCCTCTTCAGATGTTCATACACATGAAGAAGGATATGAAGAATTCTGGACAGCGAGATGTGAGAATTACGGAGATCCTAATTTTTGGGTTCCTTTTGTCCGAAAGGCAAAGCGTATAAAGAAAAAGCTGATGCTTGGGGCTGATAATTTTAACCGTGATCCTAAGAAAGGCTTACAGTATCTCCAAGGGATGCACTTGTTGCCTGAGGAACTTGATCCAAAGAGTGTGGCATGTTTCTTCAGGTATACATGTGGGTTAGATATGGATCTTATAGGAGATTATCTCGGAAATCATGACCAATTCTGTATTCAGGTGCTGTATGAGTTTGCCAAGACATTCGACTTCCAGAACATGAATCTTGCTACTGCCCTGCGTCTCTTTGTAGGTACCTTTAGATTGCCTGGCGAGTCACAGAAGATACAGAGGGTGCTGGAGGCGTTTTCTGAGAGATACTATGAACAGTCACCACATATACTGATTAATAAAGATGCTGCCTTCGTGTTAGCTTACTCGATTATATTGCTGAACACTGATCAGCACCACTCGCAGGTGAAGACAAGGATGACTGAAGAAGATTTCATCCGTAACAACAGGGGAATAAATGGAGGTGCAGACCTTCCTAGAGAGTACCTATCTGAGATTTATCATTCAATTTGCAACATTGAGATTCAGATGAATGCAACTAAGGGAACCAGCTTCCAAATGATGACAGCCAGTCGTTGGATTAGTGTGATTTACAAATCCAAAGAAACCAGTCCCTATATCCTATGTGACGCTGCATCCCATCTGGACCGTGACATGTTTTGTATCGTGTCTGGTCCCACTATTGCAGCTACATCTGTGGTTTTTGAGCAAGCAGAGCAAGAAGATGTTTTCCAGAGATGTGTTGATGGGTTATTGGCCATTGCAAAACTTTCAGCATATTATCATTTGAATAGTGTTGTGGATGATGTGGTCGTGTCTCTCTGCAAATTCACACCCTTCTCCACCCCATTATCTGCTGATGAAGCTGTTCTTGCTCTAGGAGAAGATGCGAGAGCCAGAATGGCTACTGAAGCTGTTTTCTTGATTGCAAATAAATATGGTGACTACATCAGTTCGGCCTGGAAAAACATACTGGAATGTGTCTTGAGCCTCCATAAACTCCAGATTTTACCAGTTCATATAGCTAGTGATGCAGCGGATGACACAGAGCCGTCAACTAGTAACTTGGAGCAAGAAAAACCTTCGACAAATCCTCTTTCAGTAGTATCAGAGTCTCAACCCTCAGTGACGCCTCGCAAAACATCTAGTTTTATTGGTCGGTTCCTTTGGTCTTTTGATATGGAGGAGACAAAGCCATTACCAACCGAGGAAGAACAGGTAGCTTATAAACATGCTCGTGGGATAGTGAACGATTGTCACATTGATAGTATATTCTCAGACAGCAAGTTTCTCCAAGCTGAGTCTCTGCAGCATCTTGTTAACTCTCTCATAAAAGCAGCCGAGAAAAATGAAGCTAGTGCTGTCTTTTGCCTGGAGCTTCTGATTGCAGTAACTCTTAACAACCGAGACAGAATCCTACTGATTTGGCAAACTGTTTATGAGCATATCTCAGGTATAATTCAATCAACGTCAACACCATGCACACTTGTTGAAAAGGCTGTTTTTGGTGTGTTGAAGATTTGCCAGAGATTATTGCCATACAAGGAAAATCTAACAGATGAACTTCTGAAATCACTCCAACTGGTTCTCAAGCTTAATGCAAATGTGGCTGATGCATACTGTGAACGCATTACACAAGAAGTTGGCCGTCTTGTAAAAGCGAATGCATCTCATGTTAGATCTCATATTGGTTGGCGAACGATCATATCTCTGCTATCAATCACAGCTCGGCATCCAGAAGCTTCTGATGCTGGATTTGAAGCCCTCCGGTTTATAATGTCAGAAGGAGCACACTTGTTACCCTCAAACTACATTCTCTGTTTGGATGCAGCTTGGCAGTTTGCTGGATCCCGAGTTAATGAAATTGATCGGTCCATCTCAGCGATTGACTTAATGTCAAACTCTGTTTTTTGTCTTGCAAGATGGTCTCAAGAGGCGAAAAACTCGGTTGGAGAAGACGATGCTATGGTGAAACTAAGTCGAGATATTGGAGAAATGTGGCTCAGACTTGTGCACAACCTCAAGAGGGTTTGTCGTGATCCACGCGACCAAGTGAGAAACCATGCAATTTTAATGACGACCCGAGCTATAGCCGGTGCAGACGGGATCATGTTACCACAACCTCTATGGTTCCAATGCTTTGATTCCGAAGTCTTCCCATTGCTAGACGAAACGCTCGCTGATTCGATCCTGAATTCAAAGAAGACTTTCAAGAAAACAGTCGAAGAAACGCTTGTTCTCGCCACAAAACTCATGTCAAAAGCTTTTCTTCAATCTCTTCAAGATATCTCACAGCAACCATCGTTCTGTAAACTCTGGCTTGGTGTCTTGAACCGTTTCGAGACTTACATGTCAACGAAATTCCGAGGAAAACGCAGCGAGAAGATCCATGAACTCATACCGGAACTTCTCAAGAACACATTGCTGGTGATGAAGACAACAGGAGTCTTATTACCAGGTGACGATATCGGAAGCGACAGTTTCTGGCAACTAACGTGGCTTCACGTCAAGAAGATATCTCCTTCTCTGCAATCTGAAGTTTTCCCAGAAGAGGAGCTTGATCAGCTTCAGACACGAAACGCAAAGCCTGAGGATTCTCAGACATCGGAAAATGACGCCGGAGACTGATACAGTGGTGGAAGTAGAGAAATATTTGTTCTATACAGATGAAAAAACATATTCAAGAATATCGAAATTTTTTTTGCAGTATAGCTTTTTTAATGTTTTTTCTTTTTTAATTATAGGGACTATAATACTTTTTGGGTTTTTTTTAATGAGGAATCTCACGTTGTTGAAATTATATGGTTGATTGGAAAATATATTTGGAGGCAGTTTGGAAATTGTTTATGTTATCTTTTTTTTTTTTTGTCAAACAAAATTGTTTATGTTATAAGGGCTAGATTTTATAACCAAACTTATTTTTCTCTTTTCTAAATTTACATTTTTATGGAATTTAGATTTTGTTAGAGTTTTTATACTAATTAATAAGATTTATAATACTGTTGAAGTTGAAACTTTCCAGTAATTAATTAGTTGTATTTAGACTTATTTAAGAGTTTTGTCAAACAGATCTGTTGTGATTAACATATTAGATATTTTAAATTTTAATAATTGATACAAATCAAAGAAAAGTAATTAAGGTGAGATATTTCCACTATTTTCTTCTTCTTTTGATTTTATTTTTTTCCACATGCGGTGTTGTTAATAAATTTAATCTTATCTTATATAATAAAGAGAAAAAAAAAGATTAATAAATTCAGAGTTTCTCATATCTCTTAACCCTTCTCCTCTTTACAAGCTCTTCAGCCAAAAAAAAAAAAAAAAAAAAATAGGGTTTATATATTTCTCCTCAAGATCCAACGATTAGGGCAACAAGATCTGAAATGGAAGCTTCAGATAGGATCAGTGACTTACCTAACGATTTGCTCTTGAGAATACTCTCACTAATCCCTGTAAGTGATGCAATGTCCACAAGTCAATTGTCTAAACGATGGAAACATGTTTGGAAGATGTTGCAAAAACTTGTCTACGACGAAACCTCTTGTCCCAACATGGGAGAGTTTGTACAATTCTGTGGCAGGTCTTTGCAGTTACATGATGCTTCACTTATCAAAACCATAGATGTCAAACTTAGGAAACACTCTGATTCCTTAGATTCTCTGTTTTTCCCAAAACTTCACTCCACTGTTCTTGAGATCTCAGTCACTTCTACTGCTTATCCTATTTATTACAGTTTTATTACCTTCCCAAACAACCTTAATGTCTTTCAAACACTAGTTGTCTTGAAACTCCAAGGTCTTATTCTTCTTGATGTTGTTGAGTCTCCTGTTTGCTTCCAGTCTCTGAAAAGTTTGTATCTCAAATGTGTCAAGTTCGAGTCTGGAGACTCTTTTACCGCGCTTTTATCGGCTTGTCCTGTTCTCGAAGATCTCTTCATCCATAGACGTTGCAGTGTACGTAGTTTTTTTTTCTCCATATCAGTTCCTTCTCTACAGAGATTGTCTTTCACTAAAGAACCAGGATATTATAGTGAAGACGAAGCGATTGTCGAAATTACTGCTCCTTCGTTGAACTACTTGAAGATCTTCGATCGCGTTGGTAGTTTCAGTTTTCTTGAGGATATGCCTAAATTGGTTGAGGCAGATGTTAAAGTTAACCTCTCCAAAAATGAGAAGCTTCCCAAAGTTGTTACTTCTGTTGAACGTCTTTCGCTAGATTTGTATCCTTCAATGGTATAACAACTTCTTTCTTCTCTACCGCAAACTCGAGTTTGCGTTTTCTTTGAAGATAACATTATATGTTTTTTCTTGTGCAGGTTTTTCACCTTGAGGATAGATTCATCTCCAAGAAACTTGGTCATCTTGAATTAGACATTTACGACAATTTCAAGTCGAATCTACTTTTGAGTTTGCTGAAAGATGTCCCTTACTTACGATCTCTCAAGCTCAACCATGTAAGCTCACAATTCCTTAAGTAGTAATCTTGTTTTGAGAACTTTGAGTTTGATCTCTACTAGACTAATACAACAATATCTTTTATGTTATACTCAGCAACATCCCATATATGATTTAGAGGATCAACCGTGTTCAGACTCCGAATTGAGCTCAGTTCCTGATTGCTTGAGTTTCCAATATCTGGAGACATTTCAGTGGATAGACTACGCAGGAACATATGAAGAGATACAAGCTGCGGTTTACGTCCTGAAGAACGCTCGTTGTTTGAAGAATGCTACAATCTCTCTGCATTCAAGAGGCATAGAGAATGATCTCATGATGATGAAGAAAGAGTTGGAATCTATGTCTAAGGCTTCAACCATGTGTCAGCTTTTTATTAAATTTTAGAAAGTTTCTCCTACATATCCTGCAATTGAACTTTAGCAAGAAATCATTTCTATTATTCAAATATGAATTTGCATTAAATTATTAAACTTTTCCCATATTTTTACTTTTATGAGCGTTTCGATATTTTTTTATATATTTGGTAGAAACACACCGAAGTGCTATAGAGACAGCATACTACAACAATGGTTAATAGCATCAAGTAAATACAAGGGTTTTAATCTTCAATTGATCTAAATAAACAGAGGAAGATTACATGTCATTGACGTGAATGATCACATCTTATTTCCCAAAAGCAAAACAAATATGAGTAATATTTGGGATAAGTCTTGTTGATGCATTTAACCACAGAGACACACAAGTTTGATCGCGATACTTGTGAAGAGTTTTCCAGGAAACAATACGGGCCAACATTGCATGGGAAGATAATTAAGCTTTTGGCAACAAGTACCTCTTCGACCATTAGATATTGCTTTGCCAATCCCACCAGCTGCATCAAAACAACTTTGCACAGTCTTGACCTCCTCGGAACAGTGTATGAGACGTAAAACCCCTTTTGGATCTTCTTCTTCTTTCGTCGTCATCGCCTTTCTATTGTTTGAATACGATATTTGACTAGAAGAAGACATGATTATCAAGCCAAAGAAGATAACAATGGCAACAAGAATTGAGTGAGCCATTGCTGAGACTGAAAAAAAATATATATTTTTGAGTGTTTTAGAATGAGTTTGCTTTTGTGAACTTGTGTTTACAATGATCTCAAAGAGGGTTAATTGATACTAGTAGAGGTATAATGTCTGCAAAAATGATGAAGTTTTATTTATTTTTGTGTGTATATAACTTGATAAGGCATAGGTTAATCTTCTACTTTACTTATTTTAAGTCTTTCGAATCATGAAATTATGCAAATTTGGATCTTCTGAATAATTAGCAAATCCCTTGCAGATAGCAAAATCGTATTAGCTTAATAATTTTGATATGGAACAAATTTAAGGAGAAATCAAACCATTCCACACACATAGGAATTGGTGGACCGCAACTTTAAATTTGGTTACTTACATTTGCAATTTGCAGCTCCAACTCCTTGAAAACATGTTGGTCGTTCGTACTGTAGAGTTAATGAGTTAGGACTTAAGACAGGCCGTGTACAAATAATACGAGAAAATAGCCCTGGGACTTTGGTTTTCTGGGATATTCCGGTTCGGCTTTTTTGGTTAATTCGGTTTTAAAATTTTAACACCGAAATTTAGTTTTTTTAAAAAATCTGTGTTTTCGGATTTTTAAGGATAATATCGGGTTATTTTGGTTAATTCGGTTTTTTGGTTTTATTTCAAATATTTTTGTTGTTTCGGATAGTTTGGTTAGTTTAAAGATAAATTTTGGTTAACCGATAATTGAACTAAATTAACCGAAATATTTTGGTTCAGCCGCCATAACCAAAACCGAACCGAATACCCAAAATATTGGTTCAATTCGGTTCGATTATTTAGGTTCAGTTTTTAATAAACTGAACCCCAAGCCTACGAGAAAGTATGTTAAAAAACTTTTAACTTTATTTGATAATTAAAGACAGTGGCTTTGTAATGTTAGAAAACATATATTTTAAGAGAATAGTAGATTAGAAAACGTATTGAGTTTTGAAGTATATTTGTATCGTCAACTCTAATGACTAAGATCTTATTTTCCAAAACACTAAAAGTTTTGAAATATATTTGTATCGTAAGAACTTTTATGATACGGATATTTTAGTTGGTTAGACTTTGAAATCGATACGTACGTTATTCTAGTTATCGGTCTAAATTGGTGTTAGAGGTTTAGATGAAATAGACCCCTTCCTCGTATGAATATGAATAAACACATCTCTAAGTTTCTTTGAATATCTAACTTAAATTGGTGTATTAGTAGTGTTCAATCATATAAAATACGAGGCACTAAGAAAAAGATTAATTTACATAGTCCTATCTACATCCTCCATAACAATCATAGACATTGATACACCCTTAACTACTGGGTATAAAGATAAACATACAAAATAAGGTATTCCATATGCAAGAACTGTGTTCTTGATATGACCATACATATTTTGTAATTAAGAGAAGGGCATGGTAAAAGAATCAAGAAATATCCAATGCATATTCTTACTAACTACACAAAATGATTCAAAAGAGTTCCAAGTTCTGTCGACTTGGTAAGACTTAAGAGAAAGGTAGACACTACTAGTGCAATAACATAAATAGTTCAATCATTATATTGTAATAAGCATCAAGCCAACAATAATCATCAGTGTGTGATGCAAAAATCTGAGAATGTCACTTCAGATGTATCATCAAGAATTCAGAGCATAGCACAAGAAAAATCCATTCCAGATTCAAGTAATTCCATTCATCATGCATTAAAGTAAAATACTACCATCAGCTGCAAGAGCCTCATATAAGTTACATGAGACTCGTCTATGCATCTATTTCATAAAGCAAGCGACCTTATGATATTATCAGTAAAACTCAAGACCTTATGAGCCTACAAACACATTCAAGATTCAATAATTCATCAGATACATTCAAAACTTTGTATATGCAGAAGATCCCAAGATGAATCTATTTCAGAAAATGCTACCAAAACAGAGATAAGTCTAACAGACACACAATGTAAGATTTCAAGAGATAAAGTAAAATTGTAGAATGCCATTCACATGTTTAAAACAATCACCAAAGGTTTAGAGCATAACACAAAACAAATTCTTTCAAGATTCAAGGAAACTATAATAACAATCAATAAAAGTCACACCAAATGATTCAGAATCATAATCTATAGAAATAACGCTTATGTCAAAATAAATATCTACAAGAGACTCTAAAATGCCTCTGTTATATAGAGTAAGAGACTTAATGATACAAAAGTACTAAGAGAGAGAGAAAGAGAAGAAAAACAAAGGACCTTATGATCCATAAGACAAGAAACGTTATGGTATATAATCAAGAAAATCCATTGATATTCTAACTAAATACACCAAATAATTCAATAGAGTTCCTGGTTTCATCGCCTATGTTAGACTAAAAGACTAATTGATAGACACTCATTGCAATAATGTACTCATATCATTATATATTGTATAAAAATCAAGCGAAAGAGTACAAGATTCAATAATACTATTACCATAATGTGCATTAGTACATCTCATACATTCAGAATACGTATCTGCAAAAGATCCCAAAGACATAAAATGAAAGTACACTACCAAAACAGAGCTAATAAGTATTTTAAACAACGTAATGTTCCAGTAAGTATTTTAAACAACGTTATGCATGATGCAAATTTCTAGAATGTCATTCACATGTTTAAAACAATCACCAAAAGGTTTAGAGCACAAAACAAATTCTTTCAAGAAACTACAATCATAATCTATAGAAGTTGCACCTGCAGGCCAACAAAATACAAGTAGTAGAATCTAACACAGTGTATGATGCATAAATCTGAGAATAAGTCTGAATTGATCACCAAGAAATCAGAGCATAACACAAAACAAATCAATTCAAGATTCATAATCTATAGAAGTTTCACCAGGCCAACAAAATACAAGTAGTAGAATCTAACACAGTGCATGATGCATAAATCTGAGAATAAGTCTGAATTGATCACCAAGAACTCAGAGCATAACACAAAACAAATCAATTCAATATTTAAGTAAATCCATTCATGATCAGTTCAGACTTGTGAAGTTGTACCTATGTCACAATAAATTTCTGCAAGAGACATTAAGACACAAAAGCACCAAAACAAAGAGGGTAAAAGAATTACAACAACACATTGTACTGTTCCAACACACAAAGTAAAATCAACACAATTTTCAATTAAATTATCACAGAGGAGTCGAGAAAAGCATATATATACATGATCATCAATTCTGCTACAATTATAATATCAACATCTCTTGAAGTACTTACCTGTAATTTTGTAAAAGTCAAAATAGTCTATACTTAGCTCATTAAAACAAAAACAAAAAGGTTTGGAAAAACATATACCTGTCGAAGAAGTTTGCTACTTGAACTCTACTCAAAGTCTTAACAAACGCATATACCTGCAAAAAATAAACAGAATTTGTTAGTCTTAATTTTACATGAATGTCATGTACTTACCTCGTTCGTTTATATTATTTGGTCTCAAGTATAATCATGCTGCATATTCTTTGCCAAGTATCTTTGCCTTACAACTTTTAAAGTCATATGCTGAATTCACAGTTTGGTTTTAAGACTTCTTTACTCTGCTGGTTGTTTTTAGCATCCAACAAATCGCAACTGATCTTCTTTACTTTACTTTGCATGCACTACCCATCCAAAGTCTTTTCCCTTTTGTCTTATGATTCTTCTAAGCCCCTCTTTGAGAACCTTTGATTCTTTTATGTCTTTTGTCTTTAGGCTCAATCCCATTCAAAGTCATTTGACTCTTAATCTTATATCTTTCCCCAAAATGCATGCACTACCAAGCCAACAGTTCTCTTCCAATGTCATATGTCTTTGTCTTAAGGCTTATTCCCGTTATGATTTTCCAAGCCGAGGGTACCAAGCTGTTAGAACACTTTGGTTCTTGTATTTCTTGTGTCTTAGCTCATTCCCATTCAATGTCGTTTGACCCTTTATCTTATAATTTCCCCCAACATGCATGCACTACCAATCCAAGAGTTCCCTTCCAATGTCTTTTGTCTTTTGTCTTAAGATTTTTATTCCCAATATTATTTTGCAAGCCGAGGGTACCAAACTATGAGAACTCTTTGGTTCTTGTATCTATTTTTGTCTTAGAGCTCATTCCCATTCAAATCATTCGACTCTTTTGTCTTGAAACTTTTCCCAACATGCATGCACTACCAATCCCAAGAGTTCCCTTCCAATGTCTTTTGTCTTTTGTCTTTTGTCTTTTGTCTTAAGGTTTTTATTCCCAATATCTCTTTTGCAAGCCGAGGGTACCAAACTATGAGAACTCTTTGGTTCTTGTATCTCTTTTTGTCTTAGAGCTCATTCCCATTCAAAGTCATTCGACTCTTTTGTCTTATAATTTCCCCCAACATGCATGCACTACCAATCTAAGAGTTCCCTTCTAATGTCTTTTGTCTTAAGGTCTTTATTCCCAATATTATATTACAAGCCGAGGGTACCAAACTATGAGAACTCTTTGGTTCTTGTATCTCTTTTGTCTTAGAGTTCATTCCCATTCAAAGTCATTTGACTCTTTTGTCTTATAATTTTTCCCAACAAGCATGCACTACCATGCCAACAGTTCCCTTTCCATGTCTTTTGGTTCTTTTCTGTCTTTTCTCTTTAGACTTATAAAGCCATAGGACCATCCAACAAATCGCAACCTCATTTCCAATTCCTAATATGCATGCACTACCAATCCCACAGTTCGCATCTTTTCTCGGGATAATGTCCCCAAAATAGAATCTGACAGAACACTATTAGATTAGTGTCTGCCCTTGATCTTTTTTGGGTTTTGAAAGAAAAACAAAAACAAAAACAAAAACATCAAAACATCAAAACTTAAAACCTCCAAAACTAAGAATCCGCAGATCAAGTAACCAAAACCAAAAACGGATCTGGATTCTTATCAAAGTGAACAATAGTTTTGATGTTGGATCAAGAAAACAAAACCAAAACAAAAACAAAAACAATCTTGATTCCAACATCACAATGACATAGACGTCAATTGCTTAAATCAAACAAAAACATTAAATCTGATCAAAAGAGAACTGATCAGTTGTACCAATTCTATTTCAATCCTTAAAAACTTGGAATCGCACAAAAACAAAACACAAAAAAATAGAACTTAAAGACAGAGAAATACCTCAACGAGGTGGAGAAGCTTCAAGGATTAGACAGGAACAGAACCCAGTCGTGAACTGATCAATTGAACTCATTCGATTTCAATCCTCAAAAACCTGAAAACGCACAAAAACAAAAACACAAGAAACGGGTTAGGACAGAGAGATACATTAACGAATCGTAATAGTTTCACAAACCAAACGAAACCCCATAGATCTGTACAACACAAGAACGATTACAAGATTCCAAAACCCTAAAAAAACACACAAAGACAAAGCGAGGATCAAAGGAAAGAAACCAAAGTCAAATCAAAACAATTCGACTGTACCAGTTTCATGCCTAATCAAACCAAACATAACGAAACCCCATAGATCTTTACAACACAAGAACGATTAGTAAATCCAAAAAACCTAAAAAAAGAAAAGAAGAGAGAATTAGAGTAAGAAACCAAACCAAATCACCGTGACAAAGAAGAAACCCATGCGATTGAACTAGATCCATGCCCAAATCAGAAACCCTAGATTAAGAAAAACATATATAAGAACAAATCACACAAAATCTTTTATAAATCCTAAAAATTAACAGATTCAACACATACTAACCTTTAAGATTTGAACCTTTAATTCACTCCAAAAACCCAGAAAAGAGAAAATAAACTGGAAGAAGAAGAAGAAGAAGAAGAAGAGAAGAAAAAACCAAAGCGAGATTTTTGTTTGTTACAGAAGTATGAAATCAGATCTCTTTCTCACATATATATAAACATATGGGAGCGTCTTGACATATAACGTAAACGCGTTTCCTTAACGGTTATATTTAAACATGGATTCACCGTTGATTCGTTGTACTATACTTTAATCGGACGGTTCTGAAATTTTCCTCTTTAAAAAGTGAGTTTGTTTTTAGTTGCCAATATACACAAACGCAAAAAAGCAAAGCAAAATAGCGTTTAACGGTTTTGTGGTTATGGGTTTCACAAAGAAGGCCCAGTTTAACGACTAACCCAAAGTCCACTAAATTAAAATTCAAAATTTTTGTGTCATTTTTTTTTCCGTTGGGTTCGGTTTTTAAAACGAAAATCCAACAGTTTATTTTACCATGACATCAAGAAAATAAAACTTGGTATTGGTTTTTTAATAATTTTTATTTAAATACTTTTTGTATTAGAGAGTTCCGACAAAAATTGTTATAAATCAGCTGTCATTTATCTGTTCCATTTAAGACTTTTTGTATTAGGTTTATCCTGATCCTGCAAAATATATTGGAACCGTTCCAAATCAAAAATTTTGATTTCGGTTTGGAGAGGAAAACCGATCGATAATTCTATAAATTATGTTCGATTACTTGAGTTTTTTTAGTTCGGTTCAGGTAAACAGAGATATTTTTTAAGCATAGATCGTATATACATGCTTAATAATTAAGTTTTAAGTATCTAATGGTGATGGAACTGAATACTTCTGCGATCCTATGTGAAAATGTGATTGATGTTACTATTCTAACATGAATTTTATAATTTAGATTTCTATTAGAACTCAATAGAATTAACAAAAGTGGAACTTACCTAGATTAATTGAACTCTTATGAAAAATAACTCACTTAACATCCTTTGGAAAGGGATTACTAGAATGACTTAATTTTTTTTTTGTAATAAGACCATTAACACTATTAGGAGATGTTGGAGAAAAGAAAAGATGAAAGATTTCAACTGAAACAACAATAATGAGGAAAGCGATGTAGATTTCTTTAAAAAGTAGCTAATTATTATTGCTGGTGAAAGATCTCTGTTCTAATCTATTCATAATGAAACTAATTAATATTCGGAAAATTTGTGATATTAGTGATTTGCTTCGTCTCGACCGAATATATGATTTTAGTATTTGTTTCGCTTCGAAAATTTTGAATATTAAAAACTACGAATATTTGATTTTTTTCTTAGATATTTGCGAATTACTTTCTTCGATTCGTCTAAAATATATTTTTAAGAAAACTAAAATACACCGTACATAAAATAAAAAAAAATATGAGACATCAAAAGTTTTTCTTCCTCATGCTTTCAAATTAAGTTAATAAATAAACAAACGTAACCACTGTTTTTCTTAATATACAAATATACTAACAAATTTTATTTTAAATTGAAGAATTAATTATATTTTTTTCTACAAATCTGGAAACTCGGGTGTATAACTACGAAAAAATAAAATTTAATTTAAAAAAATTATTGCAGGATCCTAATTTCTTATTTTTAATGTTGATATTTTTTTATAAACTTATTTCGCTGAAAACATGGGTTTTACCATTTACCAAGATGTCTAACACATGTCCAAAATGTGATAATTTTAATACAAGCTGAAATATAAAAGTATACAAATTAGATAAGGATTTTCATATACATAGTTAATATTCTTATATAAATCTAAAAATACATGAATATGAGTGTATATCCGACCTTTAGAAAAATAATATTTGTGTTTTACGTCGTGTTTTACGAATACTAATTTTTCCTTATTTGCTTTGCTTAATATATACGGATATTCGAATTTTTCGAATATTCGAATTTTTCGAATCGAATCAAAGCAAATACCGAATCGAATAAATGGTGTGACATATACATGTGCCGTTTATTTCAATATACGTTGGCAAATCTATGTTGTTATTTGGCTTTCCGAAGTTTGTTTTTTCTAAGATATTTGTTAGTGGATGTTTTACTTGGAGTTGAATGATATAGATTTTGTATAATTGTATTGTCAGCTCTCATGACTAAGTTTTGAAATATATTTATATTGTAAGTAGACATAGTAGTGTTTGGTGTGTTAATAATAGTGAATTACAGAAATATCTACCTTAATTTGGTGTGTCAATAGTAGTGTTTAATCATATAAAATACCAGAGCACTAAACAAAAGATTAAATGTAAAAGTTCTATCTATATGCATCTCATAACCAATCATAGACATTAATATACCCTTAATTGGGAATAGTTTACCTATAAAGTTTAATCGGTTTAGGATGGTATCATCCAAAGAATAAAGATCAAAAAATTATTAGACTACTAACCAAAATGCAAGAACTGTGTTTCATGATGACCATACATATTTTGTGAATTAACACAAAGCTAAAAGAATACCAGAAAATATTGTTTTTCAATATTGAAGTTCAAATTGTCCATTTAGCACAAACAAATGACAATAAATATTACATATTTAGAAAAGTGTGATTAATTAAGAAAAGAAATTGTAAAATGAATCAAGAAATATAAGTCGACTTGGTAAGACATAAGAGACCAAAGGGATGGTAAATGAATCAAGAAATGTTGTAAGACACTACTAGTGCAATAACATACAAGTATTACAATCATTCTATATTGTAATTTGTAATAAGCATCAAGCCAACAAAATACAAGTAGTAAAACATAACACTGTAATCATCAGTGTGTGATGCAGAAATCTGAGGATATCACTTCAGATGTAACATCAAGAATTCAGAGCATAGCACAAGACAAATACATTCATTATTCAAGTAAAATACTACAATCATCTGCAAGAGCCTCATATACGTTATACATGAGACTCGTCTATGCATCTATTTCATAAAGCAAGAGACCTTATGATATTATCAGTAAAACTCAAGGCAATGGGGTACACAATCTATAGAATCTAAGACAGCAATCGTTAGCTTACAATGCAATCTAATACATATCTATAATGCAAAACAAATACATTCAAGATTCAATAATTCATCTCATACATTCAAAAATATGTATATGCAGAAGATCCCAAGATGAATTTGTTTCACAAAATGCTACCAAAACAGAGATAAGTATAACAGACACACAATGTTATATTTCAATAGAATGCCATTCACATGTTTAAAACAATCACCAAAGGTTTAGAGCATAACACAAAACAAACTCTTTCAAGATTCAAGGAAACTACGATAACAATCAATAGAAGTCACACCAAATGATTCATAATCATAATCTATAGAAATTGCACTTATGTCAAAACAAATATCTACAAGAGACTCTAAGATGCCTCTGTTATATAGAGTATGAGACTTAATGATACAAAAGTACTAAGAGAGAGAGAGAAAGAGAAAAAAAACAAAGGACCCTTATGATCCATAAGACAAGAAACGTTATGGTAAATAATCAAGAAAATCCATTGATATTCTAACTAAATACACCAAATAATTCAATAGAGTTCTTGGTTTCATCGCCTATGTTAGACTAAAAGACCAATTGGTAGACACTCATTGCAATAATGTACTCATATCATTATATATTGTATAAAAAATCAAGCGAAAGAGTACAAGATTCAATAATACTATTACCATATAATGTGCATTAGTACGTCACATACATTGAGAATACGTATCTGCAAAAGATCGCAAAACACATAAAATGAAAGTACACTACCAAAACTGAGCTATAAGTATTTTAAACAACGTAATGTAGTATTAAAATTTCTAGAATGACATTCACATGTTTAAAACAATCACCAAAAGGTAAAACATAAAACAAATTCTTTCAAGAAACTACAGTCATAATCTATAGAAGTTGCACCTGCAGGCCAACAAAATACAAGTAGTACAATCTAACACAGTGTATGATGCATAAATCAGAGAATAAGCCTGAATTGATCACAAAGAACTCAGAGCATAACACAAAACAAATCATTTCAAGATTCAAGTAAATCCATTCATGATCAATTCAGACTTGTGAAGTTGTTACGTATGTATAAATAAATTTCTGCAAGAGACATTAAGATGCCTCCATTGTATAGAGTAAGAGACATGATGACACAAAAGCACCAAAACAAAGAGAGTAAAAGAATTACAACAACACATTGTACTGTTCCAATAGCCAAAGTAAAATCAACACAATTTTCAATTAAATTATCACAGAGGAGTCGAGGAAAGCATGTATATACCAACATCTCCTGAAGTACTTACTTTTAAAAATTAAAATAGTCTATACTTCACATATATGTCTCTCACTTGTGATTTTCATAATAGTATCAACTAATTACTAACAACTTTAAAAGCTCATAAAAACAAAAACAAAAAGGTTTGAAGATATATATACCTGTGTCGAAGAAGTTTGCTACTTGAACTCTACTCAAAGTCTTAACAGAAGCACGCATATACCTGGCAAAGAAAAAAAACAGAATTTGTTAGTCTTCATTTTACGTGAATGTCATGTACTTACCTCTTCGATTATATTATTTGGTCTCAAGTCTAACCATGCTGCATTCTTAGTCAAGTATCTTTGTCTTACAACTTTTTAAAGTCGGTGGGCTAAACCATTTTAAGTCGTTGGTCTAAAGTCTTTTACCTTTTTGTCTTATGATTTTTCTAAGCCCCTCTTTGAGAACTCATTGGTTCTATTCCCTCTTTGTCTTAAAGTTCATTCCCTTCCAAAGTCTTTTGACTCTTTTGAATCATTTGTCTGGTTTTGAGCCTTGTTTACTCTGCTGGTCGTTTTTACCATCCAACAATTTACAACTGATCTTCTTCACTCTACTTTGCATGCACTACCCATCCAAAGTCTTTTACCTTTGTCTGATTTTGAACCCTTGGTTCATTTTTGTCTTTTGTCTTAAGGTTTTTATTCCCAATATCTCTTTTGCAAGCCGAGGGTACCAAACTATGAGAACTCTTTGGTTCTTGTATCTCTTTTGTCTTAGAGCTCATTCCCATTCAAAGTCTTTTGACTCTTTTGTCTTATAATTTCCCCCAACATGCATGCACTACCAATCTAAGAGTTCCCTTCTAATGTCTTTTGTCTTAAGGTCTTTATTCCCAATATTACTTTGCAAGCCGAGGGTACCAAACTATGAGAACTCTTTGGTTCTTGTATCTCTTTGTCTTAGAGCTCATTCCCCTTCAAAGTCATTCGACTCTTTTGTCTTGTATTTTTTCCCAACATGCATGCACTACCACTCCCAAGAGTTCCCTTCCAATGTATTTTGTCTTTTGTCTTAAGGGTTTTATTCCCAATATCTCTTTTGCAAGCCGAGGGTACCAAACTATGAGAACTCTTTGGTTATTGTATCTCTTTTGTCTTAGAGCTCATTCCCATTCAAAGTCATTTGACTCCTTTGTCTTATAATTTTCCCCAACATGCATGCACTACCAATCCAAGAGTTCCTTTCCAATGTCTTTTGTCTTAAGGTTTTTATTCCCAATATTATTTTGCAAGCCGAAGGTACCAAACTACCGACAACTCTTTGGTTCTTGTATCTCTTTTTGTCTTAGAGCTCATTCCCATTCAAATCATTTGACTCTTTTGTCTTGTAACTTTTCCCAACATGCATGCACTACCAATCTAAGAGTTCCCTTCTAATGTCTTTTGTCTTTTGTCTTAAGGTTTTTATTCCCAATATCTCTTTTGCCAGCCGAGGGTACCAAACTATGAGAACTCTTTGGTTCTTGTATCTCTTTTTGTCTTAGAGCTCATTCCCATTCAAAGTCTTTTGACTCTTTTGTCTTATAATTTCCCCCAACATGCATGCACTACCAATCCAAGAGTTCCTTTCCAATGTCTTTTGTCTTAAGGTTTTTATTCCCAATATTATTTTGCAAGCCGAAGGTACCAAACTACCGACAACTCTTTGGTTCTTGTATCTCTTTTTGTCTTAGAGCTCATTCCCATTCAAATCATTTGACTCTTTTGTCTTGTAACTTTTCCCAACATGCATGCACTACCAATCTAAGAGTTCCCTTCTAATGTCTTTTGTCTTTTGTCTTAAGGTTTTTATTCCCAATATCTCTTTTGCCAGCCGAGGGTACCAAACTATGAGAACTCTTTGGTTATTGTATCTCTTTTGTCTTAGAGCTCATTCCCATTCAAAGTCATTTGACTCCTTTGTCTTATAATTTTCCCCAACATGCATGCACTACCAATCTAAGAGTTCCCTTCTAATGTCTTTTGTCTTTTGTCTTAAGGTTTTTATTCCCAATATCTCTTTTGCAAGCCGAGGGTACCAAACTATAAGAACTCTTTGGTTCTTGTATCTCTTTTTGTCTTAGAGCTCATTCCCCTTCAAAGTCATTCGACTCTTTTGTCTTGTATTTTTGCCCAACATGCATGCACTACCAATCCCAAGAGTTCCCTTCCAATGTCTTTTGTCTTTTGTCTTAAGGTTTTTATTCCCAATATCTCTTTTGCAAGCCGAGGGTACCAAACTATGAGAACTCTTTGGTTCTTATATCTCTTTTGTCTTAGAGTTCATTCCCATTCAAAGTCATTCGACTCTTTTGTTTTGTATTTTTTCCCAACATGCATGCACTACCAAACCCAAGAGTTCCCTTCCAATGTCTTTTGTCTTTTGTCTTAAGGTTTTTATTCCCAATATCTCTTTTGCAAGCCGAGGGTACCAAACTATGAGAACTCTTTGGTTCTTGTATCTCTTTTGTCTTAGAGTTCATTCCCATTCAAAGTCATTTGACTCTTTTGTCTTATAATTTTTCCCAACAAGCATGCACTACCATGCCAACAGTTCCCTTTCCATGTCTTTTGGTTATTTTCTGTCTTTTCTCTTTAGACTTATAAAGCCATAGGATCATCCAACAAATCCCAACCTCATTTCCAATTCCCAATATGCATGCACTACCAATCCCACAGTTCACATCTTTTCTCGGGACAATGTCCCCAAAATAGAATCTGACAGAACACTATTAGATTAGTGTCTGCCCTTGATCTTTTTTGGGTTTTGAAAGAAAAACAAAAACATCAAAACTTAAAACCTCCAAAACTAAGAATCCGCAGATCAAGTAACCAAAACCAAAAACGGATCTGGATTCTTATCAAAGTGAACAATAGTTTTGATGTTGGATCAAGAAAACAAAACCAAAACAAAAACAAAAACAATCTTGATTCCAACATCACAATGACATAGACGTCAATTGCTTAAATCAAACAAAAACATTAAATCTGATCAAAAGAGAACTGATCAGTTGTACCAATTCTTTTTCAATCCTTAAAAACTTGGAATCGCACAAAAACAAAACACACAAAAAAAAAGAACTTAAAGACAGAGAAATACCTCGACGAGGTGGAGAAGATTCAAGGATTAGACAGGAACAGAACCCAGTCGTGAACTGATCAATTGAACTCATTCGATTTCAATCCTCAAAAACCTGAAAACGCACAAAAACAAAAACACAACAAAATGGGTTAAGACAGAGAGATATTTTAACGGGTTCTAATACTTTCAAGCCGAATCAAACCAAACAAAACAAAACCCCTAAATCTATACAACACAAGAACGATTAAAAGATTCCAAAACCCTAAAAAAATTACACAAAAACAAAGCGATGATCAGAAGAACAAACCAACTCAAATCACCATACTAGAGAAAAAAACCCATACGATTGCACCAATTTCATACCGAATCAAACCAAACAAAACGAAGCCCTAGATCTGTAAAACACAAGTTTAATTAGAAAATCCAGAAACCCTAAATTAAAAAAAAAAAACACAAAGAGATGATTTGAGTAAGAAACCAAACCAAATCACCATGACAGAGAAGAAACTCATGCGTTTGTACTAGTTCCATGCCCAAAATCATAAACCCTAGATCAATACAAACATATATAAGAACAATTTACACAAAACTTCTATAAATCTTAAATAAAGAAGTTCACGACACAGATGAGTTGAAATACATACCAATCTTTAAGATTACAGAACATGATTCTCCTTCACGAGTCTTCGAAGCATTCTTCTTTACTCGAGAAACCCAGAACAGAAAAAAAAAATTTGGAAGAAGAACGAAAAAAAAAAAAAAGCGAAGTTTTTGATTTGTAAACAAATTGTGAAATCAGATCTCAATCTCTGATATATGTATATAACGCGTATCCGTAACGGCTATTACTGTACATGTATTCACCGTTGATTCTTCTTGTACTTACTTTAATCTAACGGTTTTGCATTTTTCATCATTATAATTTCCTTTTTTTAATTGGCAATATTTAACAAACGCAAAAGCAAAACAAAATAGCGTTTAACGGTTTTGTGATCTATGGATGGGTTTCATAAAAAAGCCCAATAAAGCCCGTTATTTTAAAATTCAAAATTTGAATTACACTCTGTAATTTTTTTGTCCGTTGGCTTCGGTTTTAATAATACAGCCCATTAAATTAGTTTAGGCTAAATGTTTTGTTTTTGTTTTTAAGAGATCGGCCCAAACAATACAGCCCATTAAACTTGAAAACTAATATAACCAGATCAACCGAACAAACCAATTTTAGCCGGGTTAACTGGTTGTACTCGATTTTACACAAAAATCGGTTTAATTTGGTACTAAAATCTTAATAAACCGAGAATCGAATCGATTATTTATTCGGTTAATTTCGGTGGTATTATAACCGAATTAACCAAGAACCGAGAATACCGACCTGATTCGGTTTCGGTCAACCGAAACCACGATTGTAAAATTTGTTATAAACGACAGGTGGTGTACCGTAGAAAACATATCTGTAGTTGTAGGAGATAATTACTCAACCGTCGACCATCTTCTAAAAATATTTCATATCATTTATCAAATCAAATCATCATCTGACCGTCGTCTTCCATAATTTTTCTTCGCCGGAGCTTTTTTCCGATCGATTTACCGATTACGACGTAATCACTCCTTCCCCGGTACGTTTCTCATCTCTCAGTCTGCCTTATGATTATTATTTTTTTTCCTCATGTCTCAAGTCTGATTGCGATTTTACTTTCTAATTTTGTTCTTCAAATCGCTTCTTCTCCGGCTAATCTATTGAATTTCTTATTCCGATCACCGGAAATATCTGTGAATTTCACCTTTCTGGCTTCATTTTCCTGTATTACGATCTAGTTTGGAATACCCAATGATATGTTAGGGTTTTTGGATTTCTTAAGATTTCAAATCAATCGATATTAGTCTTGTTATTGGTTCTGATTTTGATGCTTCACTCGTTTTTCTAAGTAAGAGTTGGATTAATTTTTGAGGTTTTATGTTTGTTCATCTATAGTATCATAATGATTGTGTGTTGCTGATGATTCGTAGTTTGTATTCCTTTGGAACAATGAGTGAAGCGTTTGATGGATACGAGCGGCAATATTGTGAGCTCTCCGCGAGTCTTTCAAAGAAGTGTTCTTCAGCTATTGCACTTGATGGAGGTAAAATTCACAATCTTGAATCTTTTTTCTATTGTATTGGTCAATGGTCACTGATCATCGCCATTGTATCCACTCTGAGATACTTTAAGTTTTTGTTTCATGCCGAGTTCGAATTATATATACTTTTGGTTTGTGTTTGATGCACTTTAGATCCTCGTCTCCTTCATGCGTTTGTTAGCACATAGTAATGTGCCTTTCCCTTGATTAGTATGTGCTGTAGCTGTTTGACATGCATTGATAATAGTTTAATGGTTTGCAGAACAGAAGAAGCAGAAGCTATCTGAAATCAAATCTGGGATGGAAAATGCAGAAGTATTGGTATGTGATAGACGTGTAGTTATTATATATGCTTTGCTATATTATGTCTTCAATTTTTATTTTTATGATGCTCTGTCCTTTTTCTTTACCAGATTAGGAAAATGGATCTTGAGGCAAGGAGCCTTCCACCAAATCTTAAGTCTAGCCTGCTTGTCAAGTTAAGAGAATTCAAGTCTGATTTGAACAATTTCAAAACTGAAGTGAAGAGAATCACAACGGGAACCTTGAATGCTGCTGCGCGAGATGAGTTACTCGAAGCTGGTATGGCTGACACAAAAACGGTAAGTAAAGGAATTAGTCATATTGTCTCAGTTTCATGCATCTCAATCTTTGCGAGTAAGATTTATTTCTATTGATATGTTGCTGTGGTCAGGCTTCAGCTGATCAAAGATCAAGATTGATGATGTCAACTGAGCGTTTGGGTCGAACCACGGACAGAGTCAAAGACAGTCGTAGAACAATGATGGAGACTGAAGATATCGGTGTTTCAATCCTCCAAGACTTGCACAGTCAGAGACAATCTCTCTTACGCGCCCACGACACGGTATTTTCTTTATGTAACACTTCCTTGCTCCAGATATGAGAATTTACGAATCTTTCACAAGACAAGACTACGTTTTCCTTATCTGCTACTAGCTACGGGATTTTTATTGTGCTAATCATAATTTAAAACTCTATTGACAGCTTCATGGAGTAGACGATAACATTGGAAAGAGCAAGAAGATCTTGACAGGCATGACGAGGAGGATGAACAAGAACAAATGGACCATTGGAGCCATTATCATGGCTTTGGTTGCCGCCATTATCCTCATTTTGTACTTCAAACTCACCAAGTAAGCCTATGTAACTAAACCGGACCACATTCAAGAAAACAACTGTTGTGTTTGTTTGTGGATCTTTTATTTGTCTTCCTTCTTTCTGTGTGAAAAGATGTGTTTGCCACCTCTGTAATCTGAATTTGACTTTACATACGCTGAAGTAAGTAAAGCTTCAAGGCCTAAGTGTCGAGTTTATTGTGTATATTGTTCATATTGAATCCGGAACAATAACATGGTTAAACATTGAGATCAAAGGCGTCAATTATTTCAAACAATCGAGGTCTACATCTTGAATCATTTGTTCATACATTAAATCTAGAACTATACAAACATTCATATTAATACTAGTTGTGTATTTTTGATCTTCTTTCATATTTGAATTTGCTATAATCAGCGACCAAGCTCTCAATAACCCGATGCTTCATGTTCTCCACCAAACCGGTCAAAATCTGTAAAAGGACGAATCAAAAACACAGATCATGAATAAATAATAAACCCTGTACATCGCATTTTGAGTTTGCAAACGCATAAGTGAAACAGCTTCTTACCGCATTGGCCATGTTTCTCCTAACATCTTCTGGTACAAGTGCCAGAACAGAAGGAAGCACGAAGCTAATGCTTGTTTCTAGTCGACCTTTAAGCCTCGTGTGCCTACCACGTCGGTCTGGATACAATGCTCCTTTGACTCCGAGAGTGAAATTAGATGGTTCCATTACTCTGTCTAGCCCTTGGAGCTCCCAATTCGTCTGAAAAAATCAGAACTCAAAAGGTTAACTAAGAAAATCATAATCTGACTAGTGACTATGTGATTCATGTGGTTATGGTATTAACCATGTTGAGCTCAAGAACTTTTGTTATGTGTAGAGGTACGTCCGACGGGTAATCCTGGCCGTTGGATTTGCATCGAATTCGCATAACTACCACTGGCCAAGCAGTGAGGAAGAAAAACTTTATTGGTAACATTTGTATTCTCCATTCTTCCTGCACAATGAACTGAGTAGTCAGATAGAATAAAAGTTATAAAACACTTAAGCAGATGCCTTGAAGTAAAAAGTAAGTAATCAAACAAGTCTTTGAGTATCTCCCTTGTACAAAAAGAATCGTACCTCGTTAAGCCTATGGTTTTTGGGTTTATCCGGAAACATTGCTTCGAAAACCCTCGATTTGTCCTCCAAATACTCATCGAACAACGCCTGCGAAATCCCGCAAGATATGAGATATTTATACACTTTCGACCACTCACGTATATATTGAATGAGAAAGAGACCTGAGGAGACTCGTTGAGAGCAGTATCGGTAGATATTTTAGATGAATACTTAGCAGGTTTCACATGTGACAACTGACACTTCACTTCCCACCGTTTTGATCTCACTTGCCGGCAACTTCCGAGCATCGTCGCCGGCCTCGAATACGCCATAGAACTAATCACCGCCATTTCACCAAGATTGGATGGATCTTTGATATCTCACACATCTCCTTTTGTTATCATCTGTCAATCTAATTATCTATACAAAAAAGATTGCGTCTTGGTTTACTCTATACGTTGAGACTTTTTGTGAATGAGACAAAGAGATTAAAACCGTCACGGTAGAGTTTTGGAATATTGGTTCATTTCGGTCGTGTACGTCCACGTGCCGTCATTACAAGACGTTTACATGTCATCGTTGTCTTTGGGATCTGTATGGCTTACTCATTCTTTCACGCATTCGTGGTCGTAGATGAGACTTACACGACAACATTCAAAGATCGCTCTCAGACAGACTAAACCTGAAATTGGATAGAGAATCCAATCTGGTTTAACCAAATGCCCCATCAATAAAAATAAAATTAAAAACCCCTCTTTTAATATATAGAGGATTGAATATATACAAAAATGTATTAACAACATACCAATAACCCAAAAAACGTAAATGCCAAATGCCAAGAAGCAATGAGTATGTATTCTTAACTAGACTATGCTAAGTAAACAACTCTTGTGCTTCTCACTCATATAGCTGAACTTTCATGTCAGATTGAAAAACTATACATGGTCGACTCAAACAATAACATTCAACTCAAGCTTACTCGATTACTTTCGTAATCTTCTTTCATTCTTGAACCTGCTATAATCAGCAAGCAAGCTCCCATTTACCTTATGCTTCATATTCTCTACTAAACCTGTCAAAACCTGTAAAAAACAGATGGTCAAATAAAAAGTATAGATCATGTACTTATTAGTTCAAAAAATAACTCGAAAACAAAGTTTTCTAACCGCATTGGCCAAGTTTCTCCGAACATCTTCAGGTACCAATTCAAGAACCGGAGGTAGCACAAAGCTTATGTTCATCTCTAGTTGACCTTTAAGCCTAGTTTGTTTTCCTCTTCGGTCTGGATACAATGCTCCTTTGACTTCCAAACTGAAATCAGATGGTTCCATTACTCGGTCAAGCCCTTGCAACTTCCATCTCATCTACACACACAAAAGAAACATAATCCAAGAAATGTAAGACTATGTTACAAAACAAAGTTAGACATATCAATCCCTAAATTTACAAAAGTGTAAATATCTATTTGAAGCTAAAGGACACAAAGTGAGAGATTATTACCATGTTGAGCTCAACAACTTTGGTTATATCTAATGGTACATCTGGCGGATAATCTTGACCGTTGGATTTGCATCTTAACCTCATATCCACCACAGGCCATACAGTAAGGAAGAGAAAATTTATTGGTAACATCTGAATTCTCCATTCTTCCTACACACAAATTCAATTCATTCAGTTTAAAAGAACCAAAAAAACACAAAAACAGGGGCATTCCGAGAATTGAACTCGGGACCTCTCGCACCCTAAGCGAGAATCATACCACTAGACCAAATGCCCATTTTTGTATACATAACCTAACTCCATGAATTTATATAATAACTTAATAAGTACCTCGTTAAGTCTATGGCTTCTTGGTTTATCTGGAAACATTGCTTCGAACACTCGAGATTTATTATCCAAATACTCATCGAACAAAGCCTACAAAAAAACCCACAAAAATCTCAATTTAAACCCACAAAATCAAAAGATGTGTTGTTGTTAAAGAGAGGAGACCTGAGGAGACTCGATGAGAGGTATATCTGTGGAGAGTCTCGATGAATACGTGGCGGGTTTTACAGATGACACTTGGCACTTCACTCTCGACCTTAAAACTGGTTTCACCTCCGTCGTGACTATCACCGGCTGGTGGTAACTTCTGAACATCCCAGACGATATAACCGCAGAGCTCGCCGTCATTGCTTCAAGATCTCTTCCCCCACATGTCTCTCTCTTTCTCCTAACTCTCTCTGTAATCTCCGAGTAGAGAATCTTTGTGAAAACTAAGACAAGAAACAGAGAGAGAGAGTAAAGTTTTTGTAAAGATGATGATGATAAGAGAAATCAGCTTTTTGGGGTTCTATGTCCACGTGGCATATCACTAGCTTAACCACGTCATCAAGATTTGGAACCTGTAGGGTTCTTCTTTGGTTAACTTGGCATTGGTGGATGAGAAATGACACTACGAAAAACTCTGTCTGAGAACACAAGTTTCTAAAACTCATATGATGTCTTAAAAGGAACGGTCGTTGTATAATATGATTTAACGATGCATAATATGTTATATAGTCATATTTTCATCAATACACTAATATTTATACACATATATTTCACCATTTTCTTAATGTTAATTACCTATAATCCCTATGCATAACATGAGTTATTATAAAGATTATAAATGAATTCACTTATATAAACAATATACATAAATTAAAATATATTATTAGTTACTTTAATTTTATAAATTAGCAGTTCATAATATATACTATCAAAATGAAAATGGTGAATACTTAAATTTTGATACATTATAGAAAAGTTTTGATATATTTTGTAATATTGTTATCAAATATAGTACATTTTTCCAAAACCATAAACCAATAAAATCAAGACAATAGAAAAAAACGTTTAACATGAAGAAAAGTCGGATATATTGTAGTCATCTGTAATAGTATAAAGTAAAATATAATATAAAGAGTCCAAACTACGTAAAAGGCAACATTATCAAAAGGATCTTAGACTTAAGATTTACATAGGAAACTTTCTATGTAAATCTTAAGTCTAAGATCCCTTTGATAATGTTGCCCTAACCGCTTAGCTGAAACAGTTTCTATGCATAAGATAATTTTCTCTAGACTATGTAGTATGTACGTACGGGCATGGTTAGCCTAAACTGTGGAAGATCTTCACATTGATGGAGTAGTACGTACCTAGCAGTTTCCATGTAGCATCTTTGGGCTCATAAGTGTAGTCAATTTCATCTGACGCTACGTAAAGCTTTCCTTCAAAAGCATCATGATAAACCTTAATATTGCTACTGCATAGCTCACTCGGCAAGGCTCTCCAAGTCTGAGTCTTTATGTCCAATACCTCAAACCAGTTCTCAACATCACAACCTCCCATCACGTATATTTTCTGGTAGATGAGAACCGCTCATGGATTTTTTCGAGCTACCGTCATGTTAGGCAGTCACGTTATGTGTTACTTCGACAATCAAGGATCCGAACTGAGGAAGTTAGCTCACTCCATCCACCATTCAAATGTACTCCAGTTTTGCCAATGTCTTTTATGATGAGCATATATGAAGATTGTAAATCCTTTCGCCATTTGAATTATACTTTTGAACCTTGTGACTTGTGAGTTTCGATATGCTTTTAAGCATCAAATTGATGGAGTAGGTAGCACATCTAAGTCTATGGGAAATACTTGCAAGATTTTCTTTTTTCTATAGAAATTATTCGTTTGGTTAAATTTTTCCTCTACATCATTAATTGTACTAAATAATTTTTTTATTTAATATGTATATTTTCGTAGATGTTTCTCTTTGTATTTAGATCCTCAAACGTTAACTTTCATGAAAGACCATAATTAATTAGAAACAACTGAATGATTTCACAACGTCGTTGTAGGCGAATCATCAAGCACATACAGTACTATGACTAGGGGATCTCAAGCGTTGTATGATAAGAATCATCAATTCGAAACGGCTACGTACGAGTAATATGACTAAGAGATTTCAAGCATAGTATTATATGAATCATCAAATCGAAACCGCTACAAAAGGAAATAAGTATGACTAGGGGGCCTCAAACATACTATTATATATATGAATCAACAAATTGTAACAGCTACACAAAGAAATGAGTAAAATGACATGGGAATCTCGAGAACAGTATTACTCCACTCCGTCTTACCCCAAATCTCATCTTTATGGCGCTTTTCTAACGCAATCTTAGCGCACCAAATTTTAGGATTCGAGTTTTCGCTATGTTTCTTAGGCCACTGCCTCCACATAACTACAAGTTTCCCACCATAGTTTCGGACCAGTCTCGTACATGAAGGAAGTCCTTCCAAACCCTTTACCTCTCTCCAAACCCTACCCTCATAGTCATACCACTTAATAATCCCCGGGTAATCATAACTGTACATTACATTATCTATCACACACGAATCCCACAACTCTCGCCAACTCGATTCCTCTCTTACAACTTTCCATGTACCATCTTTAGGATCATAAGTGTAGTCATTTTCATGTGACGCTACGTAAAGCTTTCCTTCAAAACCATCAGGGTTAACATTAATATTTATATTGCATAGCTCATGACGCGCACCAGGACTCGGCAAGGCTCTCCAAGTCTGAGTCTTTATGTCCAATACCTCAAACCAACTGTCAACATTGCAACCTCCAATCACGTATATTTTCTGGTCGATGAGAACCGCTCGTGGATATTTTCGAGCTGCTATCATGTTAGGCCCGTCACGCCATGTGTTACTTCGACAATCAAGGATCCAAACAGAGGAACTTAGCTCATGGCATCCACCAATTAGGTAGATATCGAAACCAACTGCTACGGTTGATCTATATGGTAAACCTAAAGGATGGGGATAGGAAGGTATCGGAATCAAGAAATAGTCATATAAAATCTCACCGTCATGTGGTTCTTGAGGTTTCAACGAAAGAGTGAACCACTGGAAGAAATTCTCACTAATATTCGATTTTACGCCAAAATAAATGTATGGTTCGGTGGTTCCAAGGTTAAAACGTGTCGTGTAGAGTTGGGGAGAAGAGATTAGAGAGAGGAACCTTTTGCATACAAGAGAAAGGTTATGGTAAGCACATCTCGGAACACGAGCAAGTATCTGCTCCACGAGTTCGTCTGGAAGATATGACATTAATGGCTGAGAACTCAAACTCTTCTTCTCACGCTGCGGTGGTTGTTTAACTTCGCAGATCATGTTCGAGTCGGCGGACATTGTTGAAGCAAGCGATGGAGATGAAAGATAATAAATTAGGGTTAAGTAAATACGACTTAGGCTATAAAATAATTGCTTAAATTACATAATTGGGATTCCTCATTATTATATATAACAAACAAAATGTAGTTTACAAAAAATTTCTTTTTTTGTGTTTACAAATATATAATTTTGATTTTTGACCCCAACAAAATTTCTTTATTTATAGGTTTAATTTGGTACTTCTCCTTTGATTTATTCTTTTCTAGTCGCATGTTATGCAGTGTACTTTATCTAAAATTAACAATGTCACAATTTATAAAACGAAAAGTCGAGCAAATAAATATAAAATTTCATTAATTGATATAATTAAAAGGTTAGAAACTATGTACGCAAATAAATTTTCAAAAATAACTAAGAAATTTATATCAATTGTAACGCCATGATTGTCACATTTTCTAGTGGATTCCATGTTCAGTCTCAGCTTATGGGTCCACTTCTCTTAATCGGCCTCACGGCCTTTCACTAGCTCATCTATATCCGACGGCTGGTTTGCTACGTTTGGGAGGATTAAAGATTTTAAAACTATTATGCAACTAGATATGGAACTGTGCGTTATACGAGTTTGCAGTCAAAAGTGTCATTCTTAATTTCTGGTTTTAATTTGTAAGCTTAACTAAAATTACAAAATATTATTTTTAATTTTAGAAAGTGCAGCATGTAATTGTTTATTATGAAGTATATATTCATATATGAAAATACGCTATATAAGATAAAAAATTTTAGTTTTCAAAATTAAGAAAAATATTAATATTAATAAATATATAAGATTAAATAATTAAAATAATATTATAAAATGTAAGGAAGCTCTTGGGTTTTCTGTAACTGCTCAGCTGAAACGATTTCCTATGCATGAGATGCCTTTCTCCAGACTACGTACATATATGGTTAGCCTAAAGTGTGGGAGATCTTCACATGGATGGAGTAGAACTTAATTTGGTGGGATTGCATAGCATTGGCCTGACTGAATATTATAACTCTTAAAACTAATATATGGGGTTAGATTCAGGTTAATTTTGGTTATCATCAAAATAAAATGAAAATGAATTGTAGCAAGCTGGATTCATTATATTCCAACTTCTGGTTAATAGAATATTTCAAACATACATGAAACACGTACGATATACAAAGGATCGAGTTCGAGGTTGACCACGTACGATATACATGTGTGACTTATTAATAGAATAATTAAAGGCTATCTAACTCGGTGTAGAAACTAGAGAAGGATTTGGGGAAAAACTCTTTATTATTGTGTGTCTTTAATCTCTAGAGAATTGATACAATATATAGAGGTTAACTTATGTTTAACCTAATTAGAATAGGAAACAGATAAACATGATTAAGTAAATATTCTAAATATTTTAATCCTTATCACACTTCTAGAATATTCTTCGCCTTGGGTTTCATGGGTTCACCTCAATAATAGACTTTCACGGTCCATAATAGTTGGTCCGCAAGATACACATCTTGCTTCCCAAGATATCTCCAATACTCTGAGAGTCTTTATTGCCAGACTCAATGATCTTGCATGCGCTTTTGGGTCGACCAATATATATACCCTCTCGCAATCTTGGTGAACAGAGGAAGGGGAGTGCACCTATTGATAGTATTGAATATATTGGAGTTTTGAATGTTTGAGTTTTGAATCATGTTGGAGTTAACACTATGTTTTCTAAAGAAATAGCGTTGATAAAAACCAAAAATTAAACAAAATCTAATTCCAATGAAATTGTTCAATTGTACATATAAAATAGCATTATAGATCATCAAATTCTATCAACTGTAAAGAACGACTAAATGATTTCACAAAGTTGTTTTATACCATCTTGTACCGATCATCAAACCGAAACGGCTACACATTTAGAGAATATATATGACTCGGGGATCTCAAGCACAATATTAAGCCACTCCGTTTTACCCCAAATCTCATTTTCATGGCACTTCTCTAACGCAATTTTAGCGCACCAAACATAAGATTTCCTGTTTTCACTATCTTTCCCAGGAACCTGCGTCCACATAGCTACAAGTTTCCCACCACTGTTGTGGATTTGTTTTGTACCTGAACAAAGTCTTTCCAAACCCTTGATCTCTCTCCACACTCTACCCTCAGAGTCATACCACTTAATATGCTCTGGAAAACGATAACTGTACATTACATTATCTATCACACACGAATATAACAACTCTATCCAACTTGATTCCTCTCTTACAACTTTCCATATACCATCTTTGGGCTCATAAGTGTAGTCATTTTCATATGACGCTACGTAAAGCTTTCCTTCAAAAGCATCAGGGTTAACATTAATATTTATATTGCATAGCTCATAACCCGCACCAGGACTCGGCAAGGCCCTCCAAGTCTGAGTCTTTATGTCCAATACCTCAAACCAATTGTCAACATCGCAACCTCCCATCACGTATATTTTCTTGTCGATGAGAACCGCGCATGGATATTTTCGAGCTGCCGTCATGTTAGGCCCGTCACGCCATGTGTTACTTCGACAATTAAAGATCCGAATTGAGGAAGTTAGCTCACCCAATCCACCAATTACGTAGATATCGGAACCAACTGCTACGGTTGATTTTAATGATAAACGTAAAGGATGGGGATAGCAAGGTATAGGAATCAAGGAATAGTCATTCAAAATCTCACCATCACATGTTTCTTGAGGTTTCAACGAAAGAGTGAACCATTGGAGAGATGTATCCTTACAACACGATCGTACGTAAAAATAAAGACATGGTTCGGTGGTTCCAAGGTTGAAACGTGTCGTGTAGAGTTGGGGAGAAGAGATGAGAGTGTGGAACCTCTTGCATACGAGAGAGAGATTAGGGTAATCCCATCTTGGGACACGAGCAAGTATCTGCTCTACGAGTTCGTCTGGGAGTGATAATAAGGACACTAATGGCTGAGAACTCAAACTCTTCTTGTCACTCTGCGGTGGTTGTTCAACTTCGGAGGTCATGCTCAAGTCGGCAGACATCGTAGAAACAAGCGGTGGTGGAGATGAAAGATGATAAATTAGAGCTATATAAGAATTGACTTAGATCTATATATATACCTTTGGTTTATGAAAAGTACATATCATCTGAAACGGGAAATATATAACTTTAAAATTTTAACCCCCAAAAAAGTGTTATATATGATGGAGATTGATTATTTTTATTATACAAGATTTCTTTCTTATTTTAAATGATATAGCTCTAAAGAGTTCTTTTTCTAAGGAAATAAGGGTTATTTTTAAAATATCTACAAATCTTTAAACACAAAGGATATTTTACAAAATAAGCCAAACTCTAAAAGCACAAGTAAAACCTTTATAAATTCATAATGTTGGGAACATCATATTCTTTTAATTTATAATGTTATTAGTTTATCTATATATTAATATATATTATTTTATAGCAAAAAAAAAATCTTAAATTATAGAGATGTTTGTCTTAATTGTTATAAATTTTAGAAATATGAATTGAGACAAGTTCATATAAACACACTTATTGTTTAGATTTTTTTTTTATCAACACACTTATTGTTTAGGTGTTAAAACGAATAAGAGGTTTTTTTCCTGAAATTTTATTCAAGAAAATAACGTTTTGACGACTAGTGCAACGGAAATTTAAAACATGATCGCTTAAAACACAATTTAATTCTTAAAATCTACATCAAACCAAATTGGTAGACTTTTGTCATAACGTCTATCTCACGTAAGCCCGTATTGATGAGAACTGACGAATTAACCGACGAATCATCAAAGCAAAACGACTAAACAAGTTAATCAGTAATATATATGACTTTACGGACCGTAAGAAAAGTATAGATTAAACCACTATGTCTTACCGCAATCTTTGCACACAAAAGTTTTAACCAACCGGTTTTGGCTATGTTCCTCAGACCATTGCCTCCACATAAGAAGAAGTTTCCCACCATATTTAACTATTCGGATCAAGTCTTGAGTTCTTTCCAAACCCTATCTCTCTCCACTCTCTACCCTCAAAGTCCCAACAAGTTTATTACATCTTCCATTCATAGACGAATCGAATATATGTTGGAAACGTGATTCCTCTCACACGACTTTTCATGTACCATCTTTGGTTCATAGGTGATAGTCATTTGTATTTGCCGTTACATATTACTTTCTTTCCAAAGCATAATACTTGTGTGACTCATGATCAGCACCAAGCTATCTTTATTTCGAATACCTCTAAGTCTCTAACCTAACCAATTGCTTGACTCATTGATCTTGGGAAAATTCTTACATGATTTTTGTTATTTAATATGTATTTTCGGAATTATTCGTTTGGTTTCATTTCCTCTAAGACCATGAATTGTTATTTAATGTGTATGTATCTTTTCATAGATGTTTCTCTTTGTATTTAATTTGGTTCCTATAATCTTTAAAATAAATATAACTCCAATGTTAATCATTGTTAAACTTTTACATATGAAATAGCATTATAGATCCTCAAACATTTAACTTTCATGAAAGACCACAAAAACGACTACATCTTTAGTTCTTTATGAGAATAAATAAATAAAAACAAGTGAAGCGAGCTTCAACGAATGACAATGTTTTAGGCGAATCATCAAGCCCATTATTATAAGAATTTTCGCATCGAAACGGCTACATGAAGAGAGAAGTAGTGGGACTTGGAGATCTCAAAGATAGTATTAAGCCACTCTATCTTACCCCAAATCTCATCTTTATGGCGCTTCTCTAACGCAATCTTAGGGCACCAAATTTTAGCTTTTGGGTTCTCGCTATGTTCCTCAGGCCACTGCCTCCACATAACTATCAATTTCCCACCTTACTTACGAATCTGTCTCATACATGAATAAATTCCTTCCAAACCCTTGACATCTCTCCACACTTTACGCTTAGAGTCATACCACTTAATATTCCTTGAGTCACTAAAACTGTACATTACATTTTTTTATCACACACGAATTCAACAACTGATGGCAACTCGATTCCTCTCTTACAACTTTCCATGTACCATCTTTGGGCTCATAAGTGTAGTCATTTTCATATGACGCTATGTAAAGCTTTCCTTCAAAAGCATCAGGGTTGACCACAATATAGCTTCTGCATAGGTCATAATCAGCACCAGGACCTGGCAAGGCTCTCCAAATCTGAGTCTTTATGTCCAAAACCTCAAACCAACTGCCAATAGTGCAACCTCCCATGACATATATTTCCTGGTTGATGAGAACAGCATGTGGAAGTACTCGAGCTGCAGTCATGTTAGGCCCGTCACGCCATGTGTTACTCCGACAATCAAGGATCCAAACTGAGGAAGTTAACTTATTACATCCACCAATTAAGTAGATATCCGAACCAACCGCTACGGCGGATCCACTTGGTAAACGTGAAGGATAAGAAGGTACACGAATCAAAGAATAGTCATTCAAAATCTCACAGTTACGTGTTTCTTGAGGTTTCAATGAAAAAGTGAACCACTGGAAGGATTTATCACTATCCGATCCTACGCCAAAATAAATGTATGGTTCGGTGGTTCCGAGGTTAAAACGTGTCGTGTAGAGTTGGGGAGAAGAGATTAAAAAGAAGAACCTTTTACATGTATACGAGAGAGAGGTTAGGGTAATCCCATCTCGGGGTACGAGCAAGTATCTGCTCTACGAGTTCGTCTGGGAGTGATGACAACGACAGTGGCTGAGAACTCAAACCCTTCTTCTTACTCTGCGGTGGTTGTTCAACTTTTGAGGTCATGGTCGACTCGGCGGACGCAAGCGTTGGTGAAGAAGAAAGCTGATACAACTAGTGCTGTAAAATAATTGAGGTATTTATAATATATAATATATATACTATATTTAAGCCTTTTTTAAATTACTTGTTATCGGCAATATATATAGGGTTGCCACGTTATTACAACCTGTACTTATTCCCTTCTCAACATTTCAACCTGTACTTTTTACCTCTTTATAAAACAACACAAACTTTATTTCTTCTGCATAAATCAACCTATACTTTTAAAACCATCTAAAACAGTGCCTATCCAATTGAGACAGATAATCACAATTACTAAACCCGATTAAACCATTAATCGCGATTACTAACATCGCGTTTCACTCCAATATATGTCTCGAGACGATAACCACGTAGCTTTGGGAGAAAAAGAGAGGCAACGTGGGGATTTAGGTTTCTTGATACATCAATTATCTCAATATAACACAGGTTCTCTCTCTGCATTTTTGCCGTGATCAAGTAGCGACAAAGCTTGTCTTGCTGCTCAAGAGTGTACAAGGCAATCTTGGGATTTTACAGAGAGGGACAAAGAGGTTTATTTAAAAGCTGTGTTCGATTCAGAGATTAAGACAAAGTGCAAGTCACTTTTGAGTGTAGAGAGAGTAAGAGAGAAAGTTCTGGGTTTTGGGGAGAGTTCTTCATTATCTTATTTTCTTCTCTTAAGGTGATCTCTTTGTGTGGGTGAGTGATTCTGAAGTTGTAATATGTTCTTTGTTCATAGTGAAGCCTCTAGTGAGCGGTCAAGCTCACCGAGACGTACCTTGGCTGGTCTAAGACTTGGGAAATCGTAACTCTCGTGTCTTGTTTCTTTACTTGTTTACAAACCTTGC